ACAAGCCCTATTGTAAGTCAAACAAGCCCTATTGTAAGGCAAACAAGCCCTATTGTAAGTCAAACAAGCCCTATTGTAAGTCAAGTAAGGCAAACAAGCCCTATTGTAAGTCAAGTAAGGCAAACAAGCCCTATTGTAAGTCAAACAAGCCCTATTGTAAGGCAAACAAGCCCTATTGCACCATCAATAAATCAACCAATTTATCAGACAATATCCACTCCTTATTTCACCAAGCTACTTATTCAAATTCTGGTCCAACCAGTAGCCATTATGGTGGCGTCCATTATCCTCCACTATCCAAAACATTATTCTCGACGAGATAAAGTCATTGATTGAAAAAATATGTTTCCTCTCCAATCAGCGATGATTTGTAATGTGAATGATGGTAATTATAATTAATGTTTCTAAGTAGGCTAATATCAAGAACATATAATTATGTCTCATAGTAAGCTCAATGTGCTACGTTGTATGATGTAAAGTTACATCTCGCAGTCAGTTCTAACATCTGCATTGTATGTTTAATACGTCTCATAGCAAGGTATTAAACTCTGTGTTATATAGTTAGTCCATCTCGTAAATCTGAAGTTTGTGATATTAATTTATTACTTGTTACAGTAAGGTCTAAAATCTGCGTTGTTATATATATAAACTACTAAGGCAATTAGTACCCACCTATCAGTTCTCTTTTAAAAAAGTGGTATTTTTTTTAAAAAAAATAAACTTACTTGCTCAATTTATTTTTATTTAGTTACTATTTCTGCTTTCTTTCCTATTTGAGATTTGCACTGTTTGTTCAATTTTATGGGGCGACTTTTCTTTGGGCGAGTTGACGATTCTGGGGACTATTTGACCATATCAAAATAATATTATATTGTTTTGTGCATTTAACTGGTGTCTTTTTTTTATCAAATTATTCTTTATTGGTACTACACATAAATTTATCATTTTTACATTAAATTTTCTTATTTTTAATCAAACAATTCCTCATTTAGAATGTGGCCGAGATGTAGGCCTACCTGTAGACTATTGTCCTCGAAGTGTGACATGCAATTGTTTTTGTTCCGATCACATATATGTTTAGTGTCTAGAGTGCAAAACATACGTCTAATGATATTTAGGACACACACGTCTGGTGATGTTAAGGACACACATGTCGGATGGTAGTTCGGACACACACGTCTGATGATATTTAAGACACACACGTATGATGATATCCCATCCATGAACCTGAATTTGCATGTAGAGTTATATAGAGTTGGTCTTTATAGACAGGTCTTTGCAAGAGGTCTTTACACACAAATGTTTTCTCTATAGAGATCGATGGTCTTATTTTACAGGTATTTGCTATATAGATTGATGGCCTTATTTGACAGGTGTTTGCTATATAGATTGATGGCCTTATTAGACAGGTGTTTGCCATATAGAAGGGGCTTTATTAGACAGGTGTTTGCTATGTAGAAGGGGCCTTATTAGACAGGTGTTTGCTATATAGAGGGGGTCTTATTAGACACATGTTTGCTACTAAATAAAGATGGTATTTATATGAACTGATCTTGCTACATGGAGGAGGCCTGAAGGTCAGGTTCAACTGTAATAAAGCAAATTAATGTTTGATAGTGCCAAAATGATATTGTAGTCAAGATAAATTGATTGGTATTTCATTAAATATGGGCTTTCTTTGTTTCAGTGACACATATTTGAAAGGAACAGATTGAGTGGTGGATGGCCCAGATGCATTCCTACCAACATCAATATTTGACATTCCTACCTACCTATGGACCATTAACACAATCAGATGGAGCCTACCACATTTGCTATTAACTTTATAAGATAAATTAACTACATAATATTACATTATTTTCCTGATCTTACGCCATCAGACTTTCATCTATTTCCAAAATTGAAAAAGGCCATTTCTGGTACCCACCTTCGGTTAGATGTCGACATCCTAAACGTTGGAGAAAAGGATGTTTTGAAAAGTGACATTGAGGCCTTTAAACATTACTGGTAAAAGGGTATAGATATTGAAGGGGATTATGTTGAAAACTAATGCAATATGTCTGCCATAATCAAACCCTTAGGTATGAGGCTCATATTTATCAATCAGCCCTCGGATGTGCTATATAACTCTCTGGATCATATAAAGTAGAATGATGAAATCAGAGACCTTCAGTTGACTCAAACACATGAGGATTGATTACCAGTTACTGAACCAGGTGAGATCAACAAATGACCTTGAACTGCTTTGAAGGTTACATGAGTAATATTGATTAATTATTGATGTTTTAGGATTAATGTTAAATAAAGCTTTTATATTGTTGGTACATGAGGAGCTAAGTTTTGACTCTGAAAGTCTCAGGTGTATTCAACAACAAGTGTTAGATCCGCATGAGAGATTAGTATAAGCTGAAATAACTTGTTTCACAATTATTATAAAAAAAATCAATAAAATTTAAATCATATCAACGTAAGTAATATACTAGCTACTTTGCTATCTAAATATCTATATATGTATTTATATTTTAAATCTTACATGCTTCCTACTATCACTGTACACAATGTATTTTGTGCTTTTGATATTTTTTTTTAATTATTTGAAGCTTATTTGTCATATAATTATTGAATTTTAATCAAAGTATTAATTAAGACAGTTTTAACAATATTAATATCTGTTGATTTTAAAATGAACGCTTTCTTTTTTACTTCCAATAAAATGTATACATATTTAGTGTCTTTTTTCCTTTCTTATCACAAATTCGGCACAGACAATATTATACCAAGAAACGTTTTATTTATATCTGTCCAAAATGCTGATTTTCATACCTGATGCCTTAAAGAATAAAATATATATTACGACTAGCCTATTTCGATTGTCAGGTTGTTGGGTTTATCGCCCTGACAACGGCCAGGTCATTTTAAAGTGACCTTCAATGATGACTCATAGCTACCTCACTGAAAACAAAAGGCCTGTGGAATGCCATCCAGTACAACTGTGGTAATGTGCAATGTCTGCTCAAGGACACATCCATCTCAGCACAGACCGACTTATTACTTTTCTGCATGATTTACCAAGTACTGTTCAAGAAATAATAATTAATATCTCAATCTTGTCACAGTGCAAAACAGCTGGCCACCTGATACACATTTTGTTTTCCCAGTAGATCCAATAACTGAAAACCTTGGGAAACAAGCATAATGAATATGAGAAATATACATCAAAGAAATGCAAGACTGTCAAAATCTAACACAACCATCTGTTGACCATTGTTTGTTATTTTCCTATCAGTGACCAATATTTAACAAATGCATAGCAAGGGATGAAGGAAAATAAAAATATCAAATTTCAAATGGATCCATCCAATATTTCTGATGACAAATTTTAAGTGTTCAAATCCAAGATGCTCACCCGTAAGACCATTCCAAAATTTAATCTATTTGAAATCTGAGAGTGAACCATCCAGTGCTTCTCAAACAAGAGGCCCATAGGCCTTAAGGGTTATCTGACTGCAAAGACCTACATACACAGAAAAACATTGTTGGTTCATCAGGACATTTTCTGCAAACTTGAAATCATATTCTTTATAGATGTACTACACAAATGTTGTTACTTCACACATATTGCTTGTTGAAAAGGTAAGCTACAGACCCTTGGCCTTTCTTTTGTTTAGAAGTTTCTTAAGTATTTCAACACCCTGGGCCTTTTGGTTGTTTTGAAGAAGAATTTTTAACATTTTAACACATTTGACCCCTGTGACTTTGAAAGTTGGTCTAATATCAGCAACTTGGGCATTTTGGTTAATGAGTAAAAGTCCTTTAATGATTTTAACATATTTGACCCCTGTGACCTTTGAAGCAGATCAAGGCCATTTAAACTAAGTAGGGGTCAAATCAACCTTTTGAATTTAAGAATTGATTCCGAATTCTCCGTGATGTTTTAGACTAAATATGGTTGAAATCCATTCAAGCATGAAAAAAAGTAGCATTTTAAAGCAAAATCTTGCCTTACTTCCTCTTCTTGTCCCTAAGTACCTAGGGGCAAATCAAGTTTCTGAATTTAAGAAATTATTACTCTCACCAAATGATGCATCGGACCAAATTTGGTTGAAATCTACATCGGTATAAAAGAGGAGTAGGGTTTTAAAGGAAAAGTTTACACAGGATGCATGGCGGATGGCACATGATGACTGATGAAGCACGATGGCTATAGGTCAAGATTGATGGTGAGCTAAAAAAACATACAAAAAGTCATTGTTGAAAGTTGCGTTTTTATTTCATAGGGAAACCTGCTTCAAATATATGTTTATATTACATGTAATGAAATAAAACACTGATGATGCATATCATGCGGGAAAAAAAATTCACATAAAAAAACGATGACATATTCCTGTAAGACTGACAGTAAAACAAGAAATGACATATTTACCATTCAGACCTCTTCATTTTGTATGTTCAAAGCATTTTTTTTTTACTTATACACAAATGTTTATACATCAGCCATACAAGACACAGTATATTGTCTTGGCAATTCTGAAGCAAGTGATAAAATCAGATATAAACACTGTTTTTTCAAAATACCTCAAATTATATAAGCACTGACTGTAACTTGTATGCAGTTACAATCCGTAGTGTTACAGTAACCAAAAAGAAGTATATGTGAAATATTTTTTTAAGTATGTATGGTATGAAATTACGATAAAATTAAAGATATCTTTTACATTCGGCAATAATTCACTACTAAAGACTTATTTAGCAGATAATTTTTAATGAAGCAAAGACAGTGTTATGTTCTTAAAAAATTTCAAATTATGCAGAAAAAACGTATCATTAACACAACTACAAAATTGTCAATATCATTGGGACAATCGTTTTAAACGTTCTTCCATTGGGACAAATGTTTTAAACGTTCTTCCATTGGGACAAATGTTTTAAACGTTCTTCCATTGGGATAAATCGTTTTAAAAAATTGGGATAAATCGTTTTAAACGTTCTTCCACAAATGTTTTAAACGTTCTTCCATTGGGACAAATGTTTTAAACGTTCTTCCATTGGGATAAATCGTTTTAAACGTTCTTCCATTGGGATAAATCGTTTTAAACGTTCTTCCATTGGGATAAATCGTTTTAAACGTTCTTCCATTGGGATAAATCGGTTTAAACGTTCTTCCATTGGGACAAATGTTTTAAACGTTCTTCCATTGGGACAAATGTTTTAAACGTTCTTCCATTGGGATAAATCGTTTTAAACGTTCTTCCATTGGGACAAATGTTTTAAACGTTCTTCCATTGGGATAAATCGTTTTAAACGTTCTTCCATTGGGACAAATCATTTTAAATGTTCTTCCATTGGGACAAATTGTTTTAAATGTTCCTCAAAGAAAAAAAGAAATAACTAAATAAAAAGGGGAGACATATTCTAAAGTATTGAAGATAGCCTACAGCCTTAAGGAAATATTTGAATTTACAGACACAACATTGCTCTGCTAACTACAGTGTATATAAATTGCATCGAACGCCCATCATACTGCTCTCCCATACACACAAAGTATCACAGAATTTGTGTATAAAAGATAGTAAGGAATAAAAAAACATCCAATATTTTCATAAATGTAATAAAAAAAAGGGGGAACGTACTGGACGGAAATCAAAGTAAACTGAATTAATGAAAAATTAATAACACAAATGATGGGAACAAAAAAAGTAGAAATTATCCTTACAGAGGAATTCAATTTATCTATTGTCCTCTATAGAGTGATTTATACCAATAAGATTTGCACTTTATGACTTTTTTTTACCTGGGTTTGTCTCTATAAACACCACAATTCTCATGTCATACAAAACAATACAAAATCAAGATAATTTTTCAAAGAATTTGTGGTGGAGGTGTTTCGATTAAAATCATTTCAGTTTGTGGCAAGGTGTATGAATGAGAAGTTATCACATACATTCTAACCACCTGTGTTGATCTAGGTCAGAAATCTGTCTTTTGAAATCATGTTTATAAATACATAATGTTGGAAAAATTATGAATTTGACAAGCCTACCATACAGATTTTCTGCCTTTCTTACAAATAGTATTTTATTAATGTTATTTACACCTGTCATAAGGTTATTTTCAAACAAAATTCAACATTTTATTAGCAATTTCATTTCTACAGTTAAGAAAAGTTTGACAAATGACTGTTATACAAACTACATCAATAAATATTCCTCCTTTAATAAATAGGATATCTATGTACATGACTTGTCAGCATGTGGAATGTTAACTATTTGAGCACTACAAAAATGATTTGTCTGGAAAATATTAAGACACACTCATAATAAAAGTTTTGATATGCAAAATGAAGACAGCATTTTATGTCACAAGATCTACATTGAATGTATACTGGAGCCATTATCAGTAGGAAAGTACAGTGAAAAGTTATTTTAATTCATTATTTAATGCAGCCCCCCTCTAAATGACCCTGAATTTCCCCACTGAAAACATCCTCTCCAAACTTATTGACATTATACAGAAACAAAACTCACACAACCAGCTGTCACAAACATATTCAATAGCTATACATTTAATATCAAGATATTCCCAATTTTGGAAGTAGGTTCATGAAAACAAGAAAACTACTTAGTGAATTTCAAAAAAAAAAAAAAATTCTCAAACCCTTGGTCAAGTTTTTTATGATGTGAAATTCTTATTAAAAGAAAACAAAAAAAGAGGATCGAAATAAAGAAGCAAAACAGTCAGAAATAAAATATCTTGTATGATCAATCAGAGGGATTTCAACAATCAATACTTTCAGACAAGACTAGTTGTGTATAGGATAGCCCGCTGCTTTTGTATTAAGAATAGCTGGCATACATACTTCAATGTTGGCATCACTAAGTGAGAGCCATGTGAATAAAAATGCCATACTACTGTTATCAGTAAGCCATGAACACCCCTCTCCTATGAAAATCTGCTCAGAGATGTTCTCTATGTATTACATTGAGTTCGAACACAATGAAACACAACAGAGCAGACTTGGGTAATACTACATGCCTCCACAAATGGTGGGGTCATGAGTCATTTAATCTTTTAAAGCAAGGCAATTTATACAACACTCGGAAAGTAATGTACATCAGTTCAGTATAATGAAACATTATAACTTCAATCAAATGGGAAAAAAATTGAAATGTCTTCAAATATTTGTTGAGAAATACTTCTTTTGCAAATAGATCTTTTAAGGTACTTATAGAATAGATGTTGATCATTGCTGTGTATATATAATCAAGGACCAATTGTAACACTAAGTTTTAAGCCAAGTGTTTCTAGCGTATGATAACAATTAACATGCCTAGCCAAAAACAAATGCTGCCCTAGGTGACAAAATATCAACACACAATTCAAACACACAGTACGGTGGTGTATTCTTATCAAAGCCATAAAATGCAGTACCTGTCTTTATGATTATCACAAAAAGCCAGTATTAAAAAAACAACATGGTAATGTCAGCCTGTATAGCTGAGTAGCTAGATATAAAAATAGTTACCACTAATGGTAATCACTTACAAACTCATAACAACATCTTGTACTTATATCTCTCATTTATACACTGTTAAGGTCTATTTCAGTAAAACATCTACCCTACACAAGGACTCCAGGTTTTGTTAAGGTCTATTTCAATAAAACATCTACCCTACACAAGGACTCCAGGTTTTGTTAAGGTCTATTCCAATAAAATATCTAGCCCAGTCCAGGACTCCAGGTTTTGTTAAGGTCTATTCCAGTAAAATATCTACCCCAGTCCAGGACTTCAGGTTTTGTTAAGGTCTATTCCAGTAAAACGTCTACCCCAACCCAGGACTCAAGGTTTTGTTTAGGTCTATTCCAGTAAAACGTCTACCCCAACCCAGGACTCCAGGTTTTGTTAAGGGGAACCACCCAAAGAATTTAATTGACTGTTTACCAAGAAATAATAGGTAGAAAACCGATCCATTGATAGAAGTGATGATTTTGGAGCCCTTGGGTCTAGCAGATGTTTTACTAGCTTTTCCACCCTATAAAATACACCAAGATGATTCACAAATCTGTCATACTCTCGAAGTCAGTAATAACAGAGATGTTTCAAATTGAACCTGTGTAAATACAACACCAGCAGAATTTGTCTTAATTTAAGACAATGCATTGTTGTACACCTAAACAAACACAACCAATAATACAATAAGCAGTATCAACATTTCTTCCAGGTTAAATACACAGATCACTTAAAATCTGTTGACTTGTTACAACACAATGAATCCCTGTACGCAGTTAATTTTTCCTTCAACGTACCTCCAAGATATATCCTTACATTTTCCATAGACTTTAATTCATTTATTTAAACTGTCAAGTCACTTCAAACAACTTGAATCTACCTTCTCTTGACAACCACAAATAGGTATTTCACCTGCCTTAGATGATTTTATATGTGATCTGTATTATACCATACAACAGTTTTCTTTTTTTATGCCAGGATCTAATTTCCAGAAATTTTGCCATAAGACTGCACTATGAATAATTATATACTAAACTACCTAATTTTAAATGTTAAGTCTCATTAAATAGTTTTAGTTCTTTTTCTTAAATGGCGAAAATACAACACAGCTAAAATTTGATGCTAAAATTTGGACACAAAATGGTGAAATTTGCGTGATGCAAAATAAACTTGTTATAAAGTATGTAATGATCCTATACTCCGAGTAACCAATTTGGTAACTTATTGAAAATAAGTTGGATAATTTACTTTTCCAGCAAAGCCAGCAATGATATATACCACCAAGCATACATCATCTTTACAAAACTTTCACTTATTTCATAGCAAACAGCTAATTTGAAAACAGATGCAGGTCAGACTCTTAGGTAGCATACCCCCTTAAGTGTGACTGATTACAACAGCAGTGAACACTATTACATCATTTCAGTAAATTTCTAATCATTACAGGTGGAAACTATCGTGAATTACACAACTCTACATTAACATAATAATGCATTAAATTGATGCCTGCCTAACATATAAATGCAGTGTTACTTTATTGCAAAACATCAAATGTTCATGGAATCTGCACTTCAAATTAAAGATTATTTGATATATCTGTAGCCATACTGGATCAAATTATTCACCTCTACATTGAATTTTCACCTTCTCTAACACAAACTAACCCTGTGGGTTATATTTCACCATTTTTTTAAACCATGGCCAAATATATCAAAACATATGATCGTGAAAACTACAAACAGTGCTATTAAACAGTATTAGTTCTCCGTAATCTGTAGCAGTACAGATTTTGTCAGCTATTACTTTCCTAAACACTTAATTTAGGACATTTATTCATCAGTCAGGATATCACAGGATAAAAAATCTGCATGGTTGACTACCAGTGCTACATTGCAGTCATACCAGTTGTAATAATGGAGACAGAAAGACATGGTATTCCTCCTCAGGTGGTCATGTTTACTTGGGTACAAGACCTCTTGAAGATGGAAATTCTTTTGAAGCATCTCTCTTTCCTGTTCTAGGTCTGCAAAAAAACATCATGCAAACAGTCAAACAGTTAAAATTAAATATGATCTTGTTCACAAAATGTTTTACTTCAAAAAAGATCTTAAATATAGAGAAAGTTTGTTAAACTTCAACATAAATTATATTCTCCACTGCAAGACTTTTGTCCCAAAAAGGCAACTTCATTGTTTCAGTTCAAAAATGAACACAGTAATAGGAAATATGCAGATCTGCTTATCTTACTCAAGTTAAGGTGAGAAAAACTTCAATGTACAGCTGTGTATTAAATTATCAGAATTATCACATTAAATTCCAAAGTTCAGCTGTGTATCGATTTATTTGAATTATCACAACAAATTTTAATGATCAGCTGTGTATCAAGTTATTTAATAACCTCAGTCTAGCCATTTGGTAACAAAATTCCTTTAATTCAATATTAGGACCTAACTATACATTTATTGAAAAGAATGAGGACATATTTCAAAATTCATTACATACATTTTTTTCATTATTAAACCTTAGTGTATTTGATTTACACATACCTTGCACTTTTCACGTCTCTTTTTCTGGTCTTGGCTTTGGTGCTAAATATCGATGGAGTCCTGAAGAGATATTGTTGTATAAGATAACACAGCCCACAATGCAGTTAATTTTTCAATGCTAAGTGATTAAAGAGAATCATGTTTATTTTTAAATGAGTACCAAAAGATAAGAATTTAGAGACATGGCAAGCAAGAAGTTTGCAAAATGCAGTTTAATCAAATAATTTAAAGGCTGTCACATCAAATAAAGGGTTGGAGTACTTACTGTCCTTCTATTTCAATGTCTGCCTCATCCTGAAGGGCTGCATCTAGTGCCGCCTGTATCCGTGGTGCCACTTGTGGTCCATCATAATCCCGTGTGGTGCGATTAGGCATGTCTAATTCAACCATTAATATGTTTTCACCCTACAACATGTTTTTTTACTGTAAAAAGTCTGTGTAGCTGAATACAAAGCATGAATTAAAATAACACTTTTTTACTGTAAAAAGTCAGTTCAGTTTAGCTGAATACAAAAGGATACACCTAAAATGACTATTACCACTCTAAACTTCTGCATGGCAGTTTACAAAAAATCATAACTTTATATAAGACTTTCAATGCTAAAAATCTGTGTAAATGAATACAAAAAGATAACTAAAGCAGATTTTGTACTGGATTAAGATAGTAATCTCAGAATGTTTCCACCAAGCATTACAGCCTTAGTTGAGAGATCTCTATTGATTGTTTATACCTTGAATCTGGGATTGCCTCCCATGGCTGCTGCCACTCTTGCATACTCAGACACTGGCCGTCTGTTTCCCAGGGCTGAGGTTGGTCGTTTAGCCATGGTTTGGGTGCTAAAATTACCATTAAATTCAAACTCGAGTCAAAGGAGAATTTCATTTCAAAAACTACAGTAAGAACACCCCAACCACTAAAAGACCAATTGCAGTACAGAGAAATACAACTGCTTCTCTTGACATAACATAAAACTACTCAGAATTCTTAAATGGCAACTTCCTGTTAACAGCTTGTTCTAACTTGTAAATAAATTTACAATAGACAGAAATAAGTTAATAAAACAGCCAGGCTCTTTCCTATTACATCTAAACTGTACTTAACGCATCCATTCATCACAACTTTAATGTGAAAGTAGAAGTTCCAGAAACAATAGTTTCCTAACATATCTCACTTTTTGTTGGCAAGAGGCTTAAGTTTCCACATGTCCTCATCCTCATCATACACAGCTCTGTTCATCACTTTGGTTTTATCCTCCACAGGGATGAAGTTCTCTATGATCAGCATCCTGGAATGAAATATATTAAATTCAGATGTGAGGTGATTTCTCAGTCAACATCATAAAGCTTTTCTGAACTTGATGTAGGTAGTTCGAGCCTCATTATCTCAAACTCTTATAACTCAAAGATCTGGTATAACTCAAAGTATTTCGTTGATCCCTGCAAACTTCACACTATGCATTCAAACTTCAAGATAACAAGGTTTAACTGTAGTTGGGATATATTCATTAAAAGGCTCACTTGAGCTTCAGATCCCTGGTGAGTTCCATCTGTGTCTGCTCCAGTTCTTGACGCTCCTTGGAGTGCTCCTCTTGTAAGTCCATGATCTCAGCTTTCGTTGATTGCAATTTTGCGAAAAGCTACAAAGCAATAATAAATATTTAAAAGTTTTAATCATTCAAACCCTTTATATATAATTAATGCATTTTCATACAACTTTATCTTCACTGAATATATACATAAAAGTAAAATATCATTCTCAGTGTGTTGATCATAATGAATGACTATTGATCTTATTCAGCTTTTGTTTACACATTGACTGTGACATAATAACATTTACTAGAACTTCAATCATCATATGATGGTCAACCTTCTCCAGACCTTACATCGTCCTAGCTTTACAGTGGTCAGCCTTCTCCAGACCTTACATCTCCCTAGCCTTACAGTGGGTGACCTTCTCCAAACCTTACATCGTCCTAGCCTTACAGTGGTCGACCTACTACAGACCTTACAACTCTCTTGCCTTACAGTGAATGACCTTCTCCAAACCTTACATCTCCCTAGTCTTACAGTGGGTGACCTTCTCCAGACCTTACATCTCCCTAGCCTTACAGTGGGTGACCTTCTCCAAACCGTACATCTCCCTAGCCTTACAGTGGTCGACCTTCTCCAGACCTAACATCTCCCTAGCCTTACAGTGGGTGACCTTCTCCAGACCTTACATCTCCCTAGCCTTACAGTGGGTGACCTTCTCCAAACCGTACATCTCCCTAGCCTTACAGTGGTCGACCTTCTCCAGACCTAACATCTCCCTAGCCTTACAGTGGGTGACCTTCTCCAAACCGTACATCTCCCTAGCCTTACAGTGGGTGACCTTCTCCAAACCTTACATCTCCCTAGTCTTACAGTGGGTGACCTTCTCCAGACCTTACATCTCTCTAGCCTTACAGTGGGTGACCTTCTCCAAACCGTACATCTCCCTAGCCTTACAGTGGTCGACCTTCTCCAGACCTAACATCTCCCTAGCTTTACAGTGAGTGACCTTCTCCAGACCTTACATCTCCCTAGCCTTACAGTGGGTGACCTTCTCCAAACCTTACATCTCCCTAGCCTTACAGTGGATGACCTTCTCCAGACCTTACATCGTCCTAGCCTTACAGTGGGTGACCTTCTCCAAACCTTACATCGTCCTAGCCTTACAGTGGGTGACCTTCTCCAGACCTTACATCTCCCTAGCCTTACAGTGGGTGACCTTCTCCAAACCTTACATCTCCCTTGCCTTACAGTGGTCAACCTTCTCCAGACCTTACATCTCCCTAGCCTTACAGTGGGTGACCTTCTCCAGACCTTACATCTCCCTAGCCTTACAGTGGTCTACCTTCTCCAGACCTTACATCTCCCTAGCCTTACAGTGCGTGACCTTCTCCAAAACTTACTTCTCCATGCCTCACAGCACTGCAGACCTCATGTCTCCCTAGCCTTGATTTCCTATATATAACTAAACCAGCTTACCGTAAATCTCGATGAAACACATTTTGCTCGGACTAGCTACCTTTAAGCAATTTATACACAGGTTAATTACCTTTTTGAGTTTCTTTGTTTTTATTTCTACTTCTTGCTGCATGGAATTATAGGTATCCTGCATTTCTACTGCAGATTCTTCCTTCTCCTCCAGCTTCTGTTGGATTTCTCGTTCTCGTTTCTGATCAGAATAGTAAACTTCTTTTTTAAAACAATGCTTTATTATCAAGATTTACACAAAGACAGAACACAAAGTTCACAATCGTTTGGTATAGGGCCATACTGGTCCTCAACATTTTCTTCATATCAGAGACATAACAACTTATATTACTAAATATTAAAGGTCATTAATGACATTTAAGTTCATTCATGTAAATACATCAATAGACATGGCAAGTCTACATTAAAAAAAAATCAAGAACACAATTAAAGACCAAGGGAAAGCTACAATTGAATTAATAATCCATCAATTATTTCTTAAGTGACAGAAATAACAAATAAAAATAAAAAAAGTTTGCCAGTCATCAATTTTATTTTTCCTGCTTATTCTCAAAAATTTATGGGCACTACTTGAGATTATGGGAAGCCTACATATGATTTTTGAGAAAATAGCTGACTAAAAATGTAATGATATCAAACAAAAAATGTTCGGAGCTGAACTAAATATTACCTCTGATTTGTATTGCATTCATGCAATTATAAGTGTTACCTTCTGATCAGCTATTTCTTTCCTCCTCTGCTCCAGGGCACGTTGTTGCTCATTAGTATGATCCACAATATTCTTACCGCCCATCAGCAGTTTGCTTTCCATGGCCTATATACGATGAATAAGAGTGTGTAAGTCCAGAATAGTGAACTACATGTATTACATAAAGGACATGATTAAGGTGTTGGTATTTGCCTATCCAAACTTTTCTTAAAGTGAAGCTTATATTTTTAAACATTTCTTAAGAGCTAAAGCTAAATATACTTTTAAACATTTCTTAAAGCTAAATACATCTTTAAACATTTTTTAAAGCTAAATATATTTTTGAATATTTCTTAAAGCTTATATCTATAAACATTATCTTTAACAGAAACAGAAATAAAAAAAGGCAAATTGGATGTAACAATTTTAGTTCCCTTTACCTAAACCCTTGGTTATGGGAAAAATTCCAACTTCAATTTTTGTTTGGAATTAATATAGAGCTATTATTGAACAAGTAGATCAGTTTCATTAATATTAGTCTATATCTTGCCTAAAGCTGTGGATTAAAAGACAGACTGGATTCAATAGATGTTTGTCCTCTCACCTTTATCTTGGCTGCCAATCCATCCCTGGCTTCTTGCTCTTTCTTCAGTTTTTCTTCCCTGTCCGATATTTCCTGTAGTATTCGATCTTTTTCCTGTCAAATACCATAAATAATGATCCACTATTAACTTATGTCCACATGTATGTAATGATTTCTATCAGCATTTCAAAGTCCTACATATGTGTCCACTTTCTAACATTTACAGTATCAAAACAGATAGCAATAAACAGTGGCTAAATGAACTTTTTACATTCTTTGTTAAAACAACATCATCCATCCAGATTAATAACAAAAAGCATTAAATGCGCCAACACTATGGAAGAATAACACAAACAAACAAGATTTCCGCAATGCAGTACCAGATACAATCATCATAGGTCAAATGAGCATATTGCAAAAGGAAAGGAAATTTACTAATGTTTAATGTCCAATAACACATTAAGATCAATAACTGACCATGTCAGTTGTTTAGTTGTGGAGGAATCTGAACCACCAAGTGTCAATGGAGATAACGTTCTGAGATGATCCAAGAAAAATACTGAAGTTATTATTTCATCAATATTACAAAGGCCATTACTCAAAAAATAATGTGTTAATAATTTTGGTTATCAAACTTGTCTGAACTATGGTGATAATGAGCCTTTTCTTAAGTGTATCCATTGGAAATGACTTGAGATATTGAGTGGATTTTGTGAATTACAGGCCGAAAGTTGCGTTTACCAAATTTGTTCTAACTATAACAGTAATGAACCTCCTTATAATGGAGTTTGAAGTTTCTTGGTTGAGAACTAATCAAGATATCAAGCAGAAACTGTTTTGATGATTAAACAAAGGGTCATAACCCTGTGTAAAATCAGGTCATCAAACTTGTCTGAGTGATCATGGTAATGAACCGTCAAATCAGCTAGGAAGTTGATCTTTTGAATGCAAATTGAGATGATGATGCAGACACACTCGGTAACTAAATCCGCGGTGTTAACTCTGTAAATTACTGTCCAAAAATCACTGTAATCAACTTTTTTTGAGCTATCATGGTAATGACCCTTTCTAAGAAGTTTGAAAGTGATCTGTTTAAAATTATTAAAGTTCTCGAGCAGACATCGCATGTGCCTGCCTGCTCACATGATAACATAACACAACCTGCCTTTCAATGGTCATATAAAAACTGTTTGTGCTGACACACAATCCGATCATATACTGCACAAAAATCTGGAAATGCACAATTTTCGTATAAGCATCAGACATCCTCCAAAGCAAAAAACACAAGGAAAACTTCAAAAGTATTCTCATGTGGGCAATGTTTGCCAGCAAAGAACAGCGCGGCTATGCTGTGTCACAATGGCGAGACATGAGATGAGGAACATGTGCCTACATACAACAAGGGCTCTGTTAAATCAGGTAAACAATGAAACCCCACAATAACTTAACTTGTTAGAATATGTGTTATCTTATTATCTTTGCTTATTGACAGAAACATTCTATAGGACAAATGGGTAATGTACTAGAGAGAATTGGAGTAGACAGACAAAAAATGTCAGAGACACGAAAGATTCCCTTCAGTCCGAAAGTTGTTACAAAGGATTATTTTGGGTGCATCCATTCCATCAGATATCAGATTCAAGTATAACTAAAAGACCGAGAGCAGGATATGTTTGCCAACTTTCAAACCAGCACTAAATAGCTTTTAACTACTGTTGTTACACCTTAAATATTAATAACATTATTATCTCCCCTTTAATCATTTCTGGTATATAATGTCATAATGTTGTAACTAAGATAATAATGAACTAATTGTCTGAAGATAGCTAACAAGCTTTAAAATGTTATGGAAACTTTGTCTTGTGGATATTTCCTGTTTACATACATATGTATACAGTAATACCAGACAGAGGTCGGGTTACTTCAGCTTTCTGATAACACAGGGTTTTATCACAAGATCAGTTGGTTTTCTGGTTTTTTATCCTCAATAGTAAGACAGAATATTCCTTTTACCTCCTGTATCATTGTTTGGTTGCTAAGGATAGCGTTTTTCTGTTCCTCTAACTTCGCCTCTTGTTCCCGTCTGTATTCTGCCTCATCCTCAGAATTGTTTCCTTCGTAGCCTTCTTCATTATCATCACTCTCCTCATCAGAACCACTGATGACTTCCCCTGCACATAAAAAAATTTCAATTTTTTTCCCAATTCATTTTTTATTAAAAGCAATAGAGACAACTTTTTTAATGAACTTTTTCAAGAAAATTCAAGGCCAACAAAAAAGAGTTCAGAAATAGCTAAAGGTCACAACACCATCACATACTCAAACCATTATTTAACTTTGATATAATTGTTGGATAACACTCTGATAATACCATCTATGTTGTTTTACATGTTATTTAACACCTAGGTACTCACCATCAGCATTACGTCTACTTCTCTTGCCTTTCCTGCGTTTCTTCGGACCCCCTTTTTGGTTTAAATCAGCCTTAAGTCTGCAATGACAGAGAATGTTTTTGATAAACAGTACTATACTATTAATAGTTTAAAATGGCAACAAACCTATCTGGAATGTACAAGTGTCACGATAAATAGATAGTCGTGTGAATACTATATAATTCAGTGTAAGATGTGACTAGAGTCGTGTGAATACTATATAATTCAGTTTAAGATGTGACTAGAGTCCTGTGATTACTATATAATTCAGTGTAAGAAGTGACTAGAGTCCTGTGAATACTATATAATTCAGTGTAAGATGTGACTAGAGTCCTGTGAATACTATATAATTCAATTTAAGATGTGACTAGAGTCCTGTGAATACTATATAATTCAGTGTAAGATGTGACTAGAGTCATGTGAATACTATATAATTCAGTGTAAGATGTGACTAGAGTCCTGTGAATACTATATAATTCAGTGTAAGATGTGACTAGAGTCATGTGAATACTATATAATTCAGTGTGAGATGTGACTAGAGTCTATATAATAAGTCGTGTGAATACTATATAATTCAGTGTAAGTTGTGACTAGAGTCGTGTGAATACTATATAATTCAGTGTAAGATGTGACTAGAGTCGTGTGAATACTATATAATTCAGTGTAAGATGTGACTAGAGTCGTGTGAATACTATATAATTCAGTGTAAGATGTGACTAGAGTCCTGTGAATACTATATAATTCAGTGTAAGATGTGACTAGAGTCCTGTGAATACTATATAATTCAGTGTGAGATGTGACTAGAGTCCTGTGAATACTATATAATTCAGTGTGAGATGTGACTAGAGTCCTGTGAATACTATATAATTCAGTGTAAGATGTGACTAGAGTCCTGTGAATACTATATAATTCAGTGTAAGATGTGACTAGAGTCCTGTGAATACTATATAATTCAGTGTAAGATGTGACTAGAGTCCTGTGAATACTATATAATTCAGTGTGAGATGTGACTAGAGTCCTGTGAATACTATATAATTCAGTGTAAGATGTGACTAGAGTCGTGTGAATACTATATAATTCTAGAGTCATGTGAATACTATATAATTCAGTGTAAGATGTGACTAGAGTCCTGTGAATACTATATAATTCAGTGTCACTTGGAGCCAGGAATCTTTGAAGTCATTCAGTGTATACTTGATCATTTTATAACAAGAATGCCAACACACCACAAATCTTTTAACCATGAATGATATTATACTGAAGCACTACATGTTTAATGTTTTTCAAAATCAATACTCAGGAAAACTTTCAAACTCACCTGGCAATTTCTTCCTGGAATTCTCTCAGCAGAGCATCTTTAGGATCTTCGTTGATCTTGGGTTTGTTCTTGATGTTCTTTGCACTATTTGCATATCTGTTGGCAGTAATTTCTGACAGTGGTATTCAACTGATAATATCACAACTTCACAAACCTCAAGATAACAAATTAAACTGACTACTGCTAAAGCAATACATGTCCCCACCAGCCATCAACAAGCTATTACACTGTAATTTATAAAGACAGTACTGTTTGTGTCCATTTGGATAAAAAGAAGAGTTTACCATTTGTAACTGATTCCAATGCAATAATAAGTATGACAATTTGACAATATAGTTTCATCACCAACATGTAATAATTTGTTAATGTGTTATGGTCATTTGTAAGTCTGTGAGGTTTGATCAAAATCCTGTAAAGAATGAAGCTGCAACAGCACAAAAAAGATTAATGGCGACCTTGATTTTGATCCAACAACCTTGAAACTTGAACTTGTCCAAGATATTTTGATGCTTAATAAGCATGTGAAGTTAAAGGATAATCTCTCAAAGAATTAAACTGCTAGAGGGCTGACGATGATTTCTAGAAATAGTAATAGTGACCTTGACCCAACAACCCTGAAACTTGAACTTGTCCAAGATATAAAAGTAATGAAACCACTAGAGTGCTAAAAGACTTTCAGAGATGCTGGGACAGAAGCATGGACGGACAGAGCAGAAAACTACAGTCCCCATCTGTTTCACTGGCAGGAGACTTAAAAGTATATACAGAATGCATACATTGTGGGAAGTGTGCTGAGAGTCTCATAATAATTGACCTATAGAAAAGAATGATTTTTTTAAAAATCAACCTCATATAAATCTAAGTATGCAATCATCTTTGTCCTGAATAACCTACAAACTTAAGTATGCTAACAGATTTGTTGTAATTGACATACAAACTTACCGTAAGTGTGCTAAGAGATTTGTTGTAACTGACATACAAACCTAAGTGTACTAAGAGATTTGTTGTTATTGACCTACAAACTTATGTGTGCTAAGAGATTTGTTGTAACTGACATACAAACCTAAGTGTGCTAAGAGATTTGTTGTAACTGACATACAAACCTAAGTGTACTAAGAGATTTGTTGTTATTGACCTACAAACTTATGTGTGCTAAGAGATTTGTTGTAACTGACATACAAACCTAAGTGTGCTAAGAGATTTGTTGTAACTGACATACAAACCTAAGTGTACTAAGAGATTTGTTGTTATTGACCTACAAACTTATGTGTGCTAAGAGATTTGTTGTAACTGACATACAAACCTAAGTGTGCTAAGAGATTTGTTGTAACTGACATACAAACCTAAGTGTACTAAGAGATTTGTTGTTATTGACCTACAAACTTATGTGTGCTAAGAGATTTGTTGTAACTGACATACAAACCTAAGTGTGCTAAGAGATTCGTCGTAGTTGTAGCTTGCCGGACCAATATTTGCAACCATCACAGTTTTGGCATTCCCCCCAAGAGAATCTGAAATTGACAAAATCACCACACTTAAGTAGTTAGGTAAATCCAACAAACTTAAGAAATACAGCTCATTCAAGTGTACCATTTGTATGATAAATGATCATTTATGACTCATTCCATGACAATTGGGGACATGAAACTAATACAACTGCTTCAAGTAGGCATTGTCAATCAATATAAATTTCATGGCAATATTCAAACTTTCATTGCAACTTCTTCATTCTGAATAATATGAATGAAGCATAAAGCTAGAAAATATCTGCAAGACAAGAATATCCTTCCTCCCTAGAAATCAGTATCAATTTTTGATGATTTTGATAATACAAACAGTGTACCTGTAAAGAAGATAATATGTTTGAGTAATGAGAGTAACTCAGGATGAGGCACCCTGGAACAGGATGGACTTGTATGGGTAAGTCTTCCAACCCCTAAAATGGCAATGAATGAAAATAAGCTTGTCCAATTTATTTACAGAAAGCACATCCTCCATTTTAAAGCCTACAGCATTCATATCAGCTATGCATGCCAAGTAAATTTGGTTAGATCTTATGGAAGCAATGCCGTTCAATAATAAAACTTACCTTGTAACAATCTTGTCAGTTTTGCGTCACGATATGGAATGTGGGTGCTTTTGTCATTCACCAAAGCCGCAATAACATTACACAAAGCTGATAAAGACAAGTTGATCTTTGTCGCTTCCCGCAAACGGTCTCCCTGAAGCAGAAGGATTATAGAGTATAAAAAAAGTGATACTGAACAATAATTATACTGGACCTGTGATGTCATCGACTGTACTAGCAGTTATAGAAGTCAGGGAATGTTTATACAACCTAACAAAGAATAGAGTAGGAACTAAGTAAACGAGAGCAAGGTTTATATAACCCCTCCATATTTACAACCACCAGTCTCATGGTATATAGAATTTGTTAATGGAAATTGAGATCAGTGACATAGAGGTGAATTTCTCAGATACCACAATCTACTTCCTACCAGATGGCAGTCTAGACAGCAAACTGTATAATAAACCAACACATGCTTTCCTCTACCTACCCTACCATAGTTGTCACCCCAAACACCAACAAGAGTGCCATGGACACAATATACACCGCCACAAAATATGAAGATCAAGATAAAATGTTGTCAGCCGATAGTCATACAGACTAAGACAGCATATAATAAAATTGATGTAAACATTGTTTTAGTCTAGTGCTTTGTAATTTCTTTACTACATGTGCTAGTGCAGCAGGGCTACCAGACATTTAGAAGGGCTACTGCAATCAAATAATTGGTAGCCCTTCGGGCTACTGCCTTCAAAATGTTACTGTCAACCCCTTATTACTGTTTGTATTACCATATAACCTACAAAATCCACCCATAGCCAGATTCCATAGGAAATATGAACACATCCTACGGCATGGCCTTGGCACAAGAGGCCTACTAGAATACAGAATGATGGTCACTCCTACTAAGTCTAGACCAATCAGGGGTATATTAGTCAAGAGTGATATCAACTATAGTACCGAGCCTAACGGTAGTGGACCGTGCCGTCTGAGCTGCAGAATATGTAGTCATGTGACACCAACTAAATCTTTCGTTAGCAACACGAAATTCAAAGTCAATGGACACATTGAGTATAAACGCAGTATATCTAATCACATGTAACCAAGGGCACGTACAATATGTTGGGGATAAAGGGATCATCACCAGTGGACCTGCCAAGACCACCAGGGCCATCCCAGATACAATGGACATGTTAAGGGAAGCCCTAGTTTTGAGCAATTTAACCAGCACATCATCAATAGCAAATATATCCGATATCAAGTGTGAAGTGAATTACAGAGAATTAAGATATTGTTCAGAATCATCCTCCACTGAAGGGTTGGATGACCATTTTGGATGTTGAACTTTGAACTATGTTTTATTTAATGTTACATTATGATTATACATTTTAACTAAGGATATTTATAACTTTATAACTGTGAAGGAAAATCATTTTATATGAGTGATCTTACATTATCCACAGAGTTATCAGGTATGACAAGAATAGGCTAATATAGCACGTCACAAGAGATAAGTACCTGAAATTTTAATACTTTAGGGGAAGAATTTTGTAACTAAATTGTTGTGATAGGACCCGATCTGAACCAGTTGACCAATAAATAGACATGGAAAACACTAACTTGTCCTAAGTTCGTTGCAATCAATGTACTCCTTATAGATTTGCCCTTATTCTACCATTGCTCTACATACTATTTGGTATCCAGATGACGAACACCAGGACCTACCTATCCATCACCACCCATTCTGGCGTTGACTCTACCTTTGGACTAGTTTGCTTATTCATTCAATATTTGATAATACTGATCTTAGAAGATCAGGCAAAAACTTACAGTTGCTCCAGTCTTAGACTGTCGTTCACTTCCAGCTAAGTCTACAAGGTTGAGTCGACCCACTCGGATATGGTTTTCTCCATCAGCACCAATCTACGTGTATCAAATTGACAGAACATTTATTTTAATAACTTAATTTTCTTTTCATCAAATTCTCATGAAATCCTGGGATTGTCTTTTAAAATGAATATATTCTAAACTTTCAGGATTTATGGACAACAATAGAACAAAACATTACATATATCTAATTATGGTCTTGTTTTTGTAAAAAAGGCTCTTAAATGAAAATGGATTATTCTGCATAAAACTATTAAATTAACAAGTCCCTATTGGTGGCATCGTGATTCCTTAGATCTGAAGAATGATTGTAAACCATTACAATGTAACACCTGTACTAACAACTGACTTTAGCAATACATTACACTCTAACACCTGTACTAACAACTGACTTTAGCTATACATTACACTGAAACACCTGTACTAACAACTGACTTTAGCTATACATTACACTTTAACACCTGCACTAACAACTGACTTTAGCTATACATTACACTCTAACACCTGCACTAACAACTGACTTTAGCTATAAATTACACTCTAACACCTGCACTAACAACTGACTTTAGCTATACATTACACACCTGCACTAACAACTGACTTTAGCTATACATTACACACCTGCACTAACAACTGACTTTAGCTATACATTACACTCTAACACCTGCACTAACAACTGACTTTAGCTATACATTACACTCTAACACCTGCACTAACAACTGACTTTAGCTATAAATTACACTCTAACACCTGCACTAACAACTGACTTTAGCTATACATTACACTCTAACACCTGCACTAACAACTGACTTTAGCTATAAATTACACTCTAACACATGCACTAACAACTGATTTTAGCTATAAATTATACTCTAACACCTGTACTAACAACTGACTTTAGCTATACATTACAATGTAACACCTGTACTAACAACTGACTTTAGCTATACATTACACTCTAACACCTGCACTAACAACTGACTTTAGCTATACATTACACTCTAACACCTGCACTAACAACTGACTTTAGCTATACATTACACTCTAACACCTGTACTAACAACTGACTTTAGCTATACATTACACTCTAACACCTGTACTAACGACTGACTTTAGCTATACATTACAATGTAACACAAGTGACTTTGCTATACATTGCACTAACAACTGATTTTAGCTATACATTATACATTACTAACAACTAACAACTGACTTTAGCTATACATTAACTAACACCTGCACTAACAACTGACTACATTACACTCTAACACCTGTACTAACAACTGACTTTAGCTATACATTACACTCTAACACCTGTACTAACGACTGACTTTAGCTATACATTACAATGTAACACCTGTACTAACAACTGATTTTAGCTATACATTATACTCTAACACCTGTACTAACAAGTGACTTTAGCTATACATAATACTCTAACACCTGTACTAACAACTGACTTTAGCTATACATTACACTCTTACAGTTTAGTTTATTAGTTAATGAATACAAGGATATTTCCATCGGAAAAACTATATAGAATTTTGACAGACATACCTCACTGCATTCTATGGTGATGATGAAGATTGCATGTGACCTGGAACTATGTTCGTTCATGTTGGTTGCTCTGTGTAATATATAAACAAAACACTTTTATCATCTTTACCATAATCTTGTGTATTTATAATTGAAACTGAACAAAGACTTTCAACAGGTAATGTCACCAGTCACTTACCCTACAGCTCGATTAGAGTTTCCTTTGTGCATTACTTGTTCTATCTCTTTCACGCTGTTGGTTACAAATGATGATAAATCCTAAAACAAATACAAAACATTTATAAGTAATTAAAATGTGTCACTATTATATTCTAGTAGAAAAGTTGATACCGTAACAGCCGTCCTTACATTGAGATTTGTAAACAACATGAATCAGAATTATCTTCTAGTAGAAAAGTTGATATAACTAATGCTGTACTCGTAATAAGATTTGTAAATAACATGCTTCAGTATGCCTGTAGAAAAGTTGATATCGGTTGATATCTAGTAGAAAAGTTGATATAACTAATGCTGTACTCGTAATAAGATTTGTAAATAACATGCTTCAGTATGCCTGTAGAAAAGTTGATATCGGTTGATATCGTAACTAATGCTGTACTCGTAATAAGATTTGTAAATAACATGCTTCAGTATGCCTGTAGAAAAGTTGATATCGGTTGATATCGTAACTAATGCTGTACTCGTAATAAGATTTGTAAATAACATGCTTCAGTATGCCTGTAGAAAAGTTGATATCGGTTGATATCGTAACTAATGCTGTACTCGTAATAAGATTTGTAAATAACATTCCTCAGTATAACTGTAGAAAAGCTGATATCATAACTAATGCCATACTTGTCATAAGATTTGTAATTACCTTAACATACACTCCTGTGTCTGGTCGTTCCTTTAATTCCAATTTCCTTGTGTGATCCTTGGACAATAAATCCCGTATGTCTTCCTGTATAAAATTATTGTACATTTTTTAATGAATGAATTGCTGCCACCACAGGACTCCTTGATCAATATTTCCTTTGATTATTACAAGGCAATTAACTTTATGGAACGACCTTAAAATCTGACAAATTGAGGACAAGAATTCAAAGCTTATTTAATCTTATATTTTATAAATGTCGAGAATGGAAAAATTAAACATATGTAGTTGTTACAGGTGATATTACATGTGACTTACTGAAAATATATACAACACTATATTATAACAGAGTTACAGTGGTATTGTATAATACAGGATAAAATGTATGAGTGTCTTTTTTCTGTCACCTGATAAATTTCAAGATATGAAGCTCTTATAAGGTACTGCTGATTTTCGGATCTGGAAATATGTTGGAAAATATGTTCAAAAGAGTTTGGGATCACTCCTCTTGTCTCTGGATCATTTTTCACACCTGTAAAATTGTGAAAGGCACGTACTGATAATTCTATACCAACATTGGCTAACAAAATGCTCATATAAAATCAGCAAGTAGATAACCTGTTCCCTACGAAAGGAAAGGAAACTGGTCAAACTCACAGGACTGTTTTTCCTTTAAAATTGAATTCCAGAATATCATTATTACACCGAAAAATAGCCTCCATGAAATATATACTGTAATTTTTGTGTATTGCAAGCTCCTGATAGATAGCTCGCACAAGTCTAAATTACTGTTTTTAGAATTAATGTCTATAGATAGCCAACTTCATCGTATTGCCTACCCTAGCATTTACTAATGAGATATTGGCAAGTCAACACCGTGCAAAGTTAAGTCAACTCTACCATATACCTGTAGTTCATTATGGCACATTCGATATGAAAGTGAAGAAAGTCCACTAAAATTGAAAAGGCAATGTTACACTGCTGAAGTTAAATTGTCGTTAAGGTGTACTGAAGAAAATAGAAATAGGGAGGCCGGATGACATTTTGAAATTACATAGATATCCCAAAGCCTGCAATTTTGTGTGTTTTTGGAGAACATTTCGTTACATAGCTGAGGCATTGAAATAAATAATGACCTCTGTTACATATATAAATGTAGTTAACTGGCAAATAAATGTAATTAATTCTATGTTAAATTTCATTGTTGATTCCATTAATGTACAGTTAGAATTACACACTGAAATAGTTCAATCAAACACAGAGAGGACTCACCGTAAAGTTCAAGTACTAACCTTGCATGGTGTAAGTTTTACCAGTTCCAGTTTGTCCATAGGCAAATATAGTTCCATTAAAACCTTCTATGACTGATTGAACCAAATCACGAAATGTCTCTTCGTATAATTCTGTCTGCTTGGAGCTGTAGCAAGGATCAAATGTGAACTATTAAACTAGTACATGCAACACAAGTGTAGTGATCCTAACCTTATCATCCAATAGACTGAAATATCAACTATCCTGCATATAAAGCTGAAATTACACAATAAATGAAATTATAGACTTTACAAGCTAAGCATTAAAAGAACAATTTCTTTAAATTTTAACAATGATATTAATATTTATATCAAACTGCAATTTACAAGACAAAACAAATACCATTTACTCAATTATCCAGAAGAAAAATGACAATCAGAATTGAACTACCTCAGCATTTTAGACTTGAAGTCTTAATGTAAAACGTGACTGACAAATAAGAATCTAAGAAGTCACCATTGCGAATACTCTGACAGTATGACTGTTGTGATGTGTACAATCAAGCATGAGCTTCAGACCTCTTCCCCGAAAACATGGGTCTGAGATGTTGGTTTAGTTGCAATTGTTTTCCCACCTAAGACTCATTGGTTTTACCAAATAGGTTTTCCATTATTTAAAAAAAAACCAAATGTTTCCAGTCAAAGCTCCAAAGAGCTAATATTGAACTTGTAAACTTAAATAAATATTCATCGTTTTAGAAGTACAGCGACAATGTATGAGGTTGGCATCAATCAGACTTACTGAAGGTATTGGGCTTCACTTATCCTGTTTGGTTTAAATTGCTTAACATCCAATCAACAGATAGAGTCATTTAAGTAAGGATCAATGTTTCATTAAAATCAGACTTACTCCCAGTCATACACAGCATCAAATGTGAAGTCTTTTGGTGGCTCTGTCGATAGTCCTTTGGGATTCTTAATCATTATCACTCCTCTGTTTACTTCCATTTCCACAATCCTGAAATGTAGCAATTGGATGAACATGTCATTATATCTATTATTAATTAAAACAAGTTATCAGTAATATGTCACCAAAAAAGGTGATTATTTCTGAAAGTGATCATGTCACATATTCTATATGAAGAAAACCAAGACAGATGTTTCCATCATTACCAATGTGACTCTGATCGATGAAATTAATCAATAATTATCTATGTTTTTCCTTTCAAAATTTCAGCTCGTGAAAAAGTCCACACATAGAGCTCCAAAATAGAAATTTAATCGTATGTCAAACAGGAAAGGTCAAAACCTAGAAATCTAATGGTATGTCAAACAGGAAGAGTCTTGAGTGGGATTTTTAATATATATGATGAAAGAAGCTTTTTAAAACCCGACCGCAATAAGACCAAGGACCTTAACAAGCCTCTGACTTGTGTATAAACTGTTGTTTTTATTGTTGTAACATATGCCATAGAAATCATCTTGTTAACAAAGTAACATAGTTTGAATCACATTGTACATGTAATTCAAATGTTAAACGTATATAGCATTAAACTCCATCCCAAGGTAATAATTCTAAAACCTTTTGAATTAATACAACCAAAATTTGCCACAGGGAAACATGAGACAAACTTTTACTGATTTTGATTCTTCCATATTAAGGTGTTGAAAAGAAGATTTAGAAATTTCAGGTGATTTAACCCTTTTTAGTCCTGCCCAAATATAATTCCCAATTTTGGTTTATCTTTTGCCATGTGGTGTTTCAATGAAATATCATTAAATTTGGTTCTGTATTTTTGTGAATAAGACAAAATTGTGAATTGTTGACAGACGAACAAGGGATGATGACCGACTAAAGACAACTGTAATAGATCACCTGAGAGTTTGTCTCTCATTGGGTTGTTCTTGTGGTCAATATACTCTTGCTTTTCTTATGTATACTTTGATATGTAACATCTCACAAATTCACACAGGAAAATTAAAGTGGCAAAATTTACTCAAGTTCAAAATATGTTTGGAGTAGCAAATAACCATTAAGACTATTTAAAGATTTTATATGTCATATTGAAAGGGTGCAAAATCAAGTTTCTCAAACATATGGATGGAAGTTTTTTTTTTCAAATTTCCAAAGAATATCTTTTGTTGTTGGATTGGACATTACCTTGGCAGCTAGGGAAACAGCATTTGCAGGTGGATGCCAGTAATTTCTGACTTGAAATGATAAAATTTTATTACTGTGGTTGTTGTTCTAATGAGATTAATTTCGCTATTTCAACAGGCAAACTGTATGTGTTGGGGTTGTTTCATGATCAAGGTACCTCTGTGTATCTATGTATACTTTGGTATGTATATAATAAATTGAATGCATTCTATTTATTATTCGTAACAGTCCATCTGAAGGAAATAAAATAGTTACCTTTCATGTCCATCCTTGATTTCTTTTTGATCCATGGGACGGCATCTTACCACAACTCTCACGGACTCCGACTTCTTAGAAGAACCTTTCTTAGACTGAAATAGATTGCAGGAAAAATGAACATTCCTATACATTACATATACTAAATAATGAGAAGCACATATATCAATAAATCCTAGGTCCTGATGTAGCTTGGGAAAAATAATCTTGGAAAATAAGATAGATTAAATGGAATTTTTATGAGATTTTCTATAAATTTAACTTTCTCAATAATTTTATGAAGGTATTCAACTTTTTATTAGAGATGTACTCTAAATGTCCTCTCCAGATTAAACATGCCCACATAATGTGGAAACATACTGACAAAAAACATTGTGGTATATTTTATAATCCTCTTAAGCTAAAACGGAATCAAAATTACATCAGGACTTCAAAAAAAAAAAAAAAAATGCTCAACTGGACAGAAATTCAAGTTACCTACCATTTTTCATTCAGAGTGTACCACTTTTTCTTCTGAAAAAAAAAAGATAAAAATAAGGAAAATGATGCCAAAGATAAGAATCACAGGAGTTGTACATTTGCAAAATGTCTCACTAAGATTTTTTCTTCAATAAATACTATACTTACTTGGTATCTATTACTGAAAAACAACAAAATACATATGATTCATGATCAGTTGTACACAGCTAAATTTACCTTGCTTCATTAAAAGTTTTTTTTTGTACAGAAGTCAAACACTCCTTCAACTGTTTAGGCAAGTCCTGCAAATTACACTAACTGAAAATGTTCCTCAGCGCCATGAAAAACTATTTGCTGAATGTGCAACCATGTCATTCCTATAAATAAGTCTCTATTTGCAAGTTGCAGTCATGCCAATGTTTGTAACTAATTACATCTCTATTCTAATATTTTACATTGACATCTTTTAATAACTAGCACTGTTTTGTTCTTATCAATAATTTAAAATTTAGTTTAGGCACATCAATATATATCATACAATGTTACGTCCTAAATGTACTCTTAATTTCTTCTAACTCATGATATTGATATTAGTCATTTGATATGCAATTCTTTTCATATTGGCAAAACATGCTTTATATGAGCGACAGGTGGCTAGTAATAAGGGTTCCTTCGACGAATTTATTATCATTACTTTCTTTGTTGCAGTTAATACAAAGAAAGAAAAATAAAATTGAGGATAGAATGTCAGAACCATTTGTCGGATATTACACTACATATGTAACGTATCAACTAGCCAAATTATTTTAGAAAATTGTATTATAAATGCATTGGTTACGTCCTATGACGTTATATATCCCTCGAATCTGGTGCTGGGCAAATGCCAAGTCAATACTGAACCTGCTTCAAATGTCATAATCTCTACTGACTTTTCTGTGGTACGTGAACTAGGCTCTTATATGCATAGAGGTATTTTTCCACACAGGAATGCATTCGGTAAATGTCCTGTTTACATCATATCAAACAGTGATATGCAAAAATGTTGTGCAAAATATGTTAAGTAAATTTAACCAAATATATGGCAGATAAATAGCCTTTACCTCAAGATTAACTGATGACTCAAAACTAGCTATTAAGAGCAGATATTGTTTTCAAATTTCTGCAACTGATCGCCGAGACAAGCTCAAGCCGCCATTGCTGTCAAAACTATTCGACGCATGCGTACATTCATTATCCCATCACGCCGTGTGTCGTAATATCTTCACGGTTGGTTTAGGTTTAACTTTACCTATAATTATAATCAATTTCAAATAAATTACTCTAATTCTCCGACTTTTTCTTGATAAACGTTTTTGTATATTCATATTATATGTCGTAATACTATATTATGGAGTCGCTTTACGTTAGCCGCCATTGTTGGTTGCTACAGAAAACAACAGAACAGAAGGCAGGCACCTCGCACCGACTGAAACAATAATCATGGTAAATCATTTAGTTTGCTCGGTTACAGCTTGATGACGTTCTTCAAACGTTTTCGGACGATTAATTTGATCAGGAAGAATTATATTGAAAGCAAACTGCACATTTCTTTAACAAAGCAATGTTTTCAACTGCTACTGCCAACTTAAACGGCACACCAGTCACCATCACCAAAATATTAATCGACAAAAATACAACACGGAACACTATACATTCACTAAATGTGAAACTTCTCGATTTCGATACAAGCTGTGATGAACGAATAAGACTGGTATAGAGTAAAAACACACAAAATTCAGAAGTATAACCTTAAGTTAACGTCATTTACAAGATCATCCATTTGATTACAATGTATATGTAATGGAAAGACAGACTACAGAAACAGACACGTGCACCCCTATCTCAGTGTAACCGCTGTAATAGTGTGCCTACACAGTTAAAGGAAACTACAACCCTCAGTGTATGAGTCTGTCGGTGCAATGATCAAGCTACATGAAATTTCCTTGACCATGAAGCTGGAAGTTGACCATATTTTCCATGTACATTAATAAAACGCTCTCTTCTGATGTATTTGGCTTCACAAACCACAACCCAGGTACTCTAGCTCATATGAAGCCTCGCTATATCTTGCATCAAACATAACTGGAAAGGAGTAGAGTGCCTCTGCTAGGAATCGAACCCACGACCCCTGGCTTACTGATTTCGCGAAAGATTCATTTGAATACAAAACTAGAATGTGACCACATTATCAGTACATAAGATATAGACTCACTACTTCACACACAATTATAAATTGGGTGATCATTTCTTTTTCTTTTTTTTTTTTTTTTTTTGAAAATTCAAGATATAAATATCTTTCAAAAGTCCTTTATAACAGTGACTGACTTGTAGTGTTAAGTTACATGAGGAGATAAATGAACAAACATAACACTGGTCAATTCTAATGTATATTGCAGATGGAATACAGAAAATGTTAACAAAGATATTCAGTTTATTCTTAAAAGATTTTGAAGTCTTGTGACATGCTCCTATTAACAGGATACTAATAAGAGGTATCAGTGTGATAAAGTGTGAATATTCCCCCAAAAGTGAAGATATTTGGAAGTGTGATAGTATCATCGTAAATGTAGTTGTATGATAGTTATTGATATAAACTGTGATGAACGAATAAGACTGGTATATAGTAAAAACACACAAAATTCAGAAGTATAACCTTAAGTTAACGTCATTTACAAGATCATCCATTTGATTATAATGTACATGTAATGGAAGCACAGAAACAGACACGTGCACCCCTATCTCAGTGTAACGGCGGTAAATGTAGTTGTATTGTATGATAGTTATTTTATTAAGGTATACCTCCAACACAAGTCTCAAAAATATATATGAAGGAGAAATTTATGTATAATGAAGAGAGTTGGTTATTTCTGTAGCCTCCTAAGAAGGCAGCACCTAAACTGTCCAAAGCAGAAAAAGAGAAACTTCAGCAGGAGGAAGATGAGAGAAAAGCACAGGAAGATGGTAAACTTGATTTACTTTACAGTATTGGGGGTTGTTATAGAACATCAAATATCATATTCATACAAACCTGAAGTATTATTGATTAATTAAATCAGTTTCAATTATCAATTTGATAAATTTTATCATTGAAATCTACTGTAAATTTCATAGCAAGGCAGTTCAACATTTATTAGTTTGCCTATTGGTTCATTCAAGATAAATGGATCAAAAATAGTTGATTCCATTCAAAAACTTATGATATTTGGAATAAGTTACGACTAACATGTACCATTTCCTGAGAGGGTTTATGTATGTTCATTTTGTCTCGTTATCTTTGTAGAGGAGGCTCGTGAGAAAGCTGCTGTTGAGGAGAAGGAACGAAAGGCAAAAGAAAAACAAGTTGCTGCAGAAAAGAAAAAATTAGAAAATGAGGTGAAAGATTTCTAACAGATGTACTAAGTTTAACACAATTATTTATACTGGCATATAACACATTATGAGGAAACTGTATTCAAATATGTATATACATGTACATAGGTGTTCTATAGGGTATCAGTGTTTTGATGTGGTTGGCTTTGCCTAATAAAGTGCTGATTTATCACAAATTGTTTGAGAAAGTAAATTTCTTCTTTCAAAGGCTCACAAAACAGTATATCTATTTGTTGTACAAATTTTCAGGAGAAAAAAAACAGATCAATAGAGATGAAAGAATTGACACAAATCGTGGAAAGAAATACAAATGCTTTGAATGAACTACATAACAACAGGAGGAAGAAAGCAAAGGTATGAACTAGTACAATATGTACTATACCCTTTATCACAATTCTGAAAGTGAACAGCAACTTTTTGTCCTATTGTTGCAGTAAAGATGAATTCTAATCAATTTGTACATAAAGTTATCAAATCATTTGTTTACTTTACATTTCTTAATTTGATGAGCGTTGTAAACCTGAACATTGACTTATAAAATCTGTTTTAACATTTAAAAGTGGGCCAGATATATGAGGTGTGATGGTTCCCCTGATCCCTTAATTCCTGGGGAAATAAATACATACATCAACCTACGTATGGAAGACAGAGAACATGACGATGTAGAGGCTGTCTTACAAGCCAGTAAGCTGGACATCTCTGTAAGTTTGATAAACACCCACTTAGGCCAGTAATTAAAAGCTATTTGATAAAATTCACAGGATAACAGTGTAACTGTGTAAAATATGTTTCCTCCTGTTGCATTAAATTTAGCACTTGATATTAGAATATCATAATCCATGGATACTGGTATTTGAATTTGTATCTTCAAGTTCAGAAACTTCACTGACTGAAGCTTAAATTTACACATAAAAAGTGAAATAAAACAAAAAGTTTAACATTGTAGTATTTGTGTGTTTCCTCACAACCTCATGTTGTCAAACAATTCTTTAACAAACAACCTGTTGACAAGTTTTGTAATGGAAAAGTCTGTAAACCTTAAAAATCTCAATTCTTACAACATATCTTAAATCAAGTGTTATTTGCAATTACTAAGTATGCATCAATCATGTTAAGAAAACATTTACAAGTAATATACATAACGTACCGCTAATTACCTAATTACTTCATATGTGACGAAACTAATAGGTTTGTGGTTTGTTTTGACAGTTGATCAATGAGCTAGATTTTTTACTGGAAGACACTCCCCCAGAGGAGCTATCATCAGAGGAGGTGGCTCGATACAAAGATGTATGTACTAAAGTCAGACACAATTTGTTGGAGTCATACACGTGTACTAAAGTCTCAGAGGCTATGTATTTGTGCAAGTTAGCATTATTTAGACACATTAATACTTTACTAAAGGTTTATTTTCATGAATACGATCATTTTCAAAGAATACACTTTTATCATGTAATTACTTTGTTTGAATTCACTTCTGAAACACTATAGTCCAGTGTGACTGGAATGACTGGCAATGGAGTGTTGTTATTATGAGAAGATTCAAAGTTATATGATCAGAGGGTGTACTAGTTAGCAACCTAATGTTGTCCTGAGCATTCTTGGGTCTAAAGGACAGAATCTCCATATTCAAATGAGTAGTTTGCCTCCTCCTTCTAAACCCCAGACCCACACCCCTTCCCTCCCTTCTCCCTCCCTCCACAAATCCCCCTCTGTCCACATCCCTTCCCTCCATATGTCCCTTCCCCCCTCCTTCCCTTCCTTCATTCCTCCCTCCACAAATCCCCCTCAGTCCAAACCCCTTCCCTCGATATGTCCCTTCCCCCTCCTTCCCTTCCTTCATTCCTCCCTCCACAAATCCCCCTCTGTCCACACCCCTTCCCTCAATATGTCCCTTCCTTCATCCCTTCCCTCCACAATTCCCCCTCTGTCCACACCCCTTCCCTCCATATGTCCCTTCCCCCTCCCTCCCTTCCTTCCTTCCTCCACAATTCCCCCTCTGTCCACACCCCTTCCCTCCATATGTCCCTTCCCCCTCCCTCCCTTTCTTCATTCCTCCCTCCACAAATCCACAAATCCCCCTCTGTCCACACCCTTTCCCTCCATATATCCCTTCCTCCCTCCCTTCCTCCCTCCCTTCCTCCCTCCCCTAGGGTAGGGATTAGATGTGAACCAGGATCTAATAGTGGTAGTAAGAATCCTAAAATCTTTTGTCTTTGTTTTAGCACCTGCAGGATAAGAGATTTTAGCCTAACATGGTCTGACAATGCTCCCTTAGCCAGAGGGCTTGGAAATAAGGGCAAACTTATTCAGTTTATCTTCAGTTTAACTAAGGGAATTTAACCTTACTTGCTCTTAAACGCAATGATATGAAGTTGAATTGTTACATTTAGCCCTTCTTTTTTCTCTAAGACTAAAGAAGACCTACAGACATTGATGAAGACCAAACTTGATTATGCAACAATGAAGTTATTACAAGAAGCTTCTGTACGAGCTGACCAAGAAACCTTTAACTTACAATACGCCATTAAAAATGAAGACACATGCCTCAGTGTGTGGGGAAACTTAAGTAAAAATCCCAGGTATGTACAAGCTAAGTAAAATCCCAGATATGTACAAGCTAAGTAAAAATCCCAGGTATGTACAAGCTAAGTAAAAATCCCAGGTATGTACAAGCTAAGTAAAATCTCAGGTATGTACAAGCTAAGTAAAATCCCAGGTATGTACAAGCTAAGTAAAATCCCAGGTATGTACAAGCTATGTAAAATCCCAGGTATGTACAAGCTAAGTAAAATCTCAGGTATGTACAAGCTCAGTAAAATCCCAGGTATGTACAAGCTAAGTAAAATCCCAGGTATGTACAAGCTAAATAAAAATCCCAGGTATGTGCAAGCTAAGTAAAATCTCAGGTATGTACAAGTTAAGCTAAGAAAATTATTGATGCCCATTTTGTAATAATTTAAAGTTTTTCTTTTTTTTTCAGAATTAAATCTTTTGAGTTTACGAAGCAGGGATTTACATTTGACATCCCACGTTTATTAACACTATCAGACTGTGCTATCAGAGTCCTGGATCCTAAGTATGATCACTACTCACCTACCTGTAAAAGCTTCTATCCTAGACCAAAAAAGCAGCCAGGTATGTTAGAAATATAGGGTAAACTTTTTAGTTTTGACATTTCATTAGGTCACCCACTTGGCTAGTATCTGACATATGGCACCCACTTTCTGGTATAATGGTCATGTGACTGTGTCAACAAATATAAGAAAAAAATCAGTTAATATCATGGCTAGTTTCATGTTTTTTGATTTGTTAGATATTATAAACCATATATTTTTTTCTGCCAACTCCAAAGTGATGTATCACTGATGGTCGATTCTAGTGACTAAGGAATAGTTATACTGTAAGTCATCTTCTTGTGGCATTCACAATATCCACATCACAATAAGCTTGCAAACGTTAACCTCATGACACCAATATATTTGTACTTTCACTTTACACTATGGTTTTGTGAAACATCTATAACATAAGTGTACACTTTTCTGATTTAGACAGAAAGTCTTGTTATTTCCTTTAGAAACACAATAGAACTCATACATAGACAAATTTAGTATAGACAGTACATTTTAATTGTAATACAAGACTTTGGAAGGATTATTATAATGGCTTGTACATCATTCTGCAACCTCCATTGATGGTTTGTTGTTGGCCTGACAGAACCTGAGGTGGTGCCAGAGGAGGAGATCCCACCACCCGAGGAGGCAGCAGCTGTGGAGGAGGAGAAGGTAGACGGGGAGGAAGAACAGCCAGTAGAGCGTGAAGAGACGGTATGCTTCACTGATTATCATAAATAAATCTGTATTCAAAGCTTAGAGAGTGTATTGAAAAGATGTGCTTCTCTGACTATCATAAAAAAGTTGAAAACGAAGAAAAATATATTTCTAATCTTTATGAACTTTTAGAATCCATTACAGTTGAGATGTTACAGAGTGTTTATCTGAGGTCATCAGTGAAAAAAATGTAAATAGAACTAAAAGTTTTATCGTAATAGTGATATCTTTACAATATTATCATGTCAATTTTCAAACAAATTCTTTATAAAAACTTGCATGCATGCACACACACACACACACACACACACACACACACACCACCACCACCACCACCATCACCATATACACATATACACACACAAGAGGTACAGTGTGAGATGTTGATCTTGTTTATGTTCGGGGACTTTGCAGGAAATTGATATTTTATCAACAAAGTTTTAATATGACCATGACCTTGACTGACCTCCTACTTTAATTATGCCCTCATTTTGTCTATTCGTCTTTTCTCCTATGAACACCTGTGTTTTTACCACCTGTGTAAGTATCCACTGGATGTTGACTTATAATGTTATTAACTCTTTGTGCATGTTTACTGTATATCAGGAAATTATGTCAAGTCAGAAATGAAATCCATATGCTCCATATTAACTTTGAATCTCAGTAAAATTCTTCCAGTTTTAACTAATGAGTAAAATCCAAATCCCCCCAGTGTTAACTTCCCATTATAATGCACTTTCCCTGTGTTAGCGTCTCAGTAAAATCCAAATCCCCCCAGTGTTAACTTCCCATTATAATGCACTTTCCCTGTGTTAGCGTCTCTGTAAAATCCATCTCTCCCTTTGTGTAAGCTTCCCAGTGAAATCTGTATTCCCCCAATGTTCACTTTCCAGTAAAATCCATCTTTCCCTTGGGTTAGTTACTTACCAGTAAAATCCATTTTCCCTCAGTGTTAGTTTCCCAGTAAAATCCATCTCTCCCTTGGGTTAGTTACTTACCAATAAAATCCATTTTCCCTCAGTGTTAGTTTCCCAGTAAAATCCATCTCTCCTCAGTGTTAGTTTCCCAGTAAAATCCATCTCTCCCTTGGGTTAGTTACTTACCAATAAAATCCATTTTCCCTCAGTGTTAGTTTCCCAGTAAAATCCATCTCTCCCTTGGGTTAGTTACTTACCAATAAAATCCATTTTTCCTCAGTGTTAGTTTCCCAGTAAAATCCATCTCTCCTCAGTGTTAGTTTCCCAGTAAAATCCATCTCTCCTCAGTGTTAGTTTCCCAGTAAAATCCATCTCTCCTCAGTGTTAGTTTCCCAGTAAAATCCATCTCTCCCTTGGGTTAGTTACTTACCAGTAACTTCCATTTTCCCTCAGTGTTAATTTCCTAGAAAATCCATCTTCCCATGTGTTTCCCCAAGTAAAATTCATATTCTCCCATTGTTACATAATTGTCACTATCAATTTTTGTATTTGTTGTACCTGGTACTTTTGGTAATTCCGTTCTGATGTTTCTGAGAAAAGTCTGACTGTGACATACATTTCCCACTATACAGTAATACTTCAGCATACAGGTTTGGTTACATGTATGCAGTAACACTTGTCTTCTGAATACATATGTATTTATACAGCATGAAATATTTGTAGCTGACTTTAACGCTATCAATATGCAGCTATACATGGACTGGAATGAACCCAGTATCACTTGTAATTAACTGAGTGGCTTTACCTATCACAGCATGAAAACATCTATAGATTTAAGAATCACTGAGTCTAGAAGTACATATGTACTTTACAGGACATTGTGTCCATTAAGATTTCCAATGAGTAATTGTTAACAAACAGCTTCATGGAACGCTCACAGAATTAGACCTGTGAACAAAAATATTGAGAAAATGATTTTAATAGTTAAAAATTAATATACATGCCCAGTGATACATGAATGATAAAAAGTACAAGGGGACATGTCAGTTGACCAGTGAATACCTCATCTTTATCTTAAACTTACTCAGATATAGTAGGTGTTTAAATTTCACTCTTACCACAACTTCTCGAAATAGACTCATCCTTGAGGAAATCATTTTTCGTTTCTTTCAAACATAGATATGGAATGATTGTTATAATGTACATACCCCATTGTTCGTAATGATAGAGAAACTAGAATGAGACTGAGACTTGGTGGGAGGTTGACTTTTATGAAATATAGCCTTTAATTTTGATATGAAGACACTAGGTCTCTTTTGGTCATATGCTTAATGTAAACAGGCCAGGTCTGTTCAAATAGTTCTAGGGGCTTGATGAGGATGTACATGTATTAGAAATAAGATAAGGTTGAAAGAGGCAATACAATTCTATATAATTGTAACTCTCTAACAAATATGTTTGTCTATTAATTGTGAATCAGGTTATTGGTGGTTTGCATAATTGACTACTTGGTTATACATTTGCTAAATTTGGATTTTTACAGATTACTGGTTATAATATGAAAATTAACATTGTGTTTGTGTGACCTTATTATTTGTCTGCCAACTAAATATAGAAACAAGAGCAGCTCTATATCGTTATGTAACAGATTGTGTTTTTGATGTTACCTAGTTCTACAGTAAATATATCTTTTGTTTTTGAAAATGTCATGTTTTCGCAGGTTCTGCTCATGAAAAAATCCAAATGCCCTTTCAGAGCTATAAATACTGTTGGTGAAAGATATCAGCCCATGATTTTATTGTGTTTTACTAATAACATCACCATAGTAATTTCATTTTTAGAAATAAGGAAAAGTTGGATTAAAACTTTTGATGATTTTAAACTTCCATTTCAAATTTGCAGGATTTAATGGCTGCTTTGAAGGAGTTAGAAGACGGACCCAAAGATGAAGAAGAGGAAGAGAAAAAAGAGGAGGAGGAAGAAAAGGAAGAAGAGGTAGAGGAGTTTGAAGAACGAGCAACACCAGGTAAAAAGAAAATTAGCAAATTGAAACGGATAATCTATTTAGATTTGATGATTTCCAAGAGGAAAACTTACACTTACTAATTATAGCACTTCTTACCATTAATTAGAAAACCATGTAGGTGACGGCGGTTTCTCTTTATTCTCATTCTGTGTAACCATTTTTGTGATGTAACAGAACCACAGGAGTGGGAAGACTTCGCTGAAGACGACGACATTGTCGACCTTCGAGCCAATGATATTGTTGGAGGTGTGTTACACTTTGATCTGATGCACTTGCCACCACAACCTAAAAGCATGGCCTCCTGGACAACCACTTTGTGTAAGTACACAATGTTCACATGTGCTTCTGTCTATCATGGCTCTTCTTATCTAGAGCTCACTTGGCTTAAAACACTACATATGTCATGGAAATATCCTTTATCTGATGACAAATATTTATTTTCTTTTAAACACTTCCACGGAAAACAATGCAGTGAAGACTCATCATTTCTGGTTACCAGATTTCCTTCATAGAAGTTACTTCAATCATTTTCATAAGAGCTTAAATATATTTCTCTGTAACGTACATGTTGTTAACAACAGAAAGACTTAGTATTGTCTGGTAGGTCTAGAAAGTACAATTCAGGTGTCAAGCATAACAGTTGCTTTGATAACAGATTTGTTGTAAAGGAAATGACCTCAACCAACTTTTAAAACGTAAAAATATTTGAAGCTATCCAAGAAAGACTTTCAGAAATTACATAATGGTAGTTAGTTTTTTACTGACATCGACTAAATCTACCTGATGACATTTTAGACGGAACTTGGGCAATGTCATTTACAATCCTATTAATCAAACATATCTCAAGACATATATGGTGTTACAGTGGTAGACCCACCAGAGATCCAGTACATGGACTACGTTGCGGACATTGCCCTGGCACTGCCCACTAGTACGGAGAATGAAACTCCCACTCAGGAAAAGAAGGAGAAAGAACAGACACAAGAAACTAAACGTGATGAAAAACCGCCAATTGGAGTCACCATGAAGTATGTACAGTTGTAATAATATAGACTGCAAAATGAACATTTTAATAACTTTTATATAATTTTTTTTATGAATTATTATTTTCTTGAAAAAATATGAACTCTATAAATACTAATCTGTGTTACAGACTCCCAGCTGAAGTACTGTTTTCTGAGGAGCCACTCATTGCCAGATGGGACTACACAAAGAAGCACTGGAAACAGGATGGCTTCTCAGACATGAAATATGATGAAGGTTTGCATTCTTGCTTTCTGAATCTTATGATTTCTATAATGAATATATTTCTGTAACAATTCAAAAATAAAATTTTTAACAAATATTGGTGAATTGGTTTTAATTTGACCTCAATATAACTTAAAAATCTTATGCAAAAATATGGACCTTACTATTCTGAATCTTGTATTTGCATCAATGTTTTGCAGACAAAAGAGAATTCTTTTTTAAGACGGCCTACTTTGGAACATTTGCATTGATGCAGGATTCTCACTTGAATATGCCATTCCAGTCCTGGGAACTCCGTCCCCACAGCACCAACGCTGCCGTCCTCACCATTATTGCGGCCATTGTAGAGATAGAAATAGAAATCAAGGTAGTATAATCAGCTGAATGTTAAACGTACATGTTTGTATAAATAACACGCTGTCATAGGGATTCAGAAATCAGTAGTCTTAAGGTTATGTGAATTAAAAGTTCTATCAACATTGAAGGGGTGCTTGGTTTGTTCTAGCATCCTAACTATATGTAACTCATAAAACAGAAATAATTGATGATTATCTGCTTAATGTAGTAGAAATTGGTACAGGAGTTCAAGTTCCTAAAATCATTGTTTCTTAATTGTAATGTCCAGGATTCTGTCTGCTGTCTGAGTAAACCAGAGGACAGGCCGGAGCTGGATAAGATCAGGAATGTTTGGGTCACACCTAAGGAACTTGTCAAGGTATTTATGTAGTCATTTTTTTTATCAGCATACAACATTAGGTCAATTATTGTATGTTTAGTAAGATCTTGGGAGAGGATCAATGCCAGAATTTTAGTTTGAAACATAGCATTTCCTTGAAATTCCCTTTTCTAATTTATTTTTTTCATCAATGTAAATAAAAATGTGGCCAGCTTTTTGACAGTCACCTATTTGGTGTGATTTATCTTTGCCTTCCTCTAATCTTTGTTATTGGTGTTTTATTGCCTAATGCCTGAAGTCTTTAAGTAAAAATGATTTCCACTTTACAATTTAATGCAGTATCCATTTTTTGATAACAGACAGAAATTCTGTAGTTCCTGGATCTGACGTCTCAAATGACAATAATTATAAACATTATCATTGTATCACTGAGACCGGTATAGAGGATCGTTACGATCCTGCACTGGTAATAAACTAAACTAAACTAAACTAAACTTATCTTTTTAACCAACCAAACTTATTGAATTTCCCATTTCTTTGTTTTACTATTACAGATGTTGAAGCTAGCAGGAATAAATGTGTTCCCAGCTGTAGATTCGTCTAAATATGTTAGCATTCAGAACAAGGTAAGTTACCATGGGACACAGAGTAACAAAATGTGTTATGTTGCTGTTTGAAGCTTTACAAAGGTCTATTGTACCATGTGAACAATATCTGTAATGATAAGGGTTACATTTCAACATCTTTGTCTAAATTAAGTTTGTATTTTCTTACAGATGAATACAGGAGGTTGATATCTTATTGTAATTGTGCTTTACCGTATCTAACAATGAGAGACAAAGAGAGAAGTCTATAGCAATCTTTTACATTTTTACTGATAGTGGAACCATGCGTTATTGGAATGGATTCAACACAACTGATATATATATAAAAAATAAAATAAATGTAATTAAGATTTTGATGTATTTCCATGTAAAAAGTTTGGAGATTTGATGTATATATACTTTTTTAAAATGGTTTCCCAAGCCTAAGGTGGGTATTGAACACAGTGTGAATTTATTTAAGTGTGCATTGAAATATCATTTACAGCTTTAGATACATTTCTGGAAAACAAAAAAGAACAGTTTATCAAGGAATCACATTGCTTGTTATTTTGAGTGTGATGTTTATTTTTTTGTATTGCTATAATTAATTGTAATTATAGTATTACCATTGACTTTGACTCTGTTTGACACTCCATTGACAGTTGGTAAAATCTTATGTTTGACACTCCAATGACAGTTGGTAAAGTTTCATGTTTGACACTCCATTGACTATTGGCCTAGGTTCTGTTTGACACTTCATTGACAGTTAGTAAAGTATCATGTTTGACACTCCATTGACCTATACTCTATTTGACACTCCATTGACATTTGGTAAAGTCTCATGTTTGACACTCCATTGACCATTGGCCTAGACTCGGTTTGACACTCCATTGACCATTGGTCTAGACCCTATTTGACACTTCATTGACCATTGGCCTAGACTAGGTTTGACACTCCATTGACCATTGGTCTAGACCCTATTTGACACTCCATTGACCATTGGCCTAGACTCGGTTTGACACTCCATTGACCATTGGTCTAGACCCTATTTGACACTCCATTGACCATTGGCCTAGACTCTGTTTGACACTTCATTGACCATTGGTCTAGACCCTATTTGACACTCCATTGACCATTGGCCTAGACTCGGTTTGACACTCCATTGACCATTGGTCTAGACCCTATTTGACACTCCATTGACCATTGGTCTAGACCCTATTTGACACTCCATTGACCAATGGCCTAGACTCTTTTTGACACTCCATTGACCATTGGTCTAGACCCTATTTGACACTCCATTGACCAATGGCCTTGACTTGGTTTGACACTCCATTGACCATTGGTCTAGACCCTATTTGACACTCCATTGACCAATGGCCTTGACTCGGTTTGACACTCCATTGACCATTGGTCTAGACCCTATTTGACACTCCATTGACCAATGGCCTTGACTCGGTTTGACACTCCATTGACCATTGGTCTAGACCCTATTTGACACTCCATTGACCAATATTTGACACTCCATTGACCATTGGTCTAGACCCTATTTGACACTCCATTGACCATTGGCCTAGACTCTGTTTGACACTCCATTGACCATTGGTCTAGACCCTATTTGACACTCCATTGACCAATGGCCTTGACTCGGTTTGACACTCCATTGACCATTGGTCTAGACCCTATTTGACACTCCATTGACCAATGGCCTAGACTCTTTTTGACACTCCATTGACCATTGGTCTAGACCCTATTTGACACTCCATTGACCATTGGCCTAGACTCTGTTTGACACTCCATTGACCATTGGTCTAGACCCTATTTGACACTCCATTGACCAATGGCCTAGACTCTGTTTGACACTCCATTGACCATTGGTCTAGACCCTATTTAACACTCCATTGACCAATGGCCTAGACTCTTTTTGACACTCCATTGACAGTTGGTTGTATTCTTGTTTGATACACTCCATTTATAGTTGGTTTAGACACCAGATCCTGGTGGTTCAAAGGCATGTTAGAAATAGCTAGTGGTTAATGAAAAATTCTAAACAGGAATTAAACAAAATTGGAAGCATTTTTTATCATTTCACAGCTGCTTAATATATTTTGAATTTTAATTTTGTTTTAAAACTCTGGCCTGTTCAGTGGCAGTAGTTTAATTTGATACACAGTTGACAGTAGATAAAGATCCATGCTTGATACATTCCCTTTATAGCAGGATAAAATTCACACTCACATAACATCAGATCAAACTTAGTGGTTGACACTCACATAACATCAGATCAAACTTAGTGGTTGACACTTACATAACATCAGATCAAACTTAGTGGTTGACACTCACATAACATCAGATCAAACTTAGTGGTTGACACTTACATAACATCAGATCAAACTTAGTGGTTGACACTTACATAACATCAGATCATACTTAGTGGTTGACACTCACATAACATCAGATCAAACTTAGTGGTTGACACTCACATAACATCAGATCAAACTTAGTGGTTGACACTTACATAACATCAGATCAAACTTAGTGGTTGACACTTACATAACATCAGATCATACTTAGTGGTTGACACTCACATAACATCAGATCAAACTTAGTGGTTGACACTCACGTAACATCAGATCAAACTTAGTGGTCAACACTCACAAAACATCAGATCAAACTTAGTGGTTGACACTCACGTAACATCAGATCAAACTTAGTGGTCGACACTCACGTAACATCAGATCAAACTTAGTGGTTGACACTCACAAAACATCAGATCAAACTTAGTGGTTTACACTCATATAACATCAGATCAAACTTAGTGGTTGACACTCATGTAACATCAGATCAAACTTAGTGGTTGACACTCATGTAACATCAGATCAAACTTAGTGGTCGACACTCACGTAACATCAGATCATACTTAGTGGTCGACACTCACGTAACATCAGATCAAACTTAGTGGTCGACACTCACAAAACATCAGATCAAACTTAGTGGTCGACACTCACGTAACATCAGATCAAACTTAGTGGTTGACACTCACATAACATCAGATCAAACTTAGTGGTTGACACTCATATAACATCAGATCAAACTTAGTTGTTGACACTCACAAAACATCAGATCATACTTGGTGGTTGACACTCACGTAACATCAGATCATACTTAGTGGGCGACACTCACGTAACATCAGATCAAACTAAGTGGTTGACACTCACAAAACATCAGATCAAACTTAGTGGTCGACACTCACAAAACATCAGATCAAACTTAGTGGTTGACACTCACAAAACATCACATCAAACTAAGTGGTTGACACTCACAAAACATCAGATCAAACTAAGTGGTTGACACTCACAAAACATCAGATCAAACTTAGTGGTCGACACTCACGTAACATCAGATCAAACTTAGTGGTTGACACTTACATAACATCAGATCAAACTTAGTGGTTGACACTCATATAACATCAGATCAAACAGTGGTTGACACTTACACAACATCAGATCAAACTTAGTGGTTTACACTCATATAACATCAGATCAAACTTAGTGGTTGACACTCACGTAACATCAGATCAAACTTAGTGGTTGACACTCACGTAACATCAGATCAAACTTAGTGGTCGACACTCACGTAACATCAGATCAAACTTAGTGGTTGACACTCACGTAACATCAGATCAAACTTAGTGGTTGACGCTTACGTAACATCAGATCAAACTTAGTGGTTGACACTCACGTAACATCAGATCAAACTTAGTGGTTGACACTCATATAACATCAGATCAAACAGTGGTTGACACTTACACAACATCAGATCAAACTTAGTGGTTGACACTCACATAACATCAGATCATACTTAGTGGTTGACACTCATATAACATCAGATCAAACAGTGGTTGACACTTACATAACATCAGATCAAACTTAGTGGTTGACACTCTATTTGGATGGTCAACTTCAACGCCCTGGACAGTTAATTGTTAAAAGGAAGTTCATTCCTATCAGGACACAAAACGGATATTGTTTTAATTCATTTTCATTTTTTTTTTTTGTAGAAATATTGCTGTTTTTTGTTGAGATTTTCTGTTATATATTCATGTGCTATAAAGAGAGTGCATTAGAATGTTTGTGTTTTTATATAATTAATGGTTTTCTGTTGGTAGTAAAACTTCCTCACTATCTTTTAACATTAAAACAAACATTTCAAAACGTTTTACTTGTCAGTCATTATACTATTTATTGTATAGACTTTACATATATTGGTGATAAAAAGCTGACATACCAATTTTAATAGATGATTTTTTTTTATTCCCAGAAATATTATTCCTGATATTGTTAGAGAAACTATCAAGTGTATTAAAACCACTATACTTAACAATCTTCAGCACCCAGTTGTGGCAGAGATGGCCTATGAACAGATGGCTCTGACAGCATCATCCTTTGCTTACTCCTGGTCCAAATGGAATGGTGAGATCCAGGAAAGGGATAAAATCTACTTCCAGGTATCCGAGTGCCTTCAGGATGAACCTCTTCTCGAGGTAAGATGTATGATCACTGCACGTCATTCAATTCATGTGTATATATAATGTCTTGTTTCAGTATGATGTATGTGATATATTAAATGTACAAATTGAAAGTGTCAGTCACTGAACATTATTTAAAAATAAAAGGCAAGTAAAATGCTATGGAGTTCAAATTCTCTTTTCTTCATGTGTAGCATAGTATTGTGAAGCATGGGGAAATGAGCCGAGGTCAAAATACCATAATGGTAAAGTCACCCCACCCCCCTGCCCCCCCAACCCCCAGCCCTACACCTCAGCTCCACCCCACCTATATTTCCCTGCCCCAGACATGTGTTTAGTAATTTATGTGTGTAGAAAAAAGAATTTGTGAAAAAAGTGAATTAGTAAGAAAATAGTGAGCTGCTTCACTTTACTGGTCATGGTGAAGTGAACCCCTCCTGCCCCAAACTAAATTTCCCCACCCCAGAAACGTGTTTGTTATTTGTGTGTTAATTTGAGTTATTAAGGGTGATTAGGAAAAAACAATTGGTGAAGGTGAAAAAAAAGTGAATTAGTAAGAAAAAAGTGAAATGCTTCACTTTACCATGGCCATGACTGCAGTTCACTTTACCATGGCCATGACTGCAGTTCACTTTACCATGGCCATGACTGAGGTTCACTTTACCATGGCCATGACTGCAGTTCACTTTACCATGGCCATGACTGCGGTTCACTTTACCATGGCCATGACTGCGGTTCACTTTACCATGGCCATGACTGAGGTTCACTTTACCATGACCATGACTGCGGTTCACTTTACCATGGCCATGACTGCAGTTCACTTTACCATGGCCATGACTGCGGTTCACTTTACCATGGCCATGACTGCGGTTCACTTTACCATGGCCATGACTGAGGTTCACTTTACCATGGCCATGACTGCGGTTCACTTTACCATGGCCATGACTGAGGTTCACTTTACCATGGCCTTTACTTTACTATACTTCACCAGGTATAAATAGATTACAAATGAGTTTGTGTATTCTAAAATGAAGTCTTTTCTAATTCTGAGTTGTCTTCATGTCCTAACTCTGAATTGTACTGAGTTTTCTGTCCTGACACTGAAGTGTCTGTTCCGATCCTGAGTTGTCTGTCCTGACACTGAAGTGTCTGTCCTGATCCTGAGTTGTCTGTCCTGACACTGAAATGTCTATCCTGATCCAGAGTTGTCTGTCCTGACACTGAAGTGTCCGTTCTGATTCAAAGTTGTCTGGTCTAACACTGAGTTATTTGTCATGATCCTGAGTTGTCTGTCCTGACATCCGACAGTATATACTGAAACAAATATGTTCTTTACTTGACCTACAGGAAGACTGGGGCGTGTTCCTTATGACCAAAAGAAGATCAATGAAACTAAACTTAAGTGACTTTGATGAGACCTACAATGAAGAGATGGCAGATGGAACAGTGGTAAGTCCAACATTAGGCATTTACCAGTCTCAAATGACAGAAGAGTCGAATAATATATGTTTATAGGCCTCTGTTAGGCAGTACATTCCAACAATAGAATTAATCAGCCACTGTTAGGCAGTAAAGTCCAACGATAAACTTAATCAGCCACTGTTAGGCAGTAAAGTCCAACGATAAACTTAATCAGCCACTGTTAGGCAGTAAAGTCCAAAGATAAACTTAATCAGCCACTGTTAGGCTGTAAAGTCCAAAGATAAACTTAATCAGCCCCTGTTAGAGAGTACAGCCCAACGATAAACTTAATCAGCCCCTGTTAGAGAGTAAAGATAAACACGATATTAGTTAGTACATGAAGTAGAACCAATCTTTACAATACATTGTACTTCCCGTATCAACAATAGAGATAGGAAAATGTCATACAATTTTCTCAAAGGTAAATAATTTTCCATTTAATATCTTGTCATACCAACGACATAATTTGATTTATATTTTGATACGTAGTAAAATGATTTATTTTGTGTATAATTGATAGTTGTGTGATTTGTGGGTACTCTAAATCAACAACTTTATATATCCACAAAATTAAAAAAATGGATTAAAGTGGTCACAGATAATAACACTAGCAGATTGTTTAAGCAATGTTTCACCACTAACACAGATCATAACACTAGCAGATTGTTTGAGCAACGTTTCACCACTAACACAGATCATAACACCAGCAGATTGTTTAAGCAACGTTTCACCACTAACACAGATCATAACACTAGCAGGTTGTTTGAGCAACGTTTCACCACTAACACAGATCATAACACTAGCAGATTGTTTGAGCAACGTTTTACCACTAACACAGATCATAACACTAGCAGATTGTTTAAGCAATGTTTCACCACTAACACAGATCACAACACTAGCAGATTGTTTGAGCAACGTTTCACCACTAACACAGATCATAACACTACTACTAAGACCTGTGCAAACAAAAATGTATGTTTTTCGAAAACCTTAAAATTTCAGCCTCATGAAAATGTATAATTTGTATGACATAAAAACCACAAATTTGCAGCCTCATGAAATTGTATGATTTTTATGATGTGAAAAAAATCCCCCAAATTTTCAGCTACACAAGAATGTTTGATATAAGCCACATGAAATTAAATAATTCTTACATGATCTTGTAGGGAGGTTATGATATCTGCCGCACAGGCTGACTACAATCACTTACAGTACACAGTACATATCATAATGGCAAATGATCTATACATTATTATTGTTTTTTTTTCAGTTTAAATCCAACTTGTACCACATGGTAGGAGATCTAGCCACTCCAGCAGCCAAAGAAAGAATTACCAACACCAGTTTCCAGTTTGTGGATTGTGTGACCCAGATTCTCAAGTCTACCAAACTGTTAACCTTTGCTTAAGTCTGCACAGTTATTTTGAGATTCAGGATTTCTATATAATTACACATTTTAAAGAGTATTGATGATCCAACTGGTTCTTAAGTTCTGCCAATATCTTTTTGAGAATTGGAGAATGAATATTTACAGATACAACACTGTGTGTTGAAAAGATGATTATGGTTGCCTCCCTTTGCTGATGGGTTAGAAAGCACATGGTAAATGTATACAAAGGACTGCAGGCTGTATCTACATGATCATCATGTTCTAAAAGTATAATGATGAGAACATCTTTGTTTATGTGAATGTGACACTTTAAATATAACATTTCAGGTATAAATCAGGACGGAACTGCAAATATTAACGCAGGCCTTGAAAGAGTTCAGCTCTTCAGAAATCAATATAAGATCAGTAGGTCTGCCTTTATTTCATAAACCAACGACCTTGGTCTAACGGATCAGACTGATCAATGAAATCCGACCTTGATAAGAAATTGATATTTTCTGATGCAGTACAGATTTCTGTTTTCTTAGCATGTTCTGAGGACTTCTGTCAGCTCCGTGGCTGATGTTGATTTCCTGGGAGATCACTAAATATGTCATAATGATAATGTGAATTTGAACATTGAAAATATTCAGTGATATTTAACAACCTGTATGTAATTAAACTTTGTACATTATCTAAACATGATCTTTTTTTACATTCAAAATCTTGTACATTCCTTGTTCATAATGGGTAATGTTTATCTATAGATGAAAATGCCAATTGTAAATAAATTGTAAATGTTTGCTATATCAAACAATTGTTTGTTTTTATTCATCAGTTCCAGTTGTTGAAATGTTTTGTATCTATGGTAACATCAATTCAATTTAATACATGCATTGTAAACATTCATTAAAGTAAATATCTCTAGTTTAAACGTCCATTAACATGAATATTTGAAGTGTAAAAGTAAATATCTGTAGTGTAAACGTCCATTAAAGTGAATATCTGAAGTGTGAACGCCCATTAAAGTGAATAGCTGTAGTGTGAACGTCCATGTAAGTGAATATCTCGTTTCGAATGTCCATTAAAGTGAATATCTGTAGTTTAAACATCCTTTAAAGTGAATATATGTAGTTTAAACGTCCATTAAAGTGAATATCTCTTTTCTTGAACATCCATTCAAGTCAAAATCTGTAGTTTAAACGTCATTTAAAGTGAATATCTAAAGTTTATTCGTCCATTAAAGTGAATAGCTATAGTGTGAACGTCCATTAAAGTGAATATCTGAACTGTGAACGCTCATTAAAGTGAATAGCTATAGTGTGAACGTCCATTAAAGTGAATATCTGAACTGTGAACGCTCATTAAAGTGAATAGCTATAGTGTGAACGTCCATTAAAGTGAATATCTGAACTGTGAACGCTCATTAAAGTGAATAGCTATAGTGTGAACGTCCATTAAAGTGAATATCTGAACTGTGAACGCTCATTAAAGTGAATAGCTGTAGTGTGAACGTCCATTAAAGTGAATATCTCTTGTCTTGAGCATCCATTAAAGTGAATATCTGTAGTTTAAACATCCATTAAAGTGAATATATGTAGTTTACACGTCCATTAAAGTGAATATCTGTAGTTTAAACATCCATTCAAGTCATAATATGTAGTTTAAACGTCCAGAAAAGGGAATATCTGTTGTGTAAACGCCCATTAAAGTGAATATCTGTAGTTTAAACATCCATTAAAGTGAATATATGTAGTTTACACGTCCATTAAAGTGAATATCTGTAGTTTAAACATCCATTCAAGTCATAATATGTAGTTTAAACGTCCAGAAAAGGGAATATCTGTTGTGTAAACGCCCATTAAAGTGAATATCTATAGTTAAAATATCAATTTAAGTAAATAACTGTAATGTAAACGTCCTTTAAAGTGAATATCGGAAGTGTAAAAACGTCAAATATAATGAATTTGATCACTTGACCATCTTTTTGAATGAAGTTATGTGATGTAAACATCTATTTAAATAATAATTTGGTGTTAACGTCCATTAAGATAAATATATCCGGCTGTGATGTGGGCACCATACATTTTTTGTATCTATTAGGTCGGAATTCATGAATTTGGAATCTGTGATTTGTGGCAATAATTCATGCAAAATTGAGTTGAAATCTGCTCTTGGCTTTAAGAATTCAATGATATTCAAGAGAAGTACTTTATCAAACGGAAAACGTTGAAATTGTTGACGCAATTAACCGAATCTGGCCGTCAACGACATCGTCCAAATGTAGTCCACGCGCGAGATTTCTTCAGAACGTAAAATCGCCTGTTTTCTATTTATACGTAAAAATCTTTGATGACAAAGTATATAAAAAGGCAAAGATCAAAGAAATGACGTTGGAAATAATTTTCTATCGAATAATTTCTTACTTCACGTCCGGTCAAAACATCAGAGCTTCCACGGTTAAGAATCCCAGTCAGCATTTCACAAGTGAATGAAAACTGCCCTGGCAGTCTACACCTTCCCACTAACCACCATTGCTCGCAGTTTTACGGTTAAATTTCGTCACAATTCCATGAAGTCACAATACACAAAGCAAGCTTTGATCCAACCAGGTAGAGCCATGGCGAAATGCCAACCCCAACCCAAACAAACAAAATATCTCGTCTTCTTCATCGGCCACTTTTAGGGTAGAGATCGGTAGCTACATCTATACATGTATGAATTTCCCTTAACGTTCTGAATTATTCATTTCTTGACAGATGAATGTTTCAGTGCATCAGCTTAAACACCTTTACATGTACATTCACTTGTTGGGCCGGATTTCATTTACTGTTTTTTTTTGTCCGTATGCATAATTCTCATAATACGTGTATGCTAAAGAAACCCCAAGCAGGTTTGCAAGTCAAGATATTGGAAGATTCAAAGTGTTCTGTGAATGATATGCATTCCAAAAGGTTATGTTGCCACTAGACAGTTCTAACCTTTGATGTGTACATGGGATTTTATGTCAGATTTTGCTACAGTTAATGAGTGAACGCACGAACGAGAGACAGACGTGCGGACTGACAGAACGATCACACGGTACTTTCACCACGTCGCATGCATAATTCATGGGATGTGGAAAATGGGGAGGGAGGAGAGTGACTCGATCAGTATTACTTTTTGTCTTAGTGACAGAGACATTTTTAGCTTTAAATATATGTACTGGTGTGCATTTTAGATATGTGCACCAAAGTCACAACTGCATAACACAGCTTTTGCCTTAATAGTAAGTTCTGGCAAAACGACTGTTTCGATCGGAATTTTTAATGGTAAGCACACCGACATCGATATATCATATGCTGTATTTTTCACGATTTTGAATATGACTATGAATTTTCTTAAATTAATGTTATCTTATTTTACATTATTATTTCCAATATTAAGTGTGAGCGTGTGTAACAACGAAGTGTCATTATTTGCAAGGATATCACGACCCTTCTTCAGTGTGATTAGAACGCTTTGAACCTTGCAAGCCTAGTATCAAACTTTTGAACGACTATGATTTAATATGACACACGGTGAGCTGTCAATCTGTATCCGCAGTCAACAAGCCTTTGCGTCCTCAGTTATATGGTAAACATTTTCACTTTTATGTATATCACTTGATGCCAGGAAAGAGTCTCTATATCTTATCACGATCTCTTCGTTTGATAAAATGCACTAGTCTTGAAAAAAAAATGATGTTGAACGACATACAATCGTCAATATGATGACGGCTTGGCTTCTTAAAATGGATAAGAATGTTACTGAAAGTGCTGAGTATTGTTGTGGCGTACAGCCTTTGGTATGAGACACACAATTTACGTACACGGCATATCTTTGTAGGAATTATTATGATATTATCTTTGGTAGCATACCAGACACCTATGCTTCTTGACACATAAATGAAATTCGGACTCTCAAATTCTTGAAATTGACACTTTAAGACATATTACCTCTATCAGTCTTGAGTATGAAATGAAAATAAACCTTTACTTTACCTTGTTTACAAGTTTAACAATCAGACTTCAATAATTACTTACCTTAGGAATATGTCGGTATTGCTATAGATATACCAGGGACGTCCCTGTATATACCGTAGGAAGGAGTAATGAAAAACACACTGTCTCTGGCGGGGATTGAACAAGTGACCCTTTGGTCTCTAGCTGGACACTCTTTATTCATCGACTTAAGGGATATTCCCACTTGCAACAAAGTCTATGATCAAGATGACAACAACAGCCTAGGTTTTATATCTCCAGGGAAGCATCTCGATCTCCTATAGCTTTTTGGTATACCTTTAGAATGGTAAAGACACTAAAGCTGTAATACAAAGAAGTCATGAAAAACATTCTGCCTCTGGGGGTTTGTACAGGAGACCCTTCAATCTCTAGCTGGTCATACAACTTGACTTTAGGGAAATCCCCACTAGCCAAGGCTAGTAAGGCAGACTGTCTGCTTCTACAATACAATTTACATCACATGATAGCAAGATAGAACATGATCTTAGATATGTGGATAGGTACAAGCATTTCTGTGTTTGTACACTGTATCAAATGCATCATCATAGCTGGGCAATTCCCAGGAGTTGAAAGCGATGTGTTTATATATATTTCAGCATTTTTTTGTGCTGTTGACACCTCAAGGCTTATGTACATCTCAAGATTCCAAATATTCTCATGTCTAATACTCCTGGTAATATATATCATTATGTCCATTAGATGAATGCAAGGTAGTCTTTTTTCTATATATCATGACTTCATGGTTATATGAACTTAAGTTCATACTGACTGTAAGTGTTTAGATAAAGTGCCAATTTTGCTTGCTATCTTATGTATTAATTACTTTGTATGCATGGGCTCACGTTCACCTGGAAGTTTGGTAGCTATAAGTTTCCTCTAAATTCATAGCCACACAATGTTATACTATTCTGAGGATTCTTTTTGCTGTCCTTAACCAATTGCTAATTGTTTTAGGAAGTTTTTACACTTATCCTTACACATGTAATAAGTCTGATTGCTGCGATATAAAATACAGGCAAATTATGTAAGAAGGCGGCCATACAAGTATCTGTTGTCTGATTGGCTTAATATGCCTGACAGGGTTTAATATAAAAATAGCAGGCAGGAGAGTTCAGAAGAGGGTGTTCAATTTTGAGATGCCTACATGTAGTTGGATTGCGAGTTGTGTTGTCATAATCAGAAGACACTAATTAATGGCTACAGGTGTAAATATGGCTGCTAACATGTCTTTCTGAACAAAGCAATCTCTTATGTGTAAGCATCTGTGGGTGTTATGCCATTTGATAGCAAGAATAATTATGCTAATGGGTGGTCAGTTGGCACAGTTGTAATGCATTTGCTTAGAGTTTCACCTAGGTATCTTGGATTTGATAACCAAAATGGATGTGAATGTATGGATGATCATGATGATGTTAATGATGTATGTGCAAGTATGGATGATGAACATGATATATATAATGCAATCATGATGATGATGATGTATTGCATGATGGATGTACATGTATGTATGATGATAATGATATACATGTATGATGTATATATATGAATGATGAAGTAGGTGCATCTATATAATGTATATGATGATGATGTATGTACATGTATGGATGATGATGATGATGTATGTACATGTATGGATGACAACGACGACGATGATGATGATGATGATGTATGTGCATGTATGGATGATGATGATGATGATGATTATTATGATGATGATGATGTACATGATGATGATATGATGATGATTATTATGATGATGATGATGTATGTACATGTATGAATGATGATGATGATGTATGTGCATGTATGGATGATGATGATGATGATGTATGTGCATGTATGAATGATGATGATGATGTATGTACATGTATGGATGATGATGTATGTACATGTATGGATGATGATGATGTATGTACATGTATGGATGATGATGATGATGTATGTGCATGTATGGATGATGATGATGATGATGATGATGATGATGATGATGATGATGATATTGATGATATTATGTATGATGATGATGATGTATGATGTATGATGATGATGATGATGATGATGATGATGATGATGATGATGATGATGATGATGATGATGATGTATGGATGATGATGATGATGATGTATGTACATGTATGGATGATGATGATGATGTATGTGCATGTATGGATGATGATGATGATGTATGTGCATGTATGGATGATGATGATGATGATGTATGTGCATGTATGGATGATGATGATGATGATGATGATTATTATGATGATGATGATGTATGTACATGTATGGATGATGATGATGTATGTACATGTATGGATGACAACGACGACGATGATGATGATGATGATGTATGTGCATGTATGGATGATGATGATGATGTATGTACATGTATGGATGATGATGATGATGATGATTATTATGATGATGATGATGTATGTACATGTATGGATGATGATGATGATGTATGTATGATGATGATGATGTAGACTGTATGATGATGATGATGATGTATGATGATGTATGATGATGATGATTATGTATGATGATGATGATGTATGATGATGATGATGATGATGATGTATGTGCATGTATGGATGATGATGATGTATGTGCATGTATGAATGATGATGATGATGTATGTACATGTATGGATGATGATGATGATGATGATGATGATGATGATGATGATGATGATGATGATGATGATGATGATGATGATGATGATGATGACGATGACGACGACGACGACGATGATGGTGATAACGATGATGACGATGACGACAATGACGACGATGACGACGACACATGTGTGAATGTGTGTATGGTGGTTGATTTGTATATGTATAATTTGTTTTAAAAAATTAAAAATTACAAAAAAAAAAAAGTCTATGTAACATCTCTGACCCTAGATAATTACTGATTTACATAGGTGTTTTACTATTTCAGGGACTGTGTATTGCTATCCCTGGCCCTACCCTGATAGACCTTGGAGAACGAGTACAGACTGACACTACGCACATGGCATTAGTATTCACAGCCCGTTCTGTTGGTTACCTCCTCGGCGCTCTTGTTGGGGGATTCCTTTTTGACATATTTGACAAACAACTGTTACTTTGTGTAACACTGTTTCTGGCCTCTCTTGCAACCTGTGTGATTCCCTGGGCACTAACGTTGGTGGTGCTAGCTGTGATGTTTTCCCTACAAGGCATAGCGATGGGTGTACTGGATACAGGTAAATATGTTGTATTTTTTTATATGAAAATATTGATATTCATTGGATGATATACACTTATGTATATCAATACAACATTACAAAATATAATGAAGAAGAGAATTCCTTGATATCATATAAACATACCATAGTACATTTGAAAAACATTGTAACTGTTTATAATTGAGATTTTCAAACTCAACCATCAAGCTATATTGAGGATAACTAGGTGAAAATTAATGGAGAATTATCAGGAATTTTTCTGAAAGGCAATTTGTACTTGGTAAAATTTAATATCTGACATACTTTTAATACTTTCAATAGCTTCTTATTTAATTACATAATTATCATTATCATATGCACATTACATTTGTTGTAATATTACAGATCTGAAATTAACAGAAGGTTCTCGATGTTTTCATTTTGATGTTAAAACTTTCATATGCAATGTGATGTTACCGGTGAATGAGACGTAAAGTAACAATATTGCCCATTTAGATTTTGTATTCAGCAGGGGTCTTGACCTTTGGTAGATTACTTGTGATTAAATGTGTACACAGCTGCATATTTGCATAAAGATGGCTACATATCAGATTAGTCTTATAAAATGCTTTTTTGCAAATGTTTGCAAAATTATACCAATCTTATGATACTTGAATAATCATATAAATATGTCACTTTTATGATACAATGTGATAGGTTTTGTCAATCATTTACAGGTGGGAATGCTTTGTGTGTGAGAATCTGGGGGAAGAGGAGTTCACCCTATATACAGGCCATGCACTTCGCTTTTGGAATTGGAGCTTTTATTGCACCACTTCTGTCCCAGCCTTTTCTCCATGAAGTTTCACTTGCCAACACCACCAACCCTATCACGGACAGTAGCCAGTTATTGAAATTACTGATAAATAACAAAACATCTTTACGAATCAGGCGTGAGGATTTCAAAAGTGATCAGAATTTGACAAATTTTGTTAACGAGTCTTCAAGTTTTGTGATGTCCCTTAATACAAATACTTCAATGGAGAATAACACTAGCATGCCAACTTTACCCCCGAGTACCACCACCACCACCACCATGAAAGCTAAAAAGCCAAATGCCAGTGATAGAAATCTGAATCCAGTTTGTGCTGATGGCGGATGTGCAAAGCAAAAAGATGGTTCTTCTGCTAGTGAAAAAGATGCTACACCTTCTCCTCCTACACCATCTCCAGTCCATGGGAAGTCAAGCACTACCTTAACACTGACTACAGTAAGTCAGGATTCTGACAAACCTGTGATTGAGAATGACAACAGGTCATCTGTTGTTAGTTCCAGTAAGGAATCTACACCCATTATGTCAACTGCCACTTTGCTGCCTCTTGTCACTACAAAACGCACTTCAACTACTGTACCAACTACCACTCCTAAACCAACTACTACTACTGTGCCAACTACAACTCCTAAACCAACTACAACTCCTAAACCAACTACCACTCCTAAACCAACTACCACTCCTAAACCAACTACAACTACTGTGCCAACTACAACTCCTAAACCAACTACAACTCCTAAACCAACTACAACTCCTATATCAACTACAACTGCCAAAACGACTCCAACTTTTAAACCAACTACAACTCCTCCATCAACTACTACTCCTGTAGACATAGGTTGTTTTGCTTGTGATGGGGTGAGTGCAAGTCATCTTCATATAGACATACAGGAAACATCTAGTGTTAATCAATCCACTGTGACAGACATCACTACGGTATCCATGGAGACAAGTACAACCATGAAGCCTCAGACAGTTGGTGATATGTTTAACTCTATGGTGCAGTCAGTCAAGAACATGTCCAAGATTCAATTCTCCTATACCATTATAGCAGCACTTTTGCTGGTGAATGCAGTCATCTTCCTGGTTCTATTCTGTTATGATAAGGGCAAAGGGGATCTGGACCTTCTCGCTCAGAGGGAGAAAGAAAACTATGTCCAGAACTCCTGTGTACGACTTGTCATACTCCTTGTCATGTTTCTCTTCTTCCTGTCCTACATTGGCATGGAGACAACCTATGGAGGTCTCATCATGACCTTCACTGTGGAGTATATGGACTGGAATAAGAATCAAGGAGCGATTGTGACCGCCATATTCTGGGGTTCCCTGGCTGCTGGGCGAGGTTTTTCAATCTTTATAGCGGGGTGTTGTAAACCTCACTGCATGCTCATCATTGACCTCTTCCTCATCATTGGTGGAGCCACAATGCTAAGTTTTGTTGTAAAAAAGTACAGTTTTATACTCTGGCTGGGGACATTATTCCTTGGTTTGGGGATGTCCTCCATATTCCCTACAGGACTAGCCTGGACAGAACAGTATTTCCGAATGACTGGAAAGTCTACTGCAGTGCTAGTGACTGGTTCAGCTCTGGGACAAATGATAATTCCTGTAGCTACAGGGTACACATTTGACAAGATTAACAAAATGTACTTGATGTATGTTGTGTTAATTCTGAGTGTATTCTGTACAGTGCTTTTCATAGTGATGCAGTTACTGGCATCCAAATGTAGTAAGGCGTCCGTTTCGCAAAATGGGTTTATGCCTTTACGCAGCGAGGACAGTATAGAAATGGATGGAATGTCTTACGGTACCACTAATGAGTCGACACGACGAAGACTTCTCCCAGCTTACAATGATGTGGAGTATGATCAACTACCACAAGATGGTGATTTTGAATTAGATTAAGTTTCCAAAAATAAACTTATCTTCTCGGAAGGGATGAAACATATACTTATCAACTTATACATTTGTGTACACTGTTTCATGCAAATTTTCCATGAATACTCAGTGAAGTTTGTTTTGAATTCTACGTTTTCTGAGAGTAGTAGTACATGTTGTATGGTATAATGTAGTGTTTTGTGTCTGTGACACTAAGACACTGACTCACATGTGTACACTTGTAAATCAAAATTTATATTTATGACCAATAAGGTGATGGATGAAATACACTTAATGCATTCAGTAAAAAATTTTATAAATCCTTTGAAAATGTGGTTTGAGGGGGAAGGGGTATACCAGTATACAATGTACATGTGTCTTAAACACATCATTATAATGACAGGTAATTCAAATCTTAAACCTTTGACTCAATTTTAACATACATAATAATTTGACATAGAAACACAAATGACAAAGGCCATTTTTGATTCATGCCCAGACTTCTAGCTGTGGCTTTGCCTGTAATATACACATATCACTACACACTGTCTAGTCAGTGTATCTCCCACATCAAGGGTGTAACTTATTGTTACCTTAGAACATTGTGAATGGATAGGTTTAACTATGGTATATGTGTGTAAAGTATTGTTTTGTGTCGTTTATGTATACATCCATCAAGTGAAAGAGAGATTGGGTTGTCCTTATCAAAATCTACAGGTTAGTCCAGTGTGCTAGAAAACACATGAATGACTTAGAGGTCAAATTTATCATTTGTTTTGTATACTGTCTTTGTTTTTCTAATAGTTTTTAGTGATTACAGGTGATTTAAAACATTTATATTGTATGTTTTAAAAAAAAAAGGGTTCTCATTTACTTTATCTGTAGTTGTATCAAATATTAAATGTATTCGTATGGGTTTCTGGTGGTATAAATTTAAACAAATTATAGATACAAACATCATACAATACTCATCAATTTCCCACCGTTATTTTAGCCCCTGGTGTGTCTTTTTTTAAATAATTTGTATTGAAATCCTGTAGGAAATTCAAAAGATTTAACATCAACACTGATTTTTAAATCACTTGAAGTTCTACAAACAGAAGACTTTGTTTGTGTCAATACACAGGATTATTTATATTGACAACTTAATGCAATTTCCAACCTTTGTTTTTATGTTTTTCTTTTTAAAAATCAGATGTAGGATATTTTGTTGTTTTAGAGAGGGGAGATAACTCTGTAGTTCCCTTTTTCATCTCATAACAAATTCTCTGATATTATTGTACAAAAGACACTGTATTTTACATGTAAGTTTTGTCTGTGATACTGAAATATGCCACTCCATTCTACTCTAGAAATGGTAGAGTTTGTTATACCATGTTGTAATCTGTATCATTTCATCGAGATGTGGTAATACTCCTATAAATATCCAGGAGATGACTACACAGTAGAATTAGACCCATGTTATTATGGATGAAAATGTTGCAGGACAGTTCAGCATTACAACATTGGTCCTACTCCACATCAATTGGATTTATTAGCCAATTCTTATGGAACATATTTATATGCCTCTGATAATACCATGTAGAAAGGAGAAAAAGTTTTAAAGCTGAACACATCATTATGTTTATTATTTGAAGCATACATATTACTTCATTATCGTTAGCTGCTTGTCAGTGCCTCAGGTGCATGTCAGCACAACACTTCAGATAACAGGATACATACTTGAATCAAGGTAGGATCATAGTATTGGAGTACATCTTGATAATAGTGAAATACAGCTTTCTATTGGCAACACTTGGTGTAAGACCTAATGCAGAGTTTTGGCCCTTTAAGACAATGCAGAATTTTGGCCATTTCAGACCTAATGTATAGTTTTGGCACTTTAAGACCTAATGCAGAGTTTTGGCCCTTTAAGACCTAATGCAGAGTTTTGGCCCTTTAAGACCTAATGCATAGTTTTGGCCCTTTAAGACCTAATGCATAGTTTTGGCACTTTAAGACCCAATGCAGTTTTGGCCCTTTTAAGACCTAATCAAGAGTTTTGGCCCTTTTAAGACCTAATCAAGAGTTTTGGCCCTTTAAGACCTAATGTAGAGTTTTTTGCCCTTTAAGACCAAACGTAGAGATTTTAGCCCTTTAAGACCTAATGTAGAGTTTTGGCCCTTTAAAACAAACCTAATGTAGAGTTTTTAGCCCTTTAGAACTTTGAAGATTGAAACTTTGGATTAGTCACACTACTCTGCTTCTATTACTAGTTACAAATTCTAGACATGTTTCTTATTATACTGTTTAGTAGAACTCACCTGGTATTTTCATAACACAGTTAATAACTGTCTGAATGTTTGAAATACCCTGTTAATTAATCCACTGAAAGATGATAGAGAATTTCTCTACCATTGTTTTGAAAGCTGTAAGAAATTAAACGCTTGCAACAGATATTTTTGATACTGTTTCAGTTAGAGTTACTTAAGAAAAAATGCTGTACGTAAATGTTGGCATAACGTAAACAAACACTTATACGAATTATTTTTGTTATGTTACATTATGGTACAGGTTGTTTTTATCCCGTGATTACCTCGTCATATTGATTCATAAACCTGCTCATTCATTTTTCTGATTGTACCACTATAAGACAGCTTAAATGTTCAGATAGGCCTACGCAAACACATTGATCATATCTGTTTCTGTTGTGTTTTACTTGGTTTCCTGATGAAATAGGTGCATACTTTACCTTTTATGTTAAACTGTAGAGTATGATTTCTTCTCTCACAGCATATATTCATAGCATAATCTGTATTATATTTGTAGTATGTACATAGTATAGAATTTTTATAGCACATTTTTATTGAATGGTGATTTTATCTTTCTTTCGTATACCCTTTATTTTGCAATAAATCATAAACCTTATTTAACCTCTGACTGAAAGTTCAGAGGTCATGGAAAGTGCTCCTTACAGGACAATAGAATAGCATGCTTGGCATGGGCTTATTATGTGACAATGAAATAGTATGTTTGGCATAGGCTTATATGTGAAAAAGAAAACAGCATTTTTAGCTCACATGGTCCAGTAAGCTTATGTGATGTGGTGTGGTGTGGTGTCCAAAGTCCAGTATCAGTGTGTCAACCTTTACCTGAATTCACTATGAGTTATGAACAACTATAAGTCATGAATGACTGAGCAGATTTTGACCAAATTTGATCAGGAGCATTCTTCAGGGGAAGGGGGATCTAATTTTGTATAAATGGAGGTCATAGTAGAGTCCAAAAATAGGGAAAAAATTTTCTTACGTAGAATTATTTTTATTTTGTCCGGATGTGGTCTGAAGCATTATCTTTTGGGGAAGATGCATTAAACATTGTTTGGTCCCTTCACCCTGGAACACTCCAACTTCAAAAATTCCTTCTTCTGCTGTTGGATTTTCTTCAAATGAAAGGTCTGAAACATTCTTTTTTTTTAAATGGGCTCAATCTTGTATTGGTATATACATTGAAACTCCTCACTGCTTAGAGGCTCAATAAGGTAAATAGTCCCTCTTCTCTTATTGCAGGGAAAGGATTTTGTCAAATTGGTTTTAAATTTCCTTGAGTGAAGGGGCCTCAATTATGTATAAATCTAGGGTCTGGTCCCATTTGGGGCAAAGGGACAGAGCCTAATATGGAAAGTAAGAGGTGAAATCATTATGTTTCTATGTGGATAAAGATGTTCTGAAGCTTTAAAATTCCTCATCTCTTGGGAAACACCAATAGAATTATGACTAAAAATGATTATGCTTTTGATGTGAAGGCTAAGAGATCAAGGTAAGGGATACAGGCCTTAAGGACCTTTTGTCTTCAAATGTTTTGGCAGGATCCTTTATGTAGGAATGAGGGTGATATTTGTCACTGTGAATAAAACTTAAAATGAGAGCTGTACACAACATGTTTCCTTACCAGTGATGATAACAATTGACAATTATAATTTCTTGGGATACCTTAACCCTGATCTCATTACTGGACATGTGAAGGCTAGTTAATGGCACTTTTCCATTGCATTTAAATAATTGTTACTGTGTTTTGTCTTCCGTCCGTATTTTTATTTTCTGATACTATATCTTTGCCAAAAATATGGTGATATAAACATTAAACAAAAGAACAAAAAGATTTGACAGAATTTAGGTGGAATTCTGTGTTATCAACAAGCTTGTAAAAATACTGACAAAAAAAATGACACCTGGAGACAATATCTGTTTTGATTACAATCCTTTTTATGTACCTCAAGATTATTCTTAGTCCCTGAAATGTCAAGACTGCATTGTCTAACCATTCAAATGTACCTGTACTGATGTAGAATTTAAACAATACTTTATTGTGTTATATTGTAGTTCAAATAATACTTGTGAAAAAGAGACAATTGTCCTCAAATGTACCTATTACATTTTTCATTCAATTTATTTTTGTATATTTTATAAATAGCTTTGATTATAAAGTTCACGACATAATGAAACTTTGACCTTTCTGTATATATGGTTTTTGTCGCTGTAGACTTACTATCAACAACAACTTGACGGTGTTATTATTCTCTGCCATTGCTTGGTAAACCTAGAAATGCTCCCTATGTGAAAAGTTAGAATTAATACAGGTGTACATTGAAATGTTTTAGAGAACCATTGAGATTTAACAAGATATGTGCTTTAAAGTGAAATAGTGCTTTAAAGTAATATACTTCTCCCTATGTGTGCTAAATTTTTTCTGTATTTTGTCATTTGTTTTTAAGAATTTTTTCCTATGTGTGATAATTTTTTTCTGATTCAGTTTGTCCCCAGTCTTTGTGATAAAACTGTGGGATGATGTAGCATTGGCTATTTTATATACTACACAATCAACTCTGTTAATCATATCATTGAGGTAGTCTTCAGAAGTACTTGGATTATTTTTGTATTCCACATATGCCAATTAAAGAGTTAAAATGGAAATGAGTATTAAGTTGTGTGTAAGTGTGTATAATGAAACAAGAGAATGTATGCTTCCTTTAACCTATTGTCTCACTGTCCTCCTGTTTACACTCCTCTGTAATCATTAATAATATTCACTCAGTAATTCTGTGTCTGTGTAGTGTGTAAAAAGTCTCGGTAAACTCTATTGACTTTATACTGATGTATTTTGTTATCATGTCCACCCTGATATGGTTTTTATGGTGTTATAACATGCTAATGGACTGTAGCATCACAAACAAAACATCAAACATATTGCTTATAGTGTTAAATGTCCGATAGTTAAAATGCTATTTCTACATTATTTTATGTAATTATATCTTCATAATGCTTATATTCTCTGTCATAATATCTTTACCTTGTGTCTTTGTAACTTCTCAGACCTTTGATTTAAGGATTGGTTCTTCTGTCAATTTCATGGAGTGTTTGTTGAGTAAGTTGTTTGATACAGATTTAATCAAATCCATCATGATCTCATACATAAGCATTTTTTTTAGCCCACCAATTCAAATCGCCTTGCGTCCGTGGTCTGTCGTCTGTCTGTAAACAATTCTTGTTACCGCTATTTCTGGGAAAGTACTGGATGGATCTTTCTCAAATTTCATGTGCAGGTTCCCCTTGGTCCCTAGTTGTGCATTGTACCTTTTTTTGACCGATTCAATTTCAAGATGGCCGACAGGCAGCGATCTTGGAGTTTGAAAGTAAAAGTTTGAGTTTGAAAGTAAAAGATTAATTCAAATTCAAGATGGTTGACAGGTGGCCATTTTGGAGTTTGAAAGTAAAAGTTTGTTACGGCTGTTTCTGAGAAAGTACTGGATCTTTGTCAAATTTCATATGCAGGTTCCCCTTGGTCCCTAGTTGTGTACTTTCTGGGAAAGTACTGGATGGCTCTTTCTTAAATTTCATATGCAGGTTCCCCTTGGTCCCTAGTTGTGCAGTGTACAATTGTACAGTTTTTTGGACTGATTCAAATTGAAGATGGCCCTACAGCTATGAGTCAATAACCACCTTCAGTTTGAATATCATGCATAACTGGTATATGCAACGCTTATTTCACACAAGCATATTTTCTTCGATATTCTATCATATTGATTCAAGACCATGTCCATTATCCACCTGTAACTGACTGCTGTCTAATAATACTTTGGGATCTTTTTCAAATGATATTTGCCAATAGGTGTTTAATAAAAATATCTTGTGCCATCATTTAGTACATTCAATGAAGACCAGTTCATGAACATTTACAACACCTGCAACATAAAAAAAAAAAACAATAAACAAATCTTCAAGAACTGAAAACAGATCCTCAAATGGTGGGCGCCAAGATCCCACTGGGATCTCTTGTTTTTTACTGATATTTAATTCATAAAAGAAAAAAAAAATTGTCTGCTGAAATTTCCAACTGGTGAAATATCAGAAACCCCTGCCAGTACACAGTTTTGGTGTAGCACCATACTACAGGATGTGCTGTTTATTTTCACATTGCTGTATCAACATACTTTAGTTTACAATTTATACCATCTATGTTGTGGGTGGAAATCCATGTAGTCATGAAGATCTTGCATGATCATGGAAGTTACCTGGGACATAGGATCACTATTTTCACAACTTCAGTCACTGAATGGTCTACTGGTCCGAGTATCAAAGATCTTTCTTAACTTAAGTCACTGCAACGGTCTACAGGTCCCAGTTTCACAAATCTCCCTTAACTTATGCAGAACTTAATTAATATAGAAAAGCATTACGTTAGTTAAGGAAAAACTTAATTTTACAGAAGTCACATTAGTTATGTAATGCTTTCAAGTGGGCAATTTCAAGTTCAGGTAAATCCCTTAAGTTAAAGAAGATTTGTGATACTGGAGCCAGGAATAAAATGTTGGTGTGGATGGGTATAAATCCATTTGTCTTAATGTCTTATGAATGATATTGTAGGACCAAAGTCATATTTTATAGGAAATTATGGTTTAGAAGACCAGTGTTGCATCAGATTGTCATTTATAACTACTGTATGTTCTCTATATGTTAAAAGTATAAAAAAAAATTCTGTATGTCTTGAATTTTAAGGAAATCTTTTGTTTCTGCGTCAATAAATAATTCCATGACATCATCTGCTTTGCCTTTTGAATATGAGTTTGATGGATTCCTCTGTAAGGCATTTGAAAATTCTTCTTAAGAAATAGTGATTATAATCTTAAATCGTCAAATCCAAGATGGAAGGCTTTTTTTTCCCCCTCGATCAGTCCCAAAATTAAAAGGCACAACAGTGGACCAAGGATAAATTAAATATGAACTTAATGAAAAAATCTATCTCCTAATTCTCAAGATCAGAATTGTTTAAGGATGCATGAGGGGCAATAGACCACATATGTAGGGTAATTTGAACGACCCAATTCGGAGGTCTAATAATAAATTTAGATAAACAAAACAATAAGTTTGATCCATAACTTAAGTTTTATGTTTTATTTACAAGTATTTTATATATAATTACATTTCAGTTTCGTTCTGTCTTTGACAGAGAAACTTTACAGGTGAATAGATACAAAAACATAGTCATCTGTTATAAGAGGCCATCCAATCCAGTGTTTGATTTGTTAATGATAGCGATACAAAGTACTTAACTGTACTTGTCCCACAATGTTGTTTGATAAATATAAAATATGCTGTCCCACACAGGGCCTGCTTTCTACAAGTACAAGATTCCCAAAGATAAATAAATCTTATATTTCACTGAAATAAGAAATGTTAGGACATTTTATGTATACAAATTTTGTGATGAATCTGAAACAATTACTAGTTCTCTTCATTGGTTAGATTTAATATCCAAAACATGATACAAGAAAACAGGTTTCCAGATACATGGATGGTCACAGTGTATAGGGATTAATATCTTGTATCAAAAACAAGGTTTTTACAAACCAAACTTATCATTTTATACAACATTCTTTTATTTATTTATCATTGCACAGAAAATAAAATCATTAATATATGTAAAGTATTCCACCTACATATCACCCACCAGGAATACACCAACTAAACATAAAGGTTACCATAGTGACAACCTCTGAAATAAGCATGTTTACAGCTCTCACACAGTAGAGCTTACAGGATCAAGTAATACTGTACTGTGGAGATAATGAAAAATTAATTTAATATTGATGAATAAACTTTACAAATCTCATCATCTCTTTTAAAACACAAAGTATTCTTCTGGTTGCATAGATATGCATATAGCTTGTGACATTACATGGTGATTTTGGACTCCTTACAGGTCAGACTTGACTTTCTGACAGGTGAGTCTTGAACTCCTGAGGGGTGAGTCCTGGCTCCTCACTGGTGAGTCCAGAGCTCTTAATAAGCTAGTCATGAGCTCCTGACAGGAGTCCAAAGCTAATGATAGATGAGTTCAGAGCTCTGAATTCCTGACAGGTATACCTCAAGCTCTTGACAGGTGTCACAAGCTCCTGAAAGGTGAGCCCCTAGCTCCAAACACAAGAATGGAGCCTCTGACAAGAGAGACCAATGTTACTGACAGTTGAGTCATGAGCTTGAGAACAAGACCTGTTGACAGGTATGTCCTGAGATCCCAAGGGGTGAGCCCTGAGCTTATGTCTTTGAGTCCTGAACTCCTGAAATGGGTTTCCAATGATGAGTACTTTGTAGATTTAGAGAGACATCAGTTATCACAGAAAGACCTTGCTGGGCAGTCTTCAAATGGACGCTGAAAAAGATATACAGAAACATTAGAGACCACTTTCATAATTGTTTAAATATAAACCTATAACACCTTAATTTTCTTATAATAGTACATATGATTAATGTTTTTCGCTTTGTCTTTATTTATCCCCTGATAACCTAAAGTATATCCTTGCGTATGTATGTATTTACATATTTCAACTCTATTTCCTTTTTCTATACAGCAATCGAGTAATAGTCTCATTAACATAACTTTTAGGTAATATGGAATCCTATCATTCATAATGATATACAAAACAACACTCATTATTTTCTGTTGTTCTCTTTCTGACATGATTATGGTTCAAATATATATGAAAAGAAAATAAGGATTTCTTGTTTAAGTTCACCAAAATCTGCACACTTGTGTGTACCAACTACAAAAAAGATTTTTGGATTTCCTGTGAAGCTAGGCGAGTTCAAATAAACTGTCAAGAGATGCATCTCTTTTAGTTTACTTTCTTAATTATTCACTAGTTATACTGCCACTTGTAACTACATTGGTCTTTTTTTTCCAAATCTATATAACTAGGATAAGGGAGGGATGGGAACCATGCATAGATACATTATACATTATGAGTGCTGTTAAAAACTAGGAAATGTCTGTGAGACATGCTTGCATTTTTTCCCCATGCATATTAGTTTTATTATCTAACAAATTCCTATAAATAGTAATGATGACCTTGAACCCTGAAATAAAAATGAACTACCTTACTTAAGGAACAAAATATTTTCTTTTAATATCCTTTGTTCAAAAGTCACTAGTGTGATGGCCCTGATTTTTAGCTGGGTCTATCCCCCGTGAACAGCCCAGGTTATTGTGTAGTAGCTGTTGGCTAATCACCACATCACTGAGTTACATGTGGGAGGACTGTCACATTGTACCGAGAACAATTGGGGTAAAGTGCTTCACCCAAGGCACAACCACAACAGCATTAGACAGTTTGTAATCTCAGTTTCCAGAGATATACAAACCACCCTGGATAGAATCTAACCGCAAATCTCGGATCTTCACCTGAGATTTTAAAGTCAGTTTGTTTATCTGCTGAGCTGATGATTTTCTATTAATAGTAACAGTCCCCCTGTCCTGTCACACTGCAGTAGAAACTAATTTGAGGTATTCTCATGCATAATTCTTTTGATGTTTCCTCATTGTTTACCTTCTGCATTTGATTTCATCAAAAAGATGCTGAAGATGTAAGGATGAACAAGAGAGTCAACAGAATCTTCAGATTTAAAAGAGATATACAAGATTCACACGCAGAAATCATAAGATTAAAGTCAATATACAAATTCTTAAAAGAAGAAAAAAAATAAAACCTCTAAAATAACAATCTCCAGAAAGTCTAAATACCTATTACCTTTAATATCCAGGTAATTTAAGGTTTAAGGAAATGATCCTTCACCAATGCATTGCTTGAACAACAGATAGAACTGATCAATGTACTTCTGTATGTTAATTTACTACATACATGTACAATATTATAACAGACTTCAAAGATAGAGTTATCACAAAGCTCAAAATGCTAATTTAACAACAATCACTTAGATATATGAAAGACACCATGGAAGATATATGTATCATATGATATATGTCCGATTTTTCAACACCACTGCCAATACAGACCTACATACGAAATACTGTAGAAGAGAAAGCTCAAACCTGGCAGTGCTTTTCCGGTTAAATTGGCAGCAATTTTTATAAGGCCTTGTTGACCTGCTGTATTGACGAGTTGTTTAGCCACACTGGGCATGCCCAAACCTGCTCTTGTGACATCTGCAATGTGATACCCAATTAGAGTGACACTAAACAAGCTGGTGAACAACAGATCTACCCAGCTGTAAACACCATCTCCCATCATGTCATTAGTAATTAATACTGAAGTACAAAGAAATGATAGGAATGTTACAGAAAAAAATACAAATCATTCCAGAGTAATATAAAATGAAATTCAGCAGGGGCTCGTATAGATATACCCCAACCCCAACCTTGTACTCAATGGTTTTATTTGCAAAATGGTGTAAGGTGACCTTTGACCTCAACCTTGATTAATAACCATCAAAATCAAAGGTGTAGACTCTGTGTTGTGATACTTTGGTGTGAATCTGAACTATATCACTTCAGCGGTTATGATATATCTTATACACAGACTTTTTCGTTTCAAAGAGATCCAGTGTGACCCTTGACCTTTAACCTACATTGACACAGTGTTAATATGAACTTAACTTATTTAGGGCCTATGGATGCAAATGATCTTGAACAGACACACAAAGTAATAACTATATATCCCTCTCTCCCTTCTGTAAGTAGGTGGTGTGGTTAAAATATTGGTATCGAAGACAATTATTGGACCTACATGTATGTAGAGAATGAATCTATTAAAAGATTTAAGATTCAATTAGCAATGCTCTGGGATAACTTTGTGAAATTTCACTAAATATTTTGTTGAGGTACAAAAGAAAAGCACATTGTGATGATCATTCTGATTCAGTAACACAATCACATGTTGACACTGGTCTAAATATTTTGTTGAGGTACAAAAGAAAAGCACATTGTGATGATCATTCTGATAAACTGAACAGTAACACACTATCACACTGTTATGATCACTCAGATAAACCTAACAGTAACACACCACACAGTGATGATCACACTTGTAACACACTATCACACTGTGATGATCACTCAGATAAACCTAACAGTAACACACTATCACACTGTTATGAGCACTCAGATAAACCTAACAGTAACACATTATCACACTGTTATGATCACTCAGATAAACCTAACAGTAACACATTATCACACTGTTATGATCAGTCAGATAAACCTAAAAGTAACACATTATCACACTGTTATGATCACTCAGATAAACCTAACAGTAACACATTATCACACTGTTATGATCAGTCAGATAAACCTAACAGTAACACACTATCACACTGTTTTGATCATTCAGATAAATCTAACAGTAACACATTATCACACTGTTATGATCTATCAGATAAACCTAACAGTAACACACTATCACACTGTGATGATCACTCAGATAAACCTAACAGTAACACACTATCACACTGTGATGATCAATCTGATAAACCTAACAGTAACACACTATCACACTGTTATGATCACTCAGATAAACCTAACAGTAACACACTATCACACTGTTATGATCACTCAGATAAACCTAACAGTAACACACTATCACACTGTGATGATCACTCAGATAAACCTAACAGTAACACACTATCACACTGTGATGATCACTCAGATAAACCTAACAGTAACACACTATCACACTGTGATGATCACTCAGATAAACCTAACAGTAACACACTATCACACTGTTATGATCACTCAGATAAACCTAACAGTAACACACTATCACACTGTGATGATCACTCAGATAAACCTAACAGTATCACATTATCACACTGTGATGATCACTCAGATAAACCTAACAGTAACACACTATCACACTGTGATGATCACTCAGATAAACCTAACAGTAACACACTATCACACTGTTATGATCACTTAGATAAACCTAACAGTAACACACTATCACACTGTGATGATCACTCAGATAAACCTAACAGTAACACACTATCACACTGGCTTGCTGTCCTGGTATGTGGAGTTCATTATAGTGCTACCAGTGAGTACCATTATTAACATTTAGTTATGCAGTGTGATGTTCTACATAGTTAGGAATTCTAAGATCTACAAACTCATTCAGAGAGATGTAATTAAATTGTTACAGAAGGAAACACAAAGTGATGCACAGATCAACAGAAGAGATAGAATTAGCAGGAAATTGATATGAACCAGATAAATAAACACAAGAGAGAGGCGGCACGGCTGAGTCATTTAAAATAAATGTTGTGTGTAAATATTCATATACTCAATTGCTGCTATTTTTAAAACCAAGAGGCCCAATGAACCTACAGTACTTACCTGGTATATATATGCCATCCAAATATCAGACCTCTCAGCCTTTTATTTCATGAGAAGAAGACGTTCAAATGTTTTTATAAAAAATTTGACCCTCGTGACCTTGAATATAAGTCAAGGTAATTTTTTTCCCAAATTTTGTAAGCCTTCATTCTAGGAATTTCCAGCAAAATGTCATGCCTCCAGGCTTTTTAGTTCATGAGAAGAAGTTGTTTAAATGTTTTAACAAATTTGACCCATGTAACCTTGAATATTAGTAAAGGTAATTTCTTTTCTAAAACTTCGTTGAGCTTCACCCTGGGAACATACCTGCAAAATACATTCCTCTAGGCCTTTTAGTTAATGAGAAGAAATTGTTTAAATGTTTTAACAAACCTGACCCTTTTGACCATGAATATAAATCAAGGTCATTTCTTTTTGCAACCTTGCAAGGCTTCATCCTAGGGACATACCAGCCAAATATCAAAACATTTGGTGAACCTTTAGGTTGCTTAAATGAAAAAGTTGACCCAGCACACCGGACTGTCAGTGGACGGCCAACGAACGCCACAGCATAAGCTAACTCTGTCCTTTGGGCCAGGTGAGCTTATGATGGAAAATGAACACTTCAGTCCACTTACAGAAAAGTTTTTTTTGATATGTTATGAGTTAAAAAGTCAAGGTATATCATTTTTTTGATGAAATGAGCTTTGATATTTTCATTGTTGATATTAATGGAACAAGGAGCATAAGCCTTATGAATTGAACTGATTTGCTGGACTACTATTTAATCAAAACAGAGTATTAATGGCATTTTTTGCTTAAGAGACAATCTGATGAACCCCAAACCACAAATTAAAGAAGGTACCCATTAACATTTCATTTTATATAGCCCATAAATTTTTCATTTGAGGCAACATTTGTATCTCTAAGAAGTGCCTCCTGTCTTTTATGCTTATTTGGGTGTTATGGAGAAAGATTGAATAATTGTAGCAGCAAAGTTTTCGAAAAGATGTTGTTGAAGTTACTACAATGTGTTATACAGGAGAGTTAACATCAGAATTAACTAACAATTTGGTATTTCATTTTTTTTCTGAATGTAATCTATTATTAAGCAATTAATTCTTAAATAAATATATGGAAAAAAAGTACAAGAAATTTTCACATTTTGATCTCAATGATTTAGTATAAATAGCATGGTTCAGCAGTGTGTTAAAGAGGAAACTGAACAATATAAGGATGAAACACTAAAACCTCTAAAATCTACAGACATTAAAAAGACATGGTTAGTAAAGGCAAGCTAACACATGCAAGTACAAACCTAGCACATCTCACTACAGTAAACTGTAGCCCTACCTTTTACTGCTTTGCCTAGGTCACCTGCATTAGGTTTAATGGCAGCTGGCACTTCTTTAATTGGAACCTGTACACCTCCACCACCGAACGCTTGCGATAGATCTGCACAGACATAAAATTACAACTATTATCACTCTAATGATGTATAAATCATCTGTAAAATCAATTAATATTTGCAGATAGGAACACATTATTGGGAGTAACATAGCACTAATATTTAATTTATCAATTTGGAATATTACGGTTAAAATTTGTTTATAATTTGACAGCATCATATTGTAATGATGAATCCATGAGGAACATCATCAAACAGTGTTCTGTTATAAATATCTTACAGTTAGTTAGAATTTGATTACCTTCCACAATTTGATGATAAGCGAAGTGTAGATAGAGGAGGAAGAGGAGATGTAGGGTAGCTACTGCAGCACAAACAATAATTCTTTGTGTTTGTCCACTTGTCCGTGTCACTATGATACCAACCTGAAACACAACAGCAATCAGAAAATCATTATTCATGAGACTGATCCAGCGATATAAAATATAGCATTGGAAATAACAGCTTTAAATGCATTATAATTCCTAAAACTTCGTCTTTCAGTGAATTTATATAATTTTTATCAATTCCTTACTAAAGGTGGATATTACAAAACTGGGTACCTTGTTAACTTTTTCACAGACATCCAACTCAACATTCAGAAAATGATTAGAGGCTCAATAATATATAAATGATATAAAAATAGATTCACTGCAAATGTGCAATTATATTTATTTTGAAACCACAGAAAATCTTGCAGTCAATTTCTTTGGTAAATTAACCTATCAAGTTATATAGCACTTACATCTGAAGTGTTGTAGTTCAATGATTCAGTAAAATAACCTAACACCCTGATACAGTACTTACCATCTGAAGTGTTGTAGCTCAATGATTCAGTAAAATAAACTAACACCCTGATACAGTACTTACCATTTTAAGTGTTGTAGCTCAATGATTCAGTAAAATAAACTAACACCCTGATACAGTACTTACCATCTGAAGTGTTGTAGTTCAATGATTCAGTAAAATAACCTAACACCCTGATACAGTACTTACCATCTGAAGTGTTGTAGTTCAATGATTCAGTAAAATAACCTAACACCCTGATACAGTACTTACCATCTGAAGTGTTGTAGTTCAATGATTCAGTAAAATAACCTAACACCCTGATACAGTACTTACCATCTGAAGTGTTGTAGTTCAATGATTCAGTAAAATAACCTAACACCCTGGCCCCACTTGTATAAAACATCTCAACTTAAGATTTCCTCAAGTCGAGATTTTCCTCAGCTAATATCTCCTTGAAAATATCTTGAATAAAAATTCCTCAAGGAATTTCAGGACATCCTAGCCGATGACTTCCTCCTGTTCCTTGAGAAAATTTTATACAAGCCGTTTTTGAGGAGATATCAATCGAGGATTCAAGTGAAATGTTTTATACAAGTGGGGCCTGATACAGTACTTACCAACTGAAGTGTTGTAGTTCAATGATTCAGTAAAATAACCTAACACCCTGATACAGTACTCACCATTTTAAGTGTTGTAACTCAATGATTCAGTAAAATAGCCTATCACCCTGACTCAGTACTCACCATTTTAAGTGTTGTAGCTCAATGATTCAGTAAAATAGCCTATCACCCTGACTCAGTACTCACCATTTTAAGTGTTGTAACTTAATGATTCAGTAAAAGCCTATCACCCTGACTCAATACTCACCATTTTAAGTGTTGTAGCTCCACCAATTATTGCCCATAAAAGGTAGAAGAAGATATGGTCATGTGATGTATGAATAAGTGTACCTAGGAGGATGACCATGCAGTGACCGAACAGCCCATAGCCCTGTAAAGGTCAAACACAACTCAAGGTCAAGGTCAAACAGATAACAAAGGTCAAATTCAAACACACATTATAAATATAGGTCAAACAGACAAATACACATCAAATTTTATCACCAAAGACCAGACATCAAAGTCAATGTCAACCAATATATACTCGACCAAAAAAAAACCACACAAAGTTCCCCCTGCAGTACACCTTAGCTGTAAGGAAATAATGGAAGATTTGGTCACCGAGACAGGAAGTGTATCTTGACTGGATGTGCAGACATGGCCTGAATAGATTTGGAATGTGTCTGTGGAAGCATATGATGTTCACTGACGAGTCTAGATTCTGTCTGTATCACTCAGGCAGAAGAAAAAGGGTATATCACAGATGCGGTGAGTGTTTCACCGATGCATGCCTGGTTGAAGGCAATAGATTTGATGGGGCTTCTGTAATGGTTTGGGGAGGCATCTTCCATAGAGTAAAATACCCCTTAGTGATCCTTTATCCAAACCTCAATGCCATTCGATACAGAGACCAGATCCTCCAACCACATGTCCTTCCACTTCTCAGATGTCATAACCTTAATTTTCCAGCATGACAATGCTCGACCGCATGTTACCAGAGTCTGTTTTGATTTTCTCACGGCAAACAACATTCAGCCTCTGGAATAGCCCAATGTAGCCCCGAAATGTCTCCCATTGAGCATTTGTGGTATGAGCTAGACAGACGTATTAGAAAACCTCAATATCCCTTAACTTACTGTGCCTAGTTGATCGCAGCACTAACACAAGAATAGAACAACAATCCCTTAAGGTGAATAAATGTTCTCATGAATTCAATGCGTACGAGAATCTGTGCAGGGATTTGTTCAAGAGATGCCCAAACCAGGTACTGAAGTGTCATTTTGTTTTTGGCGGGTATCCAATTTTGAGTAACTACTGATGACATGAGTGATGTCACACATATTTTTCATCTACAGTATTGTAAGGAGTAGACTTGTCCCTTCACATTGATATCTAATTCCACAAAATGTCATAGGCTATTAATTGCATAATGTAATTGTGCGTTTCTTTTTTGTTGAGTACACATATTATAGGTACAAGTTAAACTTCAAATGAAAAATAAGTAATCCAACAGTACAAGTATACAACACAGTATTGTATTTTCAATGTCTAGTAAAGATCTCATTCATTTGGAATGTGCTATGATATATGTGATAGCAAGGTGTTATGATATATGTGATAGCAGGGTGTTATGTTATGTGATAGCAGGGTGTTATGTTATGTGAGAGCAGGGTGTTATATTATGTGACAGCAGTGTTATGTGGTGGCAGGGTGTTATGTTATGTGATGGCAGGGTGTTATGAGACATGTGATAGCAGGGTGTTATGTTATGTGATAGCAGGGTGTTATGTTGTGTGATAGCAGGATGTTATGTTATGTGATAGCAGGGTGTTATGTTATGTGATAGCAGGGTGTTATGTTATGTGAGAGCAGGGTGTTATATTATGTGATAGCAGGGTGTTATGTTATGTGAGAGCAGGGTGTTATATTATGTGACAGCAGTGTTATGTGGTGGCAGGGTGTTATGGTATGTGATGGCAGGGTGTTATGAGACATATGATAGCAGGTGTTATGTTATGTGATAGCAGGTGTTATGTTATGTGATAGCAGTGTTATGTGGTGGCAGGGTGTTATGTTATGTGATAGCAGGGTGTTATGAGACATGTGATAGCAGGGTGTTATGTTATGTGATAGCAGGGTGTTATGTTGTGTGATAGCAGGGTGTTATGTTATGTGATAGCATTGTGTTATGAGACATGTGATACCAGGGTGTTATGTCATGTGATAGCTGGGTGTTATGAGACATGTGATAGCAGGGTGTTGTTATGTGATGGCAGGGTGTTATGAGACATGTGATAGCGGGGTGTTATGAGACATGTGACAGCTGGGTGTTATGAGACATGTGATAGCAGGGTGTTATGTTGTGTGATAGCAGGGTGTTATGTTATGTGATGGCAGGGTTTTATGAGACATGTGATAGCAGGGTGTTATGTTGTGTGAAAGCAGGGTGTTATGTTATGTGATGGCAGGGTTTTATGAGACATGTGATAGCAGGGTGTTATGTTGTGTGATAGCAGGGTGTTATGTTATGTGATGGCAGGGTTTTATGAGACATGTGATAGCAGGGTGTTATGAGACATGTGATAGCAGGGTGTTATGAGACATGTGATAGCAGGGTGTTATGTTGTGTGATAGTGTTGTGTTATGAGACATGTGATAGCATTGTGTTATGAGACATGTGATAGCGGGGTGTTATGTTGTGTGATAGTGTTGTGTTATGAGACATGTGATAGCATTGTGTTATGAGACATGTGATAGCGGGGTGTTATGAGACATGTGATAGCGGGATGTTATGAGACATGTGATAGCATTGTGTTATGAGACATGTGATAACATTGTGTTATGAGACATGTGATAGTGGGGTGTTATGAGACATGTGATAGCATTGTGTTATGAGACATGTGATAGCGGGGTGTTATGAGACATGTGATAGCAGGGTGTTATGAGACATCTGATAGCGGGGTGTTATGAGACATGTGATAGCAGGGTGTTATGAGACATGTGATAGCATTGTGTTATGAGACATGTGATAGCATTGTGTTATGAGACATGTGATAGCATTGTGTTATGAGACATGTGATAGAAGGGTGTTATGAAACATGTGATAGAAGGGTGTTATGAGACATGTGATAAAAAGGGGTTATGAGACATGTGATAGAAGGGTGTTACGAGACGTGATAGAAGGGGGTTATGAGACATGTGATAGAAGGGGGTTATGAGACACATGATAGCATTGTGTTATGAGACATGTGATAGCGGGGTGTTATGAGACATGTGATAGTGGGGGGTTATGAGACATGTGATAGAAGGGGGTTATGAGACACGTGATATCATTGTGTTATGAGACATGTGATAGCGGGGTGTTATGAGACACGTGATAGTGGGGTGTTATGAGACATGTGATAGCGGGATGTTATGAGACACGTGATAGCGGGGTGTTATGAGACACGTGATAGCAGGGTAAACATAAAGATGTAAGATATAAACTTACCAACATGGACATGATCTGTAACATACTGAGACGAGTATTACAGACAAATGACAGGAACCAAACAAATGCTGATGCTCCAAACCAGTAAGTAAAACACACTCCAAAGGCAGTGCCCATCAATGTTCCCTCCTCCTGTCACACAATTTATAACAGATATGAGCTCATAGAAGCAGTAGATATTGAAACAATGTGAACAAATGAATCTAAAGTCTCTGTCTTCTTTAAGGAAACACTGTTTATCTAAACGGAAATATGCTAAATAATTTTCTGGATAAATCTCTGGAGTATATGAATGCCCTGTTAATGGGGTAAAATGTCTCAGATTTACTTGCTGATGATCTCATTATCATATGACAAATGATATCACAAAATGTATTAACAATGTAAATTAGTTCTTGTGTTTTGATAGTCAGGTTGACATATTCATAATTTATCAACACAATGGCACATGACAGTACTATGATTTATCAATACTATGTCACATGACAGTATTATAATTTATCAATATAATGTCACATGACAGTATTATTAATTTATCAATACAATGTCACATGACAGTATTATTAATTTATCAATACAATGTCACATGACAGTATTATAATTTATCAATATAATGTCACATGACGGTATTATAATTTATCAACACAATGTCACATGACGGTATTATAATTTATCAACACAATGTCACATGATGGTATTATAATTTATCAACACAATGTCACATGACATGATAAACGTACTACTCTATGGTCTGCAGTCTTCATTTGAAACAATAGTAAGGCAATCATTGTGAAGATAACCATCAAAGGTCCATACAACTCTCGGGAAACTCTCTGGAAATAAAAATAAAACTTTGTACATATCAATGGTAGATATTTTTTCCTTCTATTTTAATTCTACACACCAACGAGGAAGAATAAAAAAATTTCAACTTAAAATGTGTTATCTTAATACACAGAAGTGTTATCAAGTTAAATGTGTTATCAATACCACAAAGGTGTTATCAAGTTAAATATGTTTTCAATATCACAGAAGTGTTATCAAGTTAAATGTGTTATCAATACCACAGAAGTGTTATTAAGTTAAATGTGTTTTCAATACCACAGAAGTGTTATCAAGGTAAATGTGTTATCAATACCACAGAAGTGTTATCAAGGTAAATGTGTTATCAATACCACAGATGTGTTATCAAGTTAAATGTGTTTTCAATACCACAAAAGCCTTATCAAGTTAAATGTATTGTCAATACCACACGATACCACAGTTATCAAAAGCCTTTTATTAACCTGTTTCTGTGCTGTAGGCCTCTGGGGAATGAATGACCACAGCAACCTAAAAATAGAAAACAAGTATTTCAACAACTGAATCAGTTAATGATATATTTGAACTTCAGTATAGGTCTCAGTAAATAGAAGTTTTTCTTATTGGCTGATTGGATTTTTTTTTAATTGCTAACATCTGAAGTTCACATCAGCTTTAAAGGACTTTTGCTTCATATCAATTAAAGGATCGTTGGAAAAAAAACAGGAGAAAAGTTATTTTCAACTATATATATATCAAATACAAATTTTATGGAAAGACTTGCCTTGATCTTACTTCATGAGGCTCAACATTGAAGTAAGGGCGGAGAATATCTATATTACCATAGAGATTCCAAGCCTTACTCGCTTGCTGTTTACCCGACTGCCACATCTGTCAAAATATTAAGAATACTGAAATCTAGACTAACTTTAGATACATAAAGATCATTGCAATGTGTTGACCAGAGTCCAATGTTCTGTAGAAAATTGTCAATGTATAGTTTACCGATGACATCACAATTATCATTGATGACGTCATGCAACCAGTGATGACAAATAAACATTCTGATGGAAGGAGCTGAAGAAGGCAAACATGCTTTGTAGACAGTGTCTTGCTTATTTCATCTTTAATATATGGATATTAATATGTAGATAAATCATTGTACTTAATTACCATAAATTTGAAGGTATAGTGCACACTTTTTTTAACAAAAAACTGTTGTGTCAAAAAGGGGGTGCATATTATATGCAGGATAAATTAACCTTATAACAGCATGAAACATACCATGGCATAATGTAAAAACACATTAATTTACATAGGCAGAAGAAGATGTGTGTTGTTGGGGTTTTTTCTAGTGAAAAGTCAAATTGACTAGTTAGAGTCTTCCCTATAGATACTGGTTCGCAGCATCTTAAAATACAAAAACAATTATGATGGCTACATGAATGAAAATATTAATTCCATTCATGAATCTTACCATAGCGGCAACATTTTCGCCTAGCCTCTGTCGAATGTCATCTCCCATCCCCTTCTTCTTTCCTCTGTCAGAATCTGGATGTTTAATCAAAGCACAATATTAAAATGCCAGCGTCCAAGATATTTCGTACCTAGTGTATATATCTGGTAAAATGCCTCTTCATAATACAAAAGTTATTGGAAATATCTTGCAAGACTTATGATATACTGCAAATGGTATTAGTATTTGAGCTGATCTATATTTTCATTAGAGTCGTTCAAACTTTAAAAACTATAAAATACTTGTTCTGACATTATATATTCTCCAAACTAAACCAATTGAATGCCTATTAAAACTGCATCAGTTTATACCAGAGAAACTGCTGTCATAGTCTGATGAATCATCTTTGTCCTGCATCTCCTCCACATCATCCAGGTCTATCACAGCTGACTGAGAGGCAGCCCCCTGTTACACATTTAAAGACAGAAAGCTGTTAAATCTGATAGGAAAATTACAGGAAAAGGCACAATGAGCACGAATAATTTAACTATATTTATCACAACTATGAAATCTTGTAAAATGAAAGTGATTTCAGACATTATCAGGGTCTTTGGGGCAACTCCGTAAAAAAGCAAGCACAGCAGAAAATATTGCACAGCTCCGTTGTTGATGCTTAGCAATCTCATCAATATTCTTATCTTCTCCATATGTGTCTGATTTTGGCTGGAGAAGTTTCTGTACATAGAGATCTGAACTATCATCCCTAATTAACGAAGTATTAATCATAACAACAAAGTGGTGATTATCGATAATTGTTTGTTTAAGTTTAGCTAGGAATTTAGATTTAGTGAACTGCGATATCCTGTTTCGAAGACATTAATGATGATACTGAATCCTGTGCATCACTAATTTACTGCACAATTTATCCAGCGTTCTTTTCAGTCAGGTTAGTGTTTATTAATTTGCCGACTTGCAAAAACAATTTCCTTTCAGTCACCCCTTACACAACGACATACTAATATCTAAAATTAATTAGGCACATATTTATTAAGCCAATTCACTTGTAAATTCATCTTGTAATTTACCAACTTTCTGTTGTTGAGTTTGATTATTTCAGACATACTCACATCTCTTTGTGGATATTCCAACTTAAGAAAAACTTGATTACCTAGCAACATTTGTCTGTCATTAATATAGATAACCTTTTCTTGGTGAAACCAAGTGAGTTAAGACTGAATTATACACATGACCGTCACATGACATCTAGATTATTCAGATATACTAGTGATAATTTTTTATTATTTATGCCAGACAGACATACCTATTTTTGTCACATGAGCTTTATTTAAGTTGTATTATAGAAGAATATGCTCTGGAATATAATTACATCATGTAACCATATTGATTCCATTAATGTTTGCCATGTGAATTCCTGGGAGATAAAGGTGACAACAAAAGCTTTAACAGGTTGGAGTTTCGGTTACAACTGAGAGAGGTATTTTGGTCTTGTACAAATTGATAGTATGTGTGTAACACTGGTAAAATACTAGCGAAAATACACTACTCAGCTAGGAAGAACTTCTCTTAAGCTTGACTGGTGGAGCATCAGGCTAGTAGGCCAGGGGTCCCGCGTTTGATTCCTAGCGGAGGCATTGAAATAAATAATGACCTCTGTTACACATGCAAGCTCTGAAAGGTCAGAGAACATGAAAGTAGCTGAGTGTTCTATACATGTGAATAGGCATTCCATCAGCATGCAAGCTTTTCTTTGCATGTACTTGTCAAACTAAATTTAGTAAGTTTGTCTGTATGTATGTTCAGGAAACTAAGGATTTTTACATTATTAACTTGTGTCCATAATTTGGTGTGCTATATATGACCAGCATTTGGACAAAGATGTACAGCAGTCGATGCTTAGCACAGAAATACTATAGTATAAAGTTAAGAATCTATTGACTCTACATTACTTGGTCGAAGTACTTACTGTACAGAATATATCAGTATTGGAAAATACACATTTAAAATTTTAAGACTTAAATTATCTGACATACGTAAAATAATTAGACTTAAGCTTAAATTTCTAAATCCCTTTAGCACTGTATCCTTGACTTTAACTATGCATCAATTCATGTTTTGAGGACGTATTTAATAAACCATTACAGTTATTGAATAAGCACTTATGCTGTTTTATATGTGAAGTGATATCAAATTGTTACTAAAATGTCATGAATCATAAATGTTTCCAGAATAGTGAAACATATTTAATACTATAGAGGGACAGAAAGCTTTTTTCCAAATGGACACCTCAAGTCGAACAAGAGGTTAATCCTGAAAAGATTTCTTAAAAAACGTTGTAACCTGGATATAAAAAAGAATTTCTTTAATCACAGAATTGTAGATACATGGGATAATTTACAGCAACATTTCATCGATGATGATAATGTGTACCATTTCGTAGAATTGTAGATGAACACTGGAAAAATAGTCGGTTAATGTTTGAATTCAAATTTAACAGTTGGCTCTACATAGCTATTGTACAGGAGGATGTTATTTTATTCGCTGTATATATATTGTTGATATGGATATAGAGGCTTTCAACCTGCATCCATAAGTTTTCCTAATAAATCCTAATAAAAACTTGTGAAAACTTGTGACCTGTGAAATTGGGTTTCCTAATTCTCAGTCACATTAAGTAAATTTCTTCCTTGACTATTTCTCTATTAAATATTTAACAAAATCGTTGCGAACTTTTGAAAAAATACTGCGGTGGAAGCCACGGATACATATCAATTACCAATACCTGATTTCGTCGGTCACCCAACGTGTCAGCCATGATGTCAACAGTGGCGTGTGCAATGTGAAAATCAACACGGAATCCGGATTTCTTTGGTACATAAAACAGTGACGAAACTTGCTTCGAGTTTCACCTCAAAATAAAGGAACTGTGATATCAATCACGACTATAAATACACTGACCTAATTAATGAACAATAAATTGAAAATCAATTAGCTGATTTACATAGATCTACAGATTTAGAATTTGATTAATTTTTCATTTTTTTACCTATGGATTAAAATTCAATGCATTACATATACAATAAAACACGGATAAGTCGAAGTCGACAGAACTAAATGAATTATCTGACTTATCTGATGGTTCGATTTAATTGTGTTTCTAAGAACGGAAACATTGTGCATTGAAGACTGACCCAATTTTCAACGGTTGTTTACCGGATACGTGTCTCACAGCATGAAACTACCGAAAAAGAAAAATCTTTCTTTTACAAATCTCCTTCAGTGACTCCACTATGACACCAAACCTCCAATCACATGGTCAATGAGCCATTGTTCAGTTATTAATCAGTCAGTTTTTCTATTAGAAATTACAGTTTAATGATCTTACAAGGTGAATTACTTCATTGTTATTTCCTGATTACAAGGAGAATGATTTCATTGTTTTTACTTAATTACAAATTGAATAATTTCATTATTTTTACTTAATTACAAATTGAATAATTTCATTATTTTTACTTAATTACAAATTGAATAATTTCATTATTTTTACTTAATTACAAATTGAATAATTTCATTGTTATTTCCTAACTACAGATCAAATAATTGAATTATTTTTACTTAATTACAAAGTGAATAATTTCATTATTTTGACTTAATTACAAAGTGAATAATTTCATTGTTTTTACTTAATTACAAGGTGAATGATTACATTGTTTTTACTTAATTACAAAATGAATAATTTCATTGTTTTTACTTAATTACAAAGTGAATAATTTCATTGTTTTTACTTAATTACAAAGTGAATAATTTCATTGTTATTTCCTAACTACAAATCAAATAATTAAATTATTTCTACTCAATTGCAAAGTGAATAATTTCATTGTTTTTACTTAATTACAAGATGAATGATTACATGGTCAATGTCACTTTGTAATTACAGAACCAAGGGTTTCATTATCACCATAAGGTCGATGATGTCATTGTTACATCTTAATTACAAGGTCAATCATTTCAAGGTAATTAATTTATTAGGGGCTATTGTTCCCATTATTGTACCTTCATTATTGGGCTAATGATATTGTTGCTATAGATATCATATAGACCTTTCCTGGCACCTTGGATACATATTTAAACAAATTTAAATCATGCAGAGTAAAAAGGTAATTAATTGTGTGTCGGTGATGGGCTCTACCTTGTGATTCTTATCGCCTTGTATGTAATTCTCTTACTGTTTGAACTCAAAATCATCTTTGCTTCACTTAGATAACATTGTGACAGATTCACTTACCAGTTAAGAAATACAATGTTGACACTGACATCTGAGTGATCACACACTTATTTCTTTCATTTGGATCATTCTGGTTCATAATGTCATCACAAATTTGGCCTTGACCTTCAACACTACAACCTTGACTTTTAGTAAAGTTACTTCTCATTAATCAACTTTGCTTCATGATGTTGCAGGAAAATATCTACCTGTTTAGAGACATAAAATGTGACCTTTAACTTGAACCCATTGACCTTTTAACTTTGACCAATCACTTCCTCATTCTACTTTATAATGAGATAACAGTATAGATATCTCATACGTTATTGTGTATCAAATATATTACATTGTGATTTTGACTTGCTGTCAGGCCATCTCTCATTTGATTATGGTTAATTTTGTGTCATGACAGAATATCTATCAACCTTGACCTGTAGTTGAATGTCTTCTTATTTGATTCTGTTCACCTAGTGTCATCTGACATAAAATACAAGATTTCAAATTTTGAACATATTTCATCTGGATTTAAGAATCAAGGGCACTCAGCCACCACCTTGAAAGTGGGTTAAGGTTATTCATTTCAACAAACTTCGTAAACCTTCATCCCAGTATGCTACAGACCAAATATCATCAACTTGGGTGTTCTGGTTATTCAGAGGATGTTTGAAGTAACAAACTTTGGTCAGTGCCATGTCATGATCATTTCATGCAAGTTTTGGCTCAATTCCACTGGTGGAACTTGAGAAGAAGTCGAAAATGTGTTTTCAAGATGGCGGCCATTTTGGATTTCGGACCAACCTGAAATTAACAAACTTTGGTCAGGATCATGTCACGATCATTTCAGGTAAGTTTCAGCTCAATGAGACATGTAGAACTTGAGAAGAAGTTGAAAATGTTTACGACTTATGACAGACGACGCCGGACAAAAGGCGATCGCAATAGGTCATCAGACCCTTTGAGTCAGATGACCTAAACATATACACAAACTTTGAGAAAAATCTATGTTGTAGTTCTCAAGAAATCGCGATAACAAACTTTCAAAGTCAAAATACAAGATGTCTGCCTGTCAGCCTTTTCGTTTTTCTGATCAGACCCAAAATTAATTGGGCACAACTAGGGATCTACATCAAAATTTAAAAAAGATCCATCAAATACTTTTCAAGAAATAGCCATAAAAAACTTCATTGAAAATATCCAATATGGCCACCTTTCAGCCATTTTGTTTTTCTGATCAGACCCGAAATCAGATGGGCACAACAAGAGACCAAGGGGAACTTACATATGAAATTTATATGGACAGCCTGACGATGGAGGGCAGTACAGACGACGAATGGAGGATTGACCATGGATGTAGGACGATCTACTTATGGTGGGCTAAAAATGGATGAACAGACAGACAGATGACAGGACAACCAGATTACTATAAAGCGCTCTCATCTTTGAGGTGGGATCCTAGTCACATGGCTATTGTTCATGTTAGATATATCCTTTTAACATTATCATTGCTGTTTGTGTCTCCTTCACAAAAAAAAAATCTTTATCTCACAATGTCTTGACTCAATTTTACAAAAACTACAAACACAATCAATTACCTGTATCATATTTATTCATTTTTATAAACTTAAATAAGAATTAAATTACTAAATTACATGTATGATATCTGTTAAATCAACTGAGTAGTAAATGACACTACAAGTTGATGATAATTAAGATGATATATTAATACATTTGTATTCTAGGTTCTAAACCAAGATGTAGATACATGTTGTACTACAAATAAACATATTGACATTTACTCGGTTCTGAGCACAGTTTTAACAAAGTATTCAATGCTTTTTATGCTACAATCACATCAATCACTTCCTAAAAAGTAAAGATCAAAACACAACAAATATTTTATGATAAATTTGGGGGCAATTAAGCAGTGACGACAATTTATGATGAAATTAGGGAGCAATCTTAAGACTTTTAAGCAACAAAAAAGACCTTGAAAAAATAGAATTAGATATAAACAATATTTGCCGGAATATACGCCTTTCTGTACTAAAATTATTTTGAGGAATATCATAAGGGTAAACACAAAAGAATATACTTACAGAGAGATGTAAGCTAAATGTTTACAGTCAGCAAAATAAAATTGATCTGTTTTCAGTTTATGATCCTTTACAGAAGAAGAATGGATTAAAACTAGAACAAAAACATTGCAATACTAAGCAAGTGTATCATGGTCTTAAGCCATCATGGGCGTAGCAAATGTTCACAGCTTATTTCTTCTAAACTTTCATATAAATACGTAATATTGATTTATGATATAAAAAGGTAATTCCATATCTAAAATAATACATGTGATCTATATATATATATATATATATAATGTATATGTCTGCAAAGTGTAAAACTGAAAAATCAACTGAAATTGTTGAATATCTAAACAGGTATTCTTGGGGCTTCTCAATGTGAGTTGAAGAGAGGAGGCTTACCTATTCATGAGACTTAAAATAATGTGTTTGAAGTAAATGATTAAGGTATACAAAAAGATAGGGAGGAATTGAATTTACAGTTACCAATAATAAAATGGGGTGTTATTGGACACACAATGGTCAAGATATGAAATGATATTCCAACTTTAAATGGTTGTCAGTATATGTTGTTAGTGACATGCCATTTTTTCTTTGTTCTTAACTTCTGAATTTGTTACCATGGAGCAAAAGGGTCCATTAAAACTTCAAAAAAGTGAATAAAAAATATGTAAAAAAAAAAAAAAGAAATTCTACAAAACAGATTTGAAAAAAAAATGTGACAGACTTACTGATATTTTAACTATGAAACATCAATTAATTTACATTAATATTAAACAACAAAGCCACCAAATACTGAATTACAGTGAGACCTACTTTAACACTGACTGGGTAAGGCAGGCTGTGCCCTACAATCTCGTTATACATCAATTGCTCTATAAATTTCCTGACCTACATGTTAGCAACATAAATGCTGAATACAGATTTGCTTTTTTTCCCTTCTAATGCGACAAATGAATTCAAGGGAAATAACTCTATGTAATGAGATGAAAATTTCTCAGGCACTAATTCTAGAATTTGATATAAAATACTGTTATCTATCAAATTATAAAAAGTAACAGATCTTATTTCTATCCTCAAACAGTCTACAAAATCACTAAAGCAGTGTAACTGGCACTCATCACTGTGAACGATTAATGATCAAACAATGACACCTACAGCTGAAAGTTTCCAAATAGTCTTGATGTTGAGTCATAAAGGATGAGTGAAGACAGAGCTATCACAGATGAGCGACGATATCAGAGATGAATGAAGATAAAGATTTCATGGATGAGTGAAGGTAGATCTAGAGCTATCGTGGATGAGTGAAAATACAGCTATCATGGATGAGTGAGTATCCAGAAATCATGGATGAGTGAAGATACAGCCATTACAGCTGAGTGACGATATCTGGGATGAATGAAGGAAAAGCTTTCATGGATGAGTGAGAATACTTCAATCGTAATGAGTAATGATACAGCTATTACAGATGAGTGAAGATACACTGATACAGCTTTCATGGATGAGTGAGAATTCTGTAATCGTGATTGAGTGAAGTTACAGCTATTACAGATGAGTGAAGATACACTGATACAGCTTTCATGGATGAGTGAGAATTCTGTAATCGTGATTGAGTGAAGTTACAGCTATTACAGATGAGTGAAGATACACTGATACAGCTTTCATGGATGAGTGAGACTACTTCAATTGTGGATGAGTGATGCTACAGCTATCACACATGATTGAATATACAGCTTTCATGGATGAGTGAGAATTCTGTAATCATGGATGAGTGCAGATACAGATCAAAATAAAAACCTGCAGTTTTGTAGCTGCAGCTTTTTATAATATAATTTACAGAATTGAGTGGCTAGACAACAGGTTATCATGGAAAATAAATTTATGGTATTCATTATAGGCATATCAACACAAATCTTTAGAAACAATGAAATACAGAAAATTAACATTGTTATATAACAAGAATTTCATATCTCTACACAAATATATACGGATATCTACTCTCAAATTGATCTAAAAATAGGGTACGGAATATCAAATATAAGAGAAAAATAGGGTACAGATTCTTAACAATCAACAGATATCTTAAGTGAGTTACTCATAAGTGTATATAAAGTATAGTGATATTGAGTTATTACTATAGACACGTAACTCAAGTTACTCAATGACTCACATACGACATTACAGAAGTTTGACATTGTTTTTATAAATCTAAAATGCCTATTTTTTTAATAACATCATGGTTCACAATCATATGACATCTAATCCACCACCGGCTACACCAGAAAGCTATTACACAAAGAGTGTGACCCCTAACCCCACCTTTAGTTAGTCTTTCACAACAGGTATATTTTTAGCCCAGAATTGACAATTATTTTCATCTGGTCAACTGCCAATTGTAAAGCTCCGACTATTTTAAAGAGTAGATGCCAAGACAATGTCAAATTTCTGTGTTCAAATACGATTGTACACCCAAAGTTAGTTAGGTCTCAGAAATACACCCAAAGCTTGTTATGTCTCCGATGTATACCCAAAGCTTATCTATGTTAGACCAGTTTCCTGACACTAGAATGCTTACATGTCTCTAACATTGTGAACATCCTACAAACCTCATACTGAATCTTGACGTCCACGTAATGGTAGTAGAGACATAAATCACTTTAATGATTACTACGAGCGTCAGCAGTGAAACCTGTAGGAAACCTTTTAGACTGAGAGTGTACTGAAGCAGATGGAAAAGTATACTTATATACAAACAACACCCTCTCTCATTCATTAAAAAGAGACTTAGTGAGGTGTCACACTGCACCATCTGTGATATATAGATTGTATAAAAATATTGTATTGTTGCCTATTTTGATGCACTTCAACATTTTGGCCTGTAAATATATAAATATTGTAAAGATTATCAAACAAGCCATTTACATATTCATAACATATTCTTATGGTGACAACTATATCAAATTTAATCAGATGTATAGAGTACATCATCAGCTGTAAATTCTGACCAGATCCGACAGCAGACTTTTTAACCTGACTGGAAGTGAGATCAAGTCATGCCTGACAGGGATTCTTAATCCCTATAGGATACCAGTCAAGACCAAGTCTGCTTGACAGAAAATCCCAATCCTGATTGAACAGGAGTCAGGCCAATGCTTGACAGAAAATCCCAACCCTGACAGGACAACCTAACCACGCTAAAGAGGAGTTCTCTCTAGCCAAATGGAATATTACGGCTAGTATATTCTAGGGTTACATTCTCCCCTACAGGAAGACATGTCCTTGAGTTTCCAGGGTTCCAGCGATGCATTTGAGATATAACTAAGTAGTATTCCCTAGTCCCTACATGGGTGACAATGTAACAGAGGTCATTAACTATTTCAATGCCTCTGCTAGGAATAGAACCCAAGATCCCTGACTCTCAACCGAAGTTCTCTCTAGCTGAGCAGCATATTGTCACTAGTATTCGCCCGAGTTAAATACAATAACAATGTACAGCATTTTCATTACGATCTTACAGTGTTGGGTCTGATCACCATCATGGTACCCTGGATCAGTTTATAAACATTACTGCCATGTGTGATTACAACAAGAGATAATATACATCTATACTAACAACCTGACAAAAAATTGGAAACAACTAACAGAAACCATCGAGTCACAAGTAGCCGAGGCTGGTGTCACACTGTGACATTCAACAAATATAATCTTATTGTGATTATCAACAGTGAACTTACACATAAGCATTTGTTGCCACATTATTCAAAACTTCATCACATTCTAGACAATATGTGATATGTTTACAATATCGAACTTTGAGGAGTAACACCTAAACACTAAGTCATGAAATAGAACAGTAAAACAGATTCTCGATGAGTGCTACGATAGAAATTAACCCAGATCTCCGGCATAATTCACAGTTCTACTAACTGAGCAAAAGAAGTATACTGAATAATGGAGACTGTATTGAACAGAATGTACAAACCATACTTCTGTACTCAAATTAGGTTGTTATGACTGCACGCAATAAGGGCAGATTTTGATTGTAATCTGACATGGGTGGGCTTATCAATAGACTCACTGATAGATACACATGATGTGCACCATCGTGATCAAGACAAAATTACATTGGTAGAACATTGTACAAAGTTATACTTTCAGAAAGGGGCAGCTGTTGTTACTGCTAGAAACAAGACTGATGGAAGGAAAGCAGGAAGTTATGGCTTCAATTAACACCTGGGAGCTATAGTTGTGCTATGTCCTACTAGGAAATCTGCTACACTGAACTTGGGTACACTACATAGTACGTACAACACATATATTGTACAGAGAATTGCTTCACAAAATGTCTACATTACCCTCCATGCATTGGTATATGTGCTAGGGGAAGTCTTAAAACCCCACTGTATCACTATTATATAAAGTGCAGATTTTGAAAAATAATTTTAAGTCTTTCTGAACTTCTTTATTTGACCGGGTATCACGGGAAAAAAAATGACCAGAAAAATACAATGTATATATATCGTAGTAAAAGAAGGGACTTGTGTATAATTTCTATAAAAAGTATTTTCTGATTTCAATCAATATACACAGGAAATTTTAACATAAGATTAAGGCATCTAGGGTACTCATGTAGTATGCTGAATGTCAGGTTGAACACTATAAGGATATACCCGCAACACGACTTCAAATTATCTTATAAACATCCTTCTAACATCCAATCTACAGTTATAATAACACTACATTACCGACAATGTTATGTACTATCATGATAATTATAACAAAGCCTGGACAGGAAATTTGTCACAAGAGTAACACAGCATACAAAAATAAATCTTATACATGTAGTAAAATACACCTTAAATCTACGGCTAATGCTTCAGTCAGTAATGTGGAAAATTTGGACCAACAACTATCCCATAACTGAAGAGTTGGTGATCGAAAAATGTTTTTTTAGTATTATGGGTATACATACCATCATAAATACAACAGCCATTTAAATGATGTTAAAAAGATGACTATAGAGGTGACCCAGCCATTATCATGTAAAATTATTGCCAGTATACAGGGTACTGTTCTTCATCAGAGAAATCAGATGCTAGCCACGTAGTTAAGAGGAAAGATTATTATATATAAATTATTAGGAGTTCTATAATATTACAATTTGACACATATTCAGTTAAAATAAAGGACAATAGTGAACATATGAATTATTTGTCCTTGACCTGGAAAAATGTAACTTTGGTAGAAGCTTATATCCATTGTATTTATATCACAATGTCAACCTAAGTCTACAAATGCATTGAAGTCATGACAACAGAAAAGACAACCAACATGACACTAAGAATCAGCTAAAAACATTCCCGGTGAATGCTTCTATCTATTTAACATCAGCTGGTGCAGACCAATTTTCCGGGTATCCTGATCCCTGTGATGAAGGATCATGATTAGGACTTTGTTTCCGTCGGAAATGTAACAGCTTGGGTACAGCTTGAACTTTTCTCCGCAGTTCGATTTTTCGGAAGGAACTTGATAAACTTCGTAGAGAAAACCTCCTCTTCTTCCTACGCTTTTTCAATCGTCCAGCATATGGATCATCTTTTGTTGGCTTAAAACGGCCAAACATCCAAACAGTAATACCAAACACAACAAACGCCAACAAGGCTGGAATAAACGCCAAGCCTTTCAATGCTAGACTGAAGTCGTAGTATCGAGTGCTGACAACCATATCGCCCTGTAGGTAGGAGGCATTGGTCAGTGGATTTATTGTCTTGTTTCTGTAGGACCAGGTTAATAAGCTCTCATTAAAAGTGTTGAGGCTAAAGTCGTCTAGCACTGTGTGGATCTGCCCCTCAGAATCTACATACTGTCCGTAGTCATAGGGCTTATAGAAAATCTGATTCTTCCACATGTTTAGGTCAAGCAGCATAACGATAAACAAAATCCCATAATTAAACCATTTACCTGTAAAAGCCGAAAAAAAGAAATGATTAGAAGACAACCATTACTTTACCATATAGATACTCTGTTATACCAATATTTACACTAGCCTTTATCTTTTTTTAAACATGTTATTTACAATTTATCATTTTGGGCATCTTCAGTCATTCAGCTAGTTGAAATCATGTTCCAGATCACAACTTACCAGTAATATGGACCTGCCACACCTCTTTCTTAAGACACTTGGGGATGTCAAATTTGATGTGTGCAGTGTTAACACCGGGCATTTTGATGTCAATAGCACTCATAAAATGGGGAAAATCCCAATCCTGTAAAAAATCAGAATTTGTAAGTTGTAAATTCACATCATAAAATGGGGAAAGTCCCAATCCTGGAAAAAATCAGAATTTGTAAGTTTTGAATTCACATCATAAAATGGGGAAAGTCCCAATCCTGGAAAAAATCAGAATTTGTTAGTTGTGAATTCAAATGGGGAAAGTCCTTGTCCTGGTAAAATAGAATTAGTATATTGTGAGTTTACAACACGTCATGTAACTGAGGGAAATCCCAGTCCTGTTTAAAATAGAACTGTTACATTATGATATTGCATCATAAAAGAGGGCATTCAGCTTTGTGCTATATTAAGAAATGTTTACTTAATATGATATTTATGACAGGTACAATCAACATAATTGCTTTTGATTCTGTCAAGGTCAGGGGATGGGCTTATTACAGGACAAATGACATTAACAGTGATGGAGTATGTTTATTATATGAAAATAATCCAGGAGGCCGACATATTTTTCAGACTTCCAAGGTCATGGGGTGTTCTTATTACAAAGAAGAGAAACTTATTTGTAGTTTTATAGAAAAGTAATGGATACAGGTAGGCTTAGTTCTAGGTAAGGGCTTATTGTTGGATAGCTAGGGTAGAATATGTGACACACATTACCTGACAAACAATCAAGATGTCCATAACAAGGATGAAGGAGGCCAGAAAGGCCCTGGACAGTTCATTAGTAGGCAGGAATCCACGGTTCAGTTTCTCCCACTGTATATAGTCAGTTGCTATCACAAAAATCACAATGAAGGATGTTACCAAGGTAACAACCCAGAACAAGATGATACGATTGTAGCGGTGATTCCACCAAGTGCGGACAGGTTTGGCCCAGCCTGGGTATAGCTTCTCTTGTAACATCATATCTGTAACCTGAACACAAAACAAAGAATAAGAATAGTGTAGCCACGTTACCTTTTTGTTCATGTGAGATTAGTTTTCATCCACTGAAACGCTGAGATAAGCAAACCTTATACACTGATTTTGAGAGGTAAGATAGGTGAACCTTACACAATGAGAGGTGAGATAGGTAAACCTTACACACTGAGAGGTGAGATAGATGAGACTTACACACTGAGAGGTGAGATAGGTAAACCTTACACACTGAGAGGTGAGATAGGTAAACCTTACACACTGAGAGGTGAGATAGGTAAACCTTACACACTGAGAGGTGAGATAGGTAAACCTTACACACTGAGAGGTGAGATAGGTAAACCTTACACACTGAGAGGTGAGATAGGTAAACCTTACACACTGAGAGGTGAGATAGGTGAACCTTACACACTGAGAGGTGAGATAGGTGAACCTTACACACTGAGAGGTGAGATAGGTAAACCTTACACACTGAGAGGTGAGATAGGTAAACCTTACACACTGAGAGGTGAGATAGGTGAACCTTACACACTGAGAGGTGAGATAGGTAAACCTTACACACTGAGAGGTGAGCTAGATAAACCTTACACACTGAGAGGTGAGATAGGTAAACCTTACACACTGAGAGGTGAGATAGGTAAACCTTACACACTGAGAGGTGAGATAGGTAAACCTTACACACTGAGAGGTGAGATAGGTGAACCTTACACACTGAGAGGTGAGAGGTGAGATAGGTAAACCTTACACACTGAGAGGTGAGATAGGTGAACCTTACACACTGAGAGGTGAGATATAGGGGAACTTAAACCTTGAGGATGCACAAACACATTGATAAATGGTCAAATCCCATCTCATCTTGGATTCTTTTATACCTACCATCCAGGCAGTGAAAAAGTCTCCACACCATGTACCACATGCCGCTGCCTTCATGAAGATAGAGTTTGACAGTCCCAGGTCACCGGAGATGCGGTAGGGTTCTGTACTGTCTCCTCCAGCTATCAGAAAACCATTGTAAATCCAGGACATTACAAAAATGGACAGAAGACTACAGAGAAACATAACCATCCATGATCCTTGATCCTCGCTGAACATCTTCAGACGTAGTATTTTGTCTACAGAGGAAAGTTGTCTTTAGAATTTAGTTTACAATACAACAAAAGAACATAGTTATAAGTATATTGAGTTAAGAAGGGTGCACTACAGAACCAAACTGATATACACACTCTCTCAGCTGCCATCGGAACTTTGATGGTAAAGAGGTCACTAAAAATGATTAAACCAGACATTTACACTGTAAAGGAAACTGTTGTATACATACATGTATATATAATGTTGTTCAGATTATCCTATCAATGATTGGTTGTCTGACCTCTGAATATGACCAATCAATTTTGATGTAATGTTGTTCAGATTATTCTATCAATGATTGGTTGTCTGACCTCTGAATATGACCAATCAATTTTGATGTAATGTTGTTCAGATTATCCTATCAATGATTGGCTGTCTGACCTCTGAATACAACCAATTAATTTTGATGTAATGTTGTTCAGATTATCCTATCAATGATTGGCTGTCTGACCTCTGAATATGACCAATCAATTTTGATGTAATGTTGTTCAGATTATCCTATCAATGATTGGCTGTCTGACCTCTGAATACAACCAATTAATTTTGATGTAATGTTGTTCAGATTATCCTATCAATGATTGGCTGTCTGACCTCTGAATACAACCAATTAATTTTGATGTAATGTTGTTCAAATTATTCTATCAATGATTGGCTGTCTGATCTCTGAATATGACCAATCAATTTTGATGTAATGTTGTTCAGATTATTCTATCAATGATTGGCTGTCTGATCTCTGAATATGACCAATCAATTTTGATGTAATGTTGTTCAGATTATTCTATCAATGATTGGTTGTCTGATCTCTGAATATGACCAATTAATTTTGATGTAATGTTGTTCAGATTATTCTATCAATGATTGGCTGTCTGACCTCTGAATACAACCAATTAATTTTGATATAATGTTGTTCAGATTATCCTATCAATGATTGGCTGTCTGACCTCTGAATACAACCAATTAATTTTGATGTAATGTTGTTCAAATTATTCTATCAATGATTGGCTGTCTGATCTCTGAATATGACCAATCAATTTTGATGTAATGTTGTTCAGATTATTCTATCAATGATTGGCTGTCTGACCTCTGAATATGACCAATCAATTTTGATGTAATGTTGTTCAGATTACTCTATCAATGATTGGCTGTCTGATCTCTGAATACGACAAATCGATCATGACATGAAAATAAGATTAAAACTTTCATGGGTTATTGAGATTATGTAGAACACATCTGAAAAGAAAGTGATTTGACGAGCAATTTTTCGATCAAACTGTTACCGTTAACTTCATTGAAATAATTTTACTGAATACGGCTGATCTTGAGAAATATCCATCACAATTTACCGATAAATAATACATATTTCTTTTAGTTCCTGATCATTTTTTACAGTAATAAATTACTAAATAAAAAATCATTGGAACAGGAGGTGATGATGGTAGATCAAGAATTCAGAGAGATTTCCAAGTTGTCTCAAAATATAATACAGTTCATACATTTTAAAATCAATGAAATCCAATATTTCCACAATTTGATATAATATTGACAAAATCAAAGGGGTTTTATTTGATGACAAGGTGGATAAGAATATGGTGTACGTATGTATATGTGGAACAGAGCACTGATATACACATGTATATGTGGAACAGTGCACTGATGTACACATGTATATGTGGAACAGAACCCTGGTATACACATGTATATGTGGAACAGAACCCTGGTGTACACATGTATATGTGGAACAGAACCCTGGTGTACACATGTATATGTGGAACAGAACCCTGGTGTACACATGTATATGTGGAACAGAACCCTGGTGTACACATGTATATGTGGAACAGAACCCTGGTGTACACATGTATATGTGGAACAGAACCCTGGTGTACACATGTATATGATCATTAAAGGCTTACATTCTGATAAGGTGAATCTTTCAGAAAATGCTAATGAATACTTAACTTAAAAACAAGGTGCCTGATTTAGAGAGCTTACCATTTTTGATGTTGTCAACTGACATCGACAAAGGAAACAAAAAATAATTTCATCATTTAGCGCAACTACAGGTTATCTTAAATTACATCCCTGTTGATTCCATTTAATTTTTAAAGAAGAAAAATATTTTTAAAAAGTTGACATATGAATGAAACAAACTATAGTGATATGAAAAATTAAAGTAATTTCTGGAAATGTTGAAATGGTTGTAAGCGACAAGATAAACTTAATGGAGATGTCAGTCCTGGCACTGACAGCATTATTTTATTGATGTTTGTCTTTAACATCAGGAGGTTCACCATTAAGAATCTACATACATGTAATTATAGAAATTTGGGCTGTTTATAAATCAAAGACTAAAGCACGAGAAAATAATGAGAAAAATGTTTGCAAACATGCATGCCTTCCATCTAATCCTGTTTATGTGACACTGTAGCTAGAAATACAGACTAACCAAAATCAATCAAGTGGAAAAAATAGGTCAAGGTGACCTATATGACAAATTGGTACATTTATGATAACTGTTATTAAGTAGTCTCAAAACAGAAGCTTTGGTGATTGTTTGGCTATTTAATTAAGTCTAATATTATTGGAGTTACACATGAATGGAGTACGACCATTAGACAAATTGGACAAAACACCAAACAACCCCTCGATATGATTGCTGATGTTATAAAAAAAACTTTTGAAACATGGGTTTTTCATTAGCAGCAATGTGATCCATACCAAAGAACACACCTTTTACACTGTACTATTGTGGTCTCTATATGACTACAATCATGACACCATAAATGACATATGATAGATATAATTTACAGCCCTCTATGCTATTTTTTATGTTATGATATATACACGCATATAGGAGTGAAATTCTGAAGTACATGTTATGAATTATCGTTAACTGAAAATACCTCAAACCAAACATGACTAGTTCTTATCACATACAAAGTCTCATAAAACACACAATTACCTGATGTTAACTAAAGGGCAATATGGGCCAATAACTGCAGGTGAGGTTGTAAAATATTGTAAAACTTTGTAAATCAAGCAGTTTTAGAGACAACTTGTTTTCTATAAATCAATGTTGGATGAACAATCCAAGCCAACTGGCGACAAATTAATGGTATGACATCATGACAAAATCTCACTTTAGTTCCTGTTGGAGAAGCTTATGAGGTGACTTAAACATGACATAAACATGACATGGGTGTATTCACCATGTAATATGATCAATATGTGATCAGAATAAATACATAGAACTGGTGACAGGGCAAAACGGTGCAATACACTAGTAAATGGTGAAAAAAACGGTGAACGAAATACCACAGTTCACGTTACCACACGTGGTATATATAAACAATCTGAATAAATATTATTAACAATAAATGTTTGAAAATGATTTGAGCAGTAAAAAATGTGAATGTATATATAACAATGCAATGTGATAATTGATAAGCAATATGATCCAGGGCAAAATATGTCTCATATATAGCATGGCATTCTTAATAAAGGGAAATAATCCACTAGGCATTCCAAGCCTGGATACTTATAAGGTTAATGTCTTATATATGTTGAGTGTTTGTGTCCAGGACCAAGCTCAGATGGGAGATTACAATGATATCAAATGATTCGAAGACATAAGTGTGATAACATTTTGTTAAGTGTAGATCCCGAGTCTATCAATTTTCAGTGTGACTTCCTGGATGTAGACGTTCTGTTGACTTATTGTAGCTGTTATATCACATTTATCATGAAAAAATGATGTAATACCATAAATGAAAAATATACAGAACAGTCATCTTAACTTTGTTATTTACCAACACTCAACATATATACTCCATTCCAAGCTGCTTTTTAAGTCGTTACCTGTCACCCTAAGCTTACTGGAATAGTAAATTTGTAAAATCTATATAAAGTAAAATCACCAATCAGACCTGACACAAATTATTTTACCATATATATATATATATATCTTATATCAAATATATCGGACATATCATCAAAATCGCAATATAAACCTAGACACAATGATATTAATATCATTGTTGGTTTAGAAACTATGAAGTACAATATTACATGCGGAAGACTATTAAAGTATGAACAGTTGTTACAAAATCCAATTCTGATATGATTTGCAACACAGCTGAAATGTTACAAGCATTAGTATTAATGTACTAGTATAAAGTGCATGATACATGGACAGATTTCATCCCCTGCAGTCATCAGAACTTCAATTACATCACGGAATCATTAATCTGTCAGCTGAATGATAAACATATACATATCTATACATATGCAATTATATTAGACTCTAATCAACATATACCTGGATATTTTAATTAGATACGACCATATTTGGTAAATTTTCAATATATCACAGAGAAACAATAAGAGGCAGTTAGTACATTGCTCCATGTTAGTGATGCTGATTAAGATATGGTGGTGTTTCACTGTATTGATCTACCAGGTAAACATGATCAGGTTTATATAAATAACTGGACTAAGCAAAACAATATTCATGTTATATTCATAAATTATTTATCTAGAAATTCGGAGAAATAAAAAAAATACTTTCATTTTTCATCTTACTATTTGACAGGTATATCTACGGTTTAATATGTAGTATATGGTTAGTATAATGTAAAATTTCTCATTAGTAACAATTTTAAAGTTACAATTTCTATCAAATACAGAGAAGTCACTATATAAGCTTGTCTAACTAATCCACACTTCATATGTTTGAAAGGCAGCGAGTACTTAGACATTCACTAATTGTGAGATTTTACATGTAAATATGGCTGAAACAGTTCGAGAATGTTACTGTAAGAATACTTATGACTGTAAACACTATGTATACTTACTGAAGAGCAGCATGTGTATGAGAATCTTTCCGAGGATACAGCCGACGACAATGGCTCCAAGCCACATCACTACCTTCAACAAACTGAATGCATTGGGCGGATAGCGTGTACACACGAAAGCGAAGTCATTCCCAATCAGTGGAATATTACATTCTTTCATACTGTGTGCAACAGGATCTTCAGCATATATGAGAAAATTACAGAATGTTACAAAGTAAGCTATAAATATTCTCAAATAGGGGTGTTGGAAATAATATCGCAAGTCTTTCTCCATGAATAGTGACAATACACTTATAGCGTCTGTGACATCTTTTCCATCAGGTTTGTCTGTCTTATCCTTGTCTTTGATATCCATGGTAACAATGTGATCATCCTCGATCGGTGTGATCACATCATCGTCATTTCCTCCTTTAGCATTGTTGTTGTCCTTTCTATTTCCATCATCATTCACCTTTTCTTCAGCTTTCACTGCTTTGTTGACATTTTCAATCTTTTCGTTCTCAGTTTGTTCCAGTTTATTCTTTTCCTGCTCATTGTTATCTCCCCTGTTTGAAGGACTCTTTACCAGTTCTTCTGGTTTGTTCTCCTCGTCTTCGTCCATGTCGAGGAGATGTTTGGTATCCTCACCCTTGTTTTCGCTCTGGACTTTAATAAGGATTGGACTTGGGGATTTGCGATGCTGTTCTGGGGAATCTACATCATGATTTTCAGAACTTCTGTTGAGATCCTCCTTTCCCTAAAAAAGACAAATATTAAATTGCTGAATAAAATGGACATTAAAAATTTACCAGAATATGTATATAATTATGAGTGACAAGTACAACAATCTAAACATGTATAAACAGCCTAATCTACACAAACAGTCTAGTTTATCAACTGCTTCACTAAAATGTATGTTGTACAGCTCAAGATAATTTTGTATATCTTCAAAATTTTTTTTTTTGTCATGTTTTATTGAGATAAAACAGTATAATCCTGACCTTGTTAAAGATCAGCTAAAGTTTATTCATACAAACCTGTTCAGTACACTGTACTACAGTTCTGATCTACATCTTTATACAAACCTGTTCAGTACACTGTACAACAGTTCTGATCTACATCTTCATACAAACCTGTTCAGTACACTGTACTACAGTTCTGATCTACATCTTTATACAAACCTGTTCAGTACACTGTACAACAGTTCTGATCTACCGGTACATCTTCATACAAACCTGTTCAGTACACTGTACAACAGTTCTGATCTACATCTTCATACAAACCTGTTCAGTACACTGTACTACAGTTCTGATCTACATCTTTATACAAACCTGTTCAGTACACTGTACAACAGTTCTGATCTACATCTTCATACAAACCTGTTCAGTACACTGTACTACAGTTCTGATCTACATCTTTATACAAACCTGTTCAGTACACTGTACAACAGTTCTGATCTACATCTTCATACAAACCTGTTCAGTACACTGTACCACAGTTCTGATCTACATCTTCATACAAACCTGTTCAGTACACTGTACCACAGTTCTGATCTACATCTTCATACAAACCTGTTCAGTACACTGTACCACAGTTCTGATCTACATCTTCATACAAACCTGTTCAGTACACTGTACCACAGTTCTGATCTACATCTTTATACAAACCTGTTCAGTACACTATACTACAGTTCTGATCTACATCTTCATACAGACCTGTTCAGTACACTACTACAGTTCTGATAAAATCAATACTTTAATTTGATTGTTTAAGTAATTATAACAAGCAATCTTCCATGGATTCCAGCAGGACATCATTTCTTAGGAGATTTATAAAGATGATAAGACATTGTTGAACTAAAGGTTTTAAAGCATGCAGGACATGATGTGTTTTATAAATAGTGGTGACTTCTGGAAGACAAGTTAACAGTTATGTGCAACAGAGCTGTCGTCTCACTGGAGCAGTCCAAACAGTTGGGGCAAGATGGTTTAGAGCAGGATTATAACACTTGGGAGGTTGGAGCTAGGAGTGTGCAGGGCTATGGTGGATTGATAAAGGGAAAGTGAGGATAATCTGAGTGGAGCTCGGAAGAATTAGGGTCACAAGAGGAATACAGTTGGAGAGGGTGAAACAAGGAGGGCTAGAGACCGCCAGTGAGGATGTGGAGGGTGGTGTGTGAAAGAATCAGGGCCACAAGTAGGATACAGTTGGAGAGGGTGAAACAAGGAGGGTTAGAGACCGACAGTGAGGATGTGGAGGGTGGTGTGTGAAGAATCAGGGCCACAAGAAGGATACAGTTGAAGAGGGTGAAACAAGGAGGGTTAGAGACAGGCAGCGAGGAAAGGAGGGTTATGAAAACATGTAGAACAGTGTTGTCTGATATGATGGGGCTAGTGTTGGGGTTTGATAAGATGGGTTTATTTCTGGGTGAAGGTAGCTATTTACTGATAAGGGTAAGATCTCAGGCTGGGTTCAAACAGCATTGTGATCAGGTATAATTTATCACAAGAGATGTATGTGTGAAGCCCAGCAGTGTCAAAACTATTCAGTAAAGTAGGGTGGGGTCCAGGAGCTGGTAAACTAAGCTGTAAACAGGAAGATATACTTCAGAGAGCAAAGCACAACAAGAATACAGCCAGGCTAAAGCAGCTGGCTGCAAAGGTGGATAGGAACATTGTCTATATAGAGATTATCTGTATCATTCATAAGTTACATATGTCAACAGTACATCAAACATGGCCCGTGAATCATCACAACACAGTTGTATATACACAGTATATGATACCTGACAGGAGTCTGTAAGAAGGGGTTCCATAGTTGATGAAAGACAACATGAAGATTAATACCCTCCAATATCAGTGAATAAATTGTTAAATTTCACAGGTTTCTCAGCAATTGGTGATACCAAACTCTAATTCTCACAAAAATGCTGTCAGTCAGCTCTTTACACATAAATTGCATTTGACAGAATTTTCCTTTTCCTTGTCACGCTTCCGTGATCAGACGACCTACATACCTGTGTGATGTTCCATATAATACTATAATCCAGTATACATACACATGAGTATTAGATTGTATGATAGACACTTTCATTGATAAATCAAATGATACACAATTTTACATCTAGCTTTACAACACTTTACAATACTTTGAAATAATCAGTATAATTCTGAAACAAACCCCTCTGTTCTACATTCCACACTCCTCCACACTCTAATGTCAACAGGTCGAAGGAACTAGTTACAATACACGTAACATTATATATCACTTCTGTTCCAACACTATATTTTAATAAAAGTCATATATGAAGTAATGTATAAATACAGAGGGTAACCAAAAGTCTTTGCCTGCCATTGTCATTAGTTTTGATTTATCACTTATATCTTATTTATGAATGTCTCCTCTACATTAAATGTTAAACGACACTAAACACATACCCTAGTCACCTTCTGATTTGGACTCTACGTCGATAGTTTACATGGCCGTAAAATGCTATACTGTATATGTACTGTGATTACTATATATACGTCTCTTTCCAGATTATTAATCTGTTAATATCGCCGTATGTAACCTCACGCCCAAAACATAAGTCTAATTTAATTTTGATACAATAGCTTTGACTTCCCTGACCCGACACGCCCCCAATTTAAATGTTTACAGGTGTACCCGATTTGGCATATGTAGCTTTTACAGAGGAAAACAATGACTTTATTTCGGTATGTTTGGTGTTTAACAACTAGACAAATTAATTATGCACTATCAGACTATTTATAACCACCTGTGATTTCTCGTTGTCCTTTTGCCTTTCGAAGAAATTGATTTCCTCCTTCTTGCTTTTGATCGACATGATGTTCTATCTCCATTCCACTTTAGCTAACCAGTAACCAGGCCCATGTGAGTCACGCGAGCGTAACGGCCCGTGGGCGGCTCTACCTACCTACATGGAGATTGTCAACGAGTCACCAATTTCATAAAAATATCTGTATCCCCAACCATTCCAACGTTATCCCTATCGTGTAAACTGAGAGCGATAACCAGTCAGGTTTATTAGGCGTGGCATAGTTTCGTAGTTTTTCGACACCATGAAAAAAAAGTTGTATCTCACACCATTTAGAGACAAAACATTGCTTCTGCAGTTTGTATGAGCCATATCAGTATAATAATTGTGAATAATTATCATCAAGTTAACAAATTATTTATTTGCCTTCTTTTTGTATACGAGTTACCTCCCTTAGTACGTTTTAATCTCTACTTCTCCCTCTCTCATACACACAAGGAGCCAACGCCTGCTATCGAGCTCCTGACACAATATATAACACAAAAAACTGAATCAAATGAATATAATAATCTATTTATGGATAATTTAAACATATTCCATAACCTTCTTCCTCTGGAAACAATAAATAAATTACGCGAACTAGAATTCATGAAATAAATATGTACCTACTCCCAATTTATAGTTTGAATTGCAACCAAGAAAGCTGCCACCAGGAGACCAAGGCTACTGAACGTGTCCCCAATATCAGTCACTCGGGCTACCAATACAGCGATGAGACTAGCCACGCCCACAGGCGTCGACCTGTAGGGTACAAGTAATCACCCTTCATCTGTTGTCACGTGATCCTAAACGGAAACAATTGTCAAATGGTATTAATAATCGAGATGTTAAAAAAGAATGCCACTTGTCCATATAACAAGGTGAATCATTAGGCTGAAGCTATGTTGTTATCGCTTTTGTCTGACACTGAAATAACATCTTTTCCTTAAAGGAAACAAGGAAAATGCCGACATGTTTACGTATTAAACACAAAATCGATGAAAATATGCCAAAATATGAACGAACATGTCAAAGAATCTTCAAACTCAAATTCGATGAAACTAGAAAAACACTCAAATAAAAGAAAGAGTTGTATGAATACTCTTGCCAAAGTGAAATAAGAATTAGACCAGGCGTCTCAGGAAGTAAGCGTCTTCAGTATCAATTACGACACCCGCCATGTAAGTCTTGGTCCAAACAGTATTACGTTCTCAAAGTAGATTAGAGTAAATAACAGCACCACCAAACAAATTAACAAGAATCATGTCGTTCAAAGAAATAGAATATTTCTCAATGAAGTCATGATGACGACAGTGAAACTGTTACAAAAATGGACTAAATCATAATACGTTCTGCTTTAGGTATTGTCAAGATTTATAACACAAAAAGGATATAAACCAACACATTTCATTGTGGAGACATTGTCCATTATATGTGTATTTCGTTGTCATTAGTTTTAATCTGTCATAAATCAGATACCTAGTACAGCATTTGATATCCAGAGTTTTATATTACACGAATCTTCCTGATCTGGCGATAAAGTAACACATGTTAAGTAGAAATATAAAACCAAATGACAGCGAACTGATCCGGCCGTGTCAGCATGGATCTGTAGTGGCGGTACCAACAAAAGTACGAAATCTGGATATCAGAAAAAAAGTTTGGAGGAATTTGAAGATTAGACTATGTCAATGAGTCTGATAAAACTTACTTGAATCAATTATCACTCCGTACCACGTTTAAAGTTTAGATTCGACTTCATTGGTCAAGTTTGCCTAAACGCAGTTCATAAATGTAATGTATTCGTGTTCGTATGTTGCACAATAAACTTCACAATGTTTATAGACAAGATTATGTGATTGGTCCTGACCAAAATACAACTTATAAGATCAGCCATCGTTAAATGATCAGTGAAGTTTTGCGTAAGAAAAAAGAACTTTTTATTTTCAATTCAATATTTTTATTTTATATTTTTGAATTAATCGACGACACCCAAGAATGAAAATAATGGAACATACCTACGAGTATAGAAAAATCAAATTTGTCAAGAGAATATTTTCCACTGAGATGATAAGGGTGGATACGAACACCATACCCGTCCTAAAGTCATCTCTCTCGATGCCCTGCCTCAAAACTATTCTATATTCCAAATAACGTCGTTGTCGGGAAAACTCCACAATGCAAAATTAAGCAATTCCTGTGTTTGCTTATTTGCCTTCCAAACTGTACGGCGTATTCTGTTACTTTGTTTGGTTTCATGCATTCTATATTGATACCTGCAGATACATTTTTATATTTGATGACTATAACGGTATCTCTAATGCCATTTACACCTTTTTTTATTGGTCTTTTTCCACTTAATAAATAGTACTGTCTGTACCAGTGGTCATCCAGTTGAAGAATGTCCTCACTTCATCGTCCTCTTTTCATTAACCAAAGACAACTTCTTTTTACATCTCTTGCTGACCTGAACGACCATATTCCTCTAAACATTTAAACATTTCTAAATGGTTGTCATATGCGAGATGCAGTTATGAATAATTTCATGCTTACGTTGATTCAGAGATTCGTTACCGATACCAGACGTCTTTTTTAAGTAAGTGTCCCATTTATACTTTGTTGTGTCAAGTAATTTGTCTGTGCTGCATTCCATTCAAGGTGACTTTCAGACTAATTTCTTGTAATAATCATTGAGTGGTTTTATTACCACTAAACCTGGTAGTACAATTTACCTAAGTTTTATTTACCTTATCACAAATAATAGTGTATTATTCCAATATCTTTCACCTTTTCATTCATTATCTGACTGATGTGTACAATCGTTTATAATAGCAAGGAGGGAAAGTGCTGTTATAGGCTATGACTGTTGCCTTATTCCTTTCGTCTCAGAATAAAATATTCTGAAATGAAAAATACGACTAAGCTCTCTCTATCCAGTATTCATCAGACTAGAAATTTCTCAAAAAACACGCCTGGCACTTAGCGTCCTCGTGGGCTGGTAATGTGTCTTGTACCAAGAAAACGGGGCACAATGGTCTGGCCCAAGGCTTTTAAGACACTATGAAATATGTGAGACACATACTGTTTGTTTTTGTCAGACCACACAAGACACCAAATTGAGACCATGAAATATTGGTCTTTAGTTTAACCCAGGAAAGAAACAAAGCATGGAATGTAGAAGAACATGATCATCTATTGATGTGTGAGAAGCAAATGCTATGGATTTGCTGCATTTTTTCAAGCGTGTAACCAGTCCATGCTTTGAATTCTTCATTTCTGAGATGGTCTACATCTCTGCCTGTGTCGAGTGGAGTACCAGCAGAAAGGAAATAGGCTTAGTTCAAGAAGGTCATTGATAACCTGATTTCTTGAAGATGAAGAGCTAACGGTTCCCCTGTTTGCAGATCTTGCGGCAAAGAAGGATTCAGAAAGTCACCAATTACATGGTCATTGTAAACATTAGCATCAGGGGGACACCATAGAAAAAGTTAAAATATCAAGTTTGTCCTGGCACACTGGGGTATAGTGCATAGCCCAGTGCCCTCTTTTCCATATATGACACATCTTTTATGTGGTTTGCCACCATAAAATAATTTCTCAACAGAGATTAGTGGTAGTTGGTTGGATGACATGCAATCAGTGTCAGCATCATCTGCACCATTCGCCAGGTCATCTGGAGTGCTCATACCAGAAGGTTCATACAATTCAGACTGCAATGGCCTTTACTTGAGGTACCGCTTGTTGCACTTTCCACATAATAGGATTTCTTCTGTTATGCTAATGATCTCAGCAGTCAGCAGCTGGTGCAGTCAGTTATACTGGGGTAATTATATATGTCGGGCTCCTTGAGATAAATCTTTCAACCTGGTCTTGCAACCACGACCTATGCACACGTCTGACATGATTAGTAGTAAACTTGATGGGAGATTTGCAGTAATTTGAATTTAATACAGAATGTCTGACATAAGTGTAACTTTGTCTATGTAATTGTCTATAGATACTTAGCAAAAATGGTATGAATACTTTATAGTAATATCTTTATATGTTTCAGGAAATTAACATTCTTGCACATTCAGGTGTCAGACAAGGTTATCATTTCTGTCCTCATTTATTAATTATTCATTAGAATATCTGACTAATTTATATGCATTATTGTTATATATAATGATAAACGAAGAAAAGTGGAATGACGATAACATGTGATCATTTCATCATAGTTAAGTTTCTATAATACAAACTAAACGGTCAGTTGTTCTTTAGAGGATATATTTCTAGTGCAGTAAACACCATATTAAGTTATACCTACTGAATTTAATTTTAAAACAAATGCAAAACATTTAATGTGCTTTAGTACTACACAAAACTGGAAAATATAGCAGTATTTGGCACAAAAAAAAACAACGAAAATTAAATCTTCAGTGATTATGGCAAATTATGCAATAAGCATGTTTAAATTGCTAAAATTTTTATGTTACCGATTTTGAAATCACTTAAAATTTACTCAACAGACAGCATGTATACGTAGAAAGTTTTTAAAGAAGTATGAAATATAGACTGAGATTGCAACTATAAACAATTAACTTGACAAACTTTGATAGTCTTTATTTTGTGAAAATTTTGCATTTTTTTCAAATCAAAGTTATCAATATGCTTTCATTTTTATGCCAATATAACACATGTATTATCAAAATAACGGACATATTTTCATTTAAAATTCTTATGTAGCAAGTATTTGTCATTATGTTAGGGTACCTTTGTCACTCAACCTGGTGTTATACAAGGAGGTCCAGTATGACTATAAGTAGTTATAATGACCAATCATGGTGTTATACAAGGTGGTCCAGTATGACTATAAGTAGTCATAATGACTAATCATTATGCGGTTGTAGGTTATTTTCATGTACCTACATATGGCAAAAAAGTAATAGAAATCTATGTGGGGGCCAATTGTTGACCCCACCTTTTGTATTTTTTGTGCCTTTATACAGAATTTTATAAATTCATTCCATTCTCTTTCATCAAACAGTTGGTTCCATAAGTATTTTGTAAATCGTAGATATTAATCCTTGAACTTGAAGAAAATTTGCATGAAGTTGATATTTTTCATAAAGTACTTTAAAGGTATAGAAGGAAAAGTTATTTGTATTTTTTTACCAGATCTGAAAAATTGAGTATTCCTGATTTATACCATGAAAGAAGACTGATTTACCTGCAATAGTAATATTATTTCATGCCAGATATTTTGGGTTAACAGTGATCTTTCCACAAGTTCCCTAATTTCTTTTGAATTATCCAATTTGTACCAAGATTTAAATACATCTTTCCGAAAGTTGTTAGTACAGAAATTGTAATTCGTTGTCTGGAAATCGCTTAAGTCGAAATTCCATTTAAGTCGAAATAATATTCAAGTCTCGATTTTTTCCTTTTATATCTTTGTAATTTAAGTTCGGATGACTCGAATTTCATGGAGTCGAAATTTTTGTTGAGTAAAAGCGTTTTTTCAATCCCTTCAATTGTAAAGCAAGGGAAAAGTCATTCGTTGTCTCGAAATTAATTTTTGTCAAACATCAGCACGTCTTCTGACGAAACGGTCAATACATACAGAGTAGAAAATCACCAGTGCGTAACACATGGCTAATTACGGCATATCGATGGTCCATGTATTTGCAAATTTGTTTAATTCAATGAGAGTTCCATGTAGTGACTTCCCTGATCCATCTAGCGAAAGAATGTATCGTCTGCATATGGTGATATTAGGGTTACAAAATTCTTTGTGTAATTCCTGTAATATGACTATTTTTCCTCCAACGCATAGCTTACATTTCTGGACACATAATTAAGATATAGGAGGCAATTGGGTTACCTTGACGACACGATCTTTTAATTTCGGAAAAAGCTGATAAGTTCCCTCCTTGGTTAATTGTAGGTGAAACAATGTTATGTAATGTATTTAACCATCTAAAATATCATTACCCCCCCCCCCAAAAAAAAAGACAAAAAACAAACAAAAAAACCCAAAAAACAAAAACAAAAACCAAAAAAAAAAAAAAAAAATTAAAAAATAAAAAAAAATAATCAAAACTTTTTTGATATAATTCTAAGATACAGAGTCGAATGCTTCTTCAAAATCTAGTATCCAAATTATACCAGATATATAATTTTCTTCCGTAAATTTCATAATATCGTCTAATAAACGTGTATTCTCCCCTATATACCTTTGAGATAAAAAAAACCCCAGTCTGATCATAACTAATATTTTTATTAAGAACATTTTTTTATCCTGTATGAGTTAAACCTGATGCTATTTTATATGATATATTAAGAAATGATGTTGGAAACCAGTTTTTTTTAGATAATGTCTTTTTTGGAATGCATATAATTACCCGTTGCCCCTGAGTTCCTGAAAGTTTACCTTTTAAAAAGTCAAAATTTGTCAATCTTACTAGAAATTTACCAATTCTATTCCAGTAAATAATGAAAAATTCCACAGTGAATCCATCAGATCCCGGGCTTTTATTATTTTTCATGTTTTTCAAAAACATACCTACTTCTTCTTTTATCTCCAAGAGACTGATTCCGACTCTGTGAGTTTGGGTATGTCATTAAAATTAAGACAAGTTTCAAGTTTAATGTCATTTAAGTTGATATTATCTTGATATAGTTTTTCTTTTGTTCATATATTGCCCAAGATTCACTGAATTTGAGTGTTGATTATGATTATGTTGACGTGTTGGTATATTCGTATTTTTTATGTGTGGAAAAAAACACAAACCAAACCCAGATTGAAAAAAAACATGCTGTTTTCATTCTTTCGCAGTAACGAATTATACCAATCGCTCTTTTTCCTTACCATATTCGAACGATCCTTGTGTATATGTGGTACGATCAACTCCATATATTTGTTATTAAACCGAAGTTGTTATGAAATGAAATTCTACTGATATATATTTCTGTATTTATCACATGTACAAGACGAGTAAAGATACGGAAATTTATTGCTATTTTTTCCATATATGGTGAAGTAATTAAGATAGTAAAGAGATAATGAAGTAGATTCTTTCCGAATAACACAATTTACTGTACTTAAATGTCTACATTTAATTATCATACATTGATACACAGTTGATAATACCTCATCAGATCGAAATGACATAAAAGAAAAATATTTTTAAATCGTCAATTCCAGATGATCAGAGGGTTATATAACGGAGAGTCATAAAGGAACATTGTTTTACAACCAACAATGAAACTTTAACCTTATTTTCAATCACTTATTTTGCCGAAACAGAAAGACTTCCATATACAGTTACTTTATTTAATGTCTCTCTCAAATATAATGATGAAGAGTTTTTCACTTGCACATTTCTACGGAATTTTTAATAAAATAGAATTTGCGTCATCTGTGTCTTCGCCATCTGGATTGTCGTCGTCACCATTTCTGTCAGATACTATTGCGTCATCGGAAGTAACCTTTTCTAATTTTCCTTTACACAGTTTATCTACTGTCATCGTACAAAGGATACTCGCCATGGCATTGCTGCTAGTTCTTAATCTGTCCCTAAAACACATTATTGGATATGTTTAACAAATGAAAAGTAATTATATGAATAATATCGGTTGGAAAAAAAAATCTGAATATCATTTACTTTTTTTTTCCAGACAGGGATATCACCATTTTTGACTACGAAATGGTCTCATCAAGATCGTAAGCTGTAAACAGCTGAGCTATTCAACAGAAGTATAGATTACTTGTAATATTTGAGCTGTAAAATAGGCCTCCTGTTTCGGAATATTTTCTTCAGGTTGATAATGTCAATAGAACAGAAGTTCTGATGACACAGCAAATAGAAGATTCGAGCGTACGTCAGAGCTAGAAGGCTTCACACTGGTCATTTGTGTGTCTGATGAAGGTAGCCATGTAGTTATCGAAACGCCACACTAAAGTCTTCTGCTGGTTGTGTTATAAGACCTCTATTCTACTGACATTACTAACACGAAGAAAATTTTCCGAAACAGGCCTAGTGCTTCTTCAATGAAGCTATTGGACATCTTGATTAAAGATGTTAACACTATATTCTGAGTGAAGCATATGGTCATTTGAAAATGTCATTTTTATAAAGTACACAAAAAGCATCACTCCAGCTTTCAGGATAAGACAGAAAAATTCAATTCTCGATGAAAGACTTTTAAATTCCAGGACGCGTTAGGCGTTTCGGTGAATTTTTCACAAAGATTAGCAAAAATAAAAAGTACCGTTTAATTTTTGCCCGATGTCAGTCGATATAAAAACAAGAGTTATTTGATATTATATGAGTAGGGTATGACACTTAAGCTGTTTTTAATCTTTTAACAAAAAATAATATGCTCGTTATACTTACGTAAACCATTCAATTGTAAAGAGAATACCCATGGCGTCACCATCGACATCTAAGGATGTCAAAATGATGAGGACTACGACCAGGGAAGAGCTGGGAACAGCGGGAACAGCCAAGGAAGACAACGAGCACAGAATCCTTTTTAACATGAAATAATTAATAACAATTAAAGCGGAAAACAAAGTAACACGAACAAACAGACATGATATTGTGGTATAAGGGAACCGTTACGAAAAGAAAGCAGACAAATAAAACAGCTTTTAAATTTGATGTTTCTTTTGTCGTCATCACCAAGTCATTATCACCATAATAAGTATGTAATCATCATGTAATTAACGATATCACCACCATCACCATCACCATCATTCACACACCTTACCTATAATTACACACATGCAAATTTTAAAGTTTTAAAAAGAGAGAGAGAGAGAGAGAGAGAGAGAGAGAGAGAGAGAGAGAGAGAGAGAGAGAGAGAGAAGTGGAAATGCGGTTTAAAAGAGTAAAATAATTTGGTTCGAACTTTTATAGATATTTTAGATATTTCTAAAGGTAAGATTGGCTCACTGTCGGGTTCCGGGGGTGATTTTTTTTAAAAAATAGTAATGACAAGAGGTGGAAAATTGTTACATTTTCACACTAAAAAACAAAGATAGAAATGATTCTTTATTGATAGAGAATGCAATAAACAGAATATCAAGATTTTCAAATTCCTGTAATAACCATTGCACTTATCTACAATACCATAAGCAGTGAACCATTGTTTTCTTCATCTGAATATTTGTGTTTATTCTTCATGGTATTGAAGAAAATTTTTGTTAACTCTGTATTGATCAAGAAATTCTTGTAGACGGATTAAGGTTTACAGGATCTGTAACCACATCATTCATTGTAAATATACTAGTGTTGGCAAAAAGGAATTTATTACCAGAGAGGAGTTTCCAAAATAGAATCATGATTTCTAAAATGCTTCATAAGAGTGATGATTTGTTCAATTTTCCCAGCCACAAAACACACCTTTCCAGAATATTTTTGAACAGTTGGAGCCACATAAATAAATAAAAGCATTGCCAGAGTTTTGCAAATGCGGACCAAGTTCAAGAGATTCCATGAGAGCATGGACATCAACAATTATTAAACCTGTTCAGATAATGTTAAATACTAACATCCCTGTATATATTATGTGGCCTTTCATTCCAAAGAAAACAAGCGTCCTAGATATAAGCAATATTGAATATAAAGGTTAAAGAATAGTTCCAGAAATATTATCTCATTCAGAATAATGCATAACATCATATAATGTACGGATATTTTCGCCTATATATCACTTGAAACATGTTTGTTCACTATCTATTAATTTATTAAAAACATTCCTAGTTCTTTGCGAGATAACCCCAGAAGTTTTTTTGCAAGTGATATTTAGAAGTGAAATAGGTCTCAAATTTTCTATGAATTGACGAGGTTTATCTCCCTTAACTTTCGGACATTAAATCCCTGAAGAAAATTGTTTGAATTACAATCCTCTACCTCCCTAAAATATAAAGTTTCATTAAAAAATGTAATTCATCTAGAATGTCTTGTTTGATAAGTTTTATCGTCTTTCTGAAGCTGAGGGTTATTTTATAACTTAAAATTTAGGTTTTCAAGGCTAAGATAAATAAGATGTGGGTTTTTCCTCCTCTATCCATTTTGTCTTCGCTCGAATGATTCTTTCTTTATTTCTTTGAAACCTACACCCTCTAACTCTTATTTTTGCCTGTAACGCCTCACTGTTCGGATTTGTACTGGTTTTCAGTATTTCTATCTTTCATCTTAAGGTCATTTATATGCAAGATCTCACCGACTGTAATACAAACACACAACACATGGGTCCGAAAGGTTGATGAAGATTATGATGAAGTTTTACGGACGTTAAAGACGTATTTCATTTTCGATAAACCTTGTGGATTAGTTTACCTATTTATCGTTTGGAAACGTGATGTTATATTCTTCGATTGAACATAAAGCAAAAGTCGCCTTCCCTTCCGTGCCTTGTTAATTTTTTCCTGTGTTCTTATTATCCATAGTTTCGTCGGATTTTAGTTTGAATCAGGATAACTATCATTATTTTGGTTAGTTCTGTAATTTTTGTTTTTGTCTTTGTTTGTTTGAGATGAAAAATTAAATAAGTTGATCTTTGGAAAAAGGATATAAGATGACTTAGGATAGAATCTTACCAAATAATGAAAACTTGTAGGGAGTTGAGACTGACACCCTGTACCGAAGCCAAGAAAAGAACGGAAAGTGAGATGAAGTGCGTACTGCCAATTCGACTCTCCGCGGCTCCGAAAGGAACTGTAAACCTTGATACTCTCTTGTCTACGTGGAAATCTTCCTCGGAAAGTCGGATGATCTCAGGAATCCCGATAGCTCTGTTCAATATAAAAATATATATATTGGAAAACTGCAATAGATATTGGCAAATATTCACGATTGTGGAGATGTTTGATTGTGTGAAATATACGTACGAACTAGGTGGGGCGAAAACTGCCATCCAAGCCTTTGCTGCTTTGAGATAGAAATACCAAGGTTTAATCCTGAAGATTATAAACAGTGCGGCGGGAAGCAAGACGAGCTGATGGAAAAGAATCCCAACCAAGAAGGCTGCCACCAGGAGACCAAGGCTACTGAACGTGTCCACAATATCAGTCACTCGGGCTATCGATACAGCGATGAGACTAGCCACGCCCACAGGAGTTGACCTGTATGGATTTCATCACTGTCTATACATGATAAGTCTCTTCATATAACACATCAAACGCAACACATCTTGTACAATGTTAGATATATATACAGCATTGTTGACAATAGTGGAATGCCGGGATGAAAGATCATCACACAAGGTACTCTCCCGGTTTTTGGTCGGTATTCAAGGGGACTAGCCCTGTAAAGTTCGTTATCTTTATCAGAGCTTCATACCCTATTGAGCAGATGTTCTAAACAACGGCGTCTAAAACGTTTTTATCATAAAAAATACGTCTGAATCTCGACGAATTGGGAAGATGGAATGGCCCTGCGAACGGACACTCACTAGTTCCTTCGCCTGTCTATTTGTCATCCATCCCGTACTACAAGGAGCATCCCATATTCCGAAGCGCCGAGAATCAGATGTATTGTCTTTGACGACGACGCTTTTAGATGCCGCTGCTTTAACCGAAAAAAATCGAAGACATATGATTAGCGGTAAGCTACCAACAACTTCCCACACTATTGCAACTGTCTGTTTCAAGAAAAGCAAGAGTAATAGGTGTAAGCAGTGCCCGTCTACTAACAGCACCAGTTGATTCAATGTAAGTACTTGATAACGTGTCATTTGCAGACTAAAACACCACTTAATCTCAGGATTAACAATCACGGGTGTTCAGGTGTTCAATCAAAAAGAAATGTCCGAACCTTCCTGTAGCAAGACATATCTTCAAGCCAATTCATACGCGGCATGACGAATGCAAGTCAATTCGCCCCCAAGACAAGTCGCCCCAATCCTAAATAAGACAAGTCGCTCCCTCGTAAGACAAGTCGCCCCCATATATCAAGACAACTCGCCACCCAAAAATATAATGAGGTGTTATGCGTCACAAACTTTTACATATTGTTATAAATAATATATCTAATACATCAAATGGCTCTACTTGAGAAAACATTTCCTGACCTAGGCGACGACTCTTATAACAACACCTTCTCTCGCCTTCTTGTAACAACACTGATATACGGAAGCCATGTAAGCCCAATTACTGTTTGGACTAACTTTACACAGCTCGTAATCGGCTTGGCTGTCGGCAAGATGAAAGTGACAACAACGCCAGTGGCTGAGTGTGATCTACACCCAAGCTCAAAATCTTACCATAATTAAGTCGTATGGACGTCTACAGGTCATATCACATTCAACCATGGCTGCGCTATGTCTTGTATGTAACTCCGAGCTCTGACAACGACAACTTCATGTATATATGTTTGATGAATATCTGATTAATGATTGATGTGATTTATGTGATATAATGATAAAATAGATGTGCATGTAAATGTGTGTATATATGATGATTGAATATCTTATTGATGACTGATGTTATTTATGTGATATAATGATAATGTGCATGTAAAGGTGTGTGTAAATGTGTATGTATGTGGTATATGTGTACATAATTCTTATAATTGGAATAAATAAAATAGCATCAAACAACAAAATAATTATATTTTTATTCATTATTTTTCTTCTGATGAAGGGGGCGACTTGTCTTGATGTAGGGGGCAACCTGTCTTGACAAGGGGCGACCTGTCTTGAGATAATAGGGGGCGACTTGACTTGATACTGGCATGACATGCAGATGATACCTAATCACTGAACCTTTTTTTTTTTTTTTTAGTATTTAACTGGCGATTTTTATCTTAATTACTTACATTGTTTAACTATTTATACATTCAATATTTTTTACGAAAACATCTTACTGTTAATCAGCAATTCTTTATTCAGAGTGGGACCGAGATGTTCCGGTAAACTTCTTCCGTGTGATTTTATTCTCTGCGATCACCTATACTCTTACTGGTTACCATGCACAACGTGCTGAGACTGATAAGAAACTTTTTTTTTTATATTTTCATCATAACAACCCAATAGGCTTTTTTGTTCCTTATAAAGAACTTTCAGCGTCAATCGGCAGAAGGAATTATCGAGACATCAAAATTTCCACTACAATTCTCGATTTTAGTTTATAACTTTGTATTTGTTTTACGTTCTAAATATTTGATGTAGTTTATGTAATATTTGCGTTTTGATCAAGGAGTAGATTGTCCGTACTGTCTTTATTACTTCATTGATCCAACGAACATTTGTTTGTTATGATCTAATATTGGACCATACCGTCGATATTACTTACTAAATATATATAAATATATACATATATATATATTTCCAGCATTCAAGCTGCTCCAAATATTCTTCAGGTATTATATTTCATATGAAGCCCTTGAAGGAAGCAACAATGTAAGGTACAGTTATAATTAAGCTTTACAGCATTGAAAGGTGCTATTTACATCTGTGTCTGGTAATAGGAAAAATAGGAAGTGAAATTGTCTTCATAATTTGATATGATAATGCTATAAGTCTTTAAACTTTTCTCAATGTACGTGTCTTCTTTTGTTCCAGTATAACCAACTCTTTAAAAGTAATACCGGTAAGTGATATTCTGTTGTATTGATTTTTATGAAGTAACAATTTGCTTTGTTTCCTAATTAAACTCATCAAAATCAAATATCATTTATATGTCAACAGTTCCCCAAAGTATGAAATTTGATTAAGAAGATACACTTATCAACCAGTTTGGATTATAGTTATGTTGATATTAACTTTAATATTATTGGCAATATATTAACAAAAGAAAGAATTACATAGCGACTCATTACAACGCACAATAGTTATTAGACAAGATGTTTCGGAAGAGTAAACGTCTTCTGCTTCATTGACGAACCCGTCATATACACCTTTGACAATCAGTAAGTAATTTCATGTTCCCTAATGAGAACAAGGAGACAGTACAAGCAGTGCAATCAAATTTATGCTGTTAGAATTAGTTAAAAAATCTTATATACTTACCACATAAACCATGTAAGGATTTTGATAAAAATAGTTGAGAAGGCCTCGAATAAGTCGACAACAATCTTTCCTTTTTCGCCCATCTTACTTGCAGCCATACCAATAATAGTTGAGAGAAACAGAATACCTTAAAAGTAAAGATTCATGTAGTATGTAATATTATGTAACAATGGAAAGAATCCACAATAAAATGAAATGAAATAAATGAAAGATTGACTCATGAAAAAGTACAAGGGGAACAAGAACATGTGTTCCGGAAGAGTTAGCGTCTTCTACTTGATCGACGACAGGCGCCATGTAAATCTTGATCAATCCAAGTAAGTAATATCACATTACCTAATGAGAGCAAATTAAACACCAGAATCAACTTATCAGCGTCAAACACACTTAACTTCATATTGCCTAAACAAAGTATATTTTAAGATAATTATGCAGAATGCAATTGTGAATTTCATCAACCTGCATCTTTCGAAAACATGTGCCGTGAACTCGTCAGTTGCCGACATCTTTCGCCAAAATAATGTTTGTCTTCCCTTAATTCTATATTATTATTAGAAGTTAGGGTGTCATTAATATATGATTGGAGGACTTCTCAAATTTTGTGATCTGTTTAGATAAGCTATTTTATAAACTGTGTAAACCTGATTTCATAATTCTGAGAATGATATACTATTTTCAGCCAAATTTAACTCTTTCAATGTAGGATGCACAACCTTTTAATCGGCATGGTATTCTAGGTTACACCGAATTCGACGTTTTTTCTTCTTCTTTTATCACAATCATCGATATGTTACTTAATTATTCTTCCAAACAATCAAGAAACTATTAACACATGAACATAATCATAATCCAAAGTGAAATTCAACAAAATTGTCAAAATATGAACAAAAGATATATAATATGAAAAAATGTACAAGAAAAAAGATTTCTGGAAGAGTAACTGTCTCCATCGCCGTTTAAAACTAAGTAAGTAATGTTATCATCTCTAATGAGATATGAACCAACAAGCAAACTAACGAGCATCACACACATCTAGCTTCATAGTCCCCTCAAAGAGAATATTTCCTATGACGACCATAAAACTGTCCTATAATTTGCATCAACCTGCATCGTTTGAAACCATGTGTTATGAGTTGAACAATAAATTATTAACATGGATGACAAATTGCAAATATGAAATTGAAGAAAATGCCACGGTCTTTGCTATATTTCAAATAAAACACAACCAATGTATTGAGAGGTGACTACTTACCTAGAACATTTGTACCAGGCGCTGTGCCAATGGACCGAGATAGAGTTGTGCTAGTCGAATTAACCTCGGTTGTGGCAATGTATCTGGTCTGTGTCTTTGTAAAGAAGCATACCACCACACATAAATGAAAATGAGATATTATGTTCTGGATCGGATTTGAATTTTTGTTTTTTATTTATATATAATGTACGTATTTGGCGGAAAGTCTCATTTAAGTAGTCTTTTTTGAATGAACGAACAAACGAATGAACGGAGAGAACAAACATTACTAAATAGTAATTCATATCCTTCAATAAAAGTAGTATCTATATCTTAGTGAAAATAAATACCTTTTGAAAACAAGCCGTCAATATATTGTCTGGAACAACGTTCCTGCAAGTTAATAGCAGTGTTTTGATAAGGACATAGTTGGACTTTTCCTGTTTAAACGGAAACATAAAAATACCGACATGTCTGCAAAATCTTAATCCAGACAGGAATATAAATGAAACCAGTGCAAAACATGAACAAAATGAAGCTTTAGACGTAGACTACTGAGAAGGAAAGACCTGATGTTTAAGTCGAATAAAAACGTTGTGCTTCAACGACAACACTCGTCATGTAAATATTGGTCAGTTCAAGTAAGTAATGTCATGTTCTCAAATAAGGACAAGGTTAAAAATAACGTAACCAACAAGTATAGTGACAAACATTTATCTTTAGGAACCTGTGTTGCAGGTTTATCTATCATTTCTTAAAATCTTGCACGGAAATCACGATATTTGGAACAACGAATCGATTGCGACACGACTGGAGAAGCCAGTCTAGAAAAACTTACTGTTTAGTTATAGGGCCGTTATGTGCAGTATTACTGGAAGTCAATCGAAGATGTGATTTTTTTTAAATGACTTGAAATTAAAAGTGTAACAAACCTGATTAGATCGGCGAACATATCATGTGTCTGTATTGCTGTGCTGATACTTTTATACTGTGTTTCACCCTCAGTTAGCATTACTTCACCTGTAGGGGACAAGATCGAAAAACAACTGTTTCGTTCCCCTAGGATGATGCCAAGAGCATTAGTTTTAAAACCAGGGAGGCGACTGATGAAAATCCAAAATATGGTGAGAAAAATGACAGAAGTTATTTAACAGATTATAATTGGACAATAAAATACTTTCGGAAAAAATGAACGAAAAGATCAAAGTGCTGAGGACACTGAAAGATACAGTGCATGATGTATCGAAAAGAAAAAAAATATTACCCGATACAGATACACCACATGTATCTGGTCTGACAGCCAAGCCTACCTGACCTGAAGATATAGTGACATACAATCCCTGTTAAGGCTCCCACAGAGTTAGACAGTAAGACGAAACCAAAGGCCATCAAACTAATTCGGCCGTGTGAGCGTGGATCTATCGTGGCAGTACCTGTTAAACCAACAAAAATACAAGCATCATCAGTTTATCTTGTTTTCTTCTGGATATCTGGAATTTACAGCATGTTAGTGAATATTTTCTGATTCGACTTGCTTTCTCCTTACAGTTGTATATAATTCACAAAATGATCAAATAAACATATATATAATAATACTATCGTTATGTTATTTACCATACCTACTACACAACAACTGATCTGAATACGTCCTAGATAAATTAGATGATCTGACAATTATCTATTTTTAGCTTTCTTTTGATATTAAACTGATGAATACATAAATCATGTACCAATAACGTTTTTAGATAGATATCATATATGTATGTTTATTTTATCAAATTCACCTCATTGCATCATGTGTGACTGACTTAAAGGGCCCGAATACTATAAATTTAAACACTTTTTACCAGTCAGCTTGTAATGAGGATAATAGCATACCCACACACATATGATATCTTATTCTATATTACTATTTCATTAATTTAGGACACTAACAAAAACAAAAAACAAACAAACAACAAAACAAAAAAAACATGAAATACATTTCCCCAATGAAACTGGCCTCATCCATATACTTGCCTTTCAAACAGTATATTGACACATGCACGTGAATCCACTACGTAATGGTACCTATAAACCCAATTACTCTTTCTTCTTTTTGCATCATACAGTCTTTACAATGGTATTTTAAAGTAGACATCATTTTTATGGATTGCAGAAAGATCGAGACATTTTGGAAAACTAAAAGGATTATCTGAATGTGGCTTACTACCTTTACTCCAGTTATAGCAGGTGCTTGCTCATTGGAAACATGTAGGACGGAAAAAGACTTCTTAAAAGACGTACTAGGCCACTTACCATGAATGATGCTACACACAATGACTGGTAGTATTGTGACCTTTAGAAGTCTCATGAAGATGTCACCTGGTAATCCTGTTTATAATCAACAGAAAACAATTATAATACGAATTACTTAACTGTTTAAATGAATAAATCTGCTGTATCCTATTTTCATTCAAATCTGTCCGTGTTTCCTCGGTTATAACAGAGCAGAGGATTCAGCATTACAATATTCCAGGTAATGCTGTTTAGAATCAGATGGAAGATTTAAACGAAAAGGACAATGTCAAACATGGTGACATTATTTTTTTTTAAAAAAATGTTAGGGTGTGGAGTTTATGAAAGCTAATACCTATCCACATCAGAACATCCTCCGAAAGTTTCAATTGCCGGAGTGCGAATCCGAGTCCGAAACCAATCACAACTCCACTACAAACAGCTAGGACGAGGGCGTGATCTGCCAGTCGTCTACACCTCCAAGATATAGGTTTGCTAGGAGAAGTAACCCGTTGACCATTCACTTCAAATTCACACTTCTGACCCATCACGGTGTCCGGGCAGCCACTATTTCGAGGATCCATCGTATACACAATCGGTAATATCAGAGTCTCTGTACAGTGTATAAGATACCTACCCCAGTTATATGTGCTGGAACCAGTCGTGTATGACAAAACGCTGACGATATTCTTGTTTTTTTTATATACAATTACACATTTCAGTTGTCTAGACTTCTTCACCCTATACAAAGAATTTACATCGATATATCCCCTAAACTTGATATTTATCTATTTTGCTGTTGGTGGATCAATCGATTCCCTACGTAAGACACAGGTTATATATGCTAATGGAAGGTTTATATGTCCTGAATTATAACATTCTGATTGTTGTTACCAAACGGACTGTGATGCGTAATAATATTTGCAGCTTGGTGCCCGTTTTTGAAAGATGTGCTATTACTGTTGGCTCGTTTCTTGCTGGCTGTTAGCGACTTAAACCCTCTGATAGACATAATAATTCAGAGCATACATATGTACTTTTTGAAATTATCAGACATATTTAAATTTACAAAATCTATTGAATTACATATAATTCCAGCAACAAGTGTGCTGTATAATATATACATCAGAATATGTGTGTCACTGTATACTACGTCCTTTAAGTCATGTAGTTCTTGCCAAATATTACAAAAGAGTTAAAAGGAACCAATTACCTTTCCATGAAAAATGCAAACAAATATATTCATCTCGTCTCCTAAACATGCTAGTGTTAACATAGCTTTTTTTCTTCTTGAGGATAGGCTGTTTGTTGATACTCGTGTATTGTTAAAAATAACAAGAAAACATATTTCCAGTTTATTCACTCTGATATACATGTATTTATTTCTCAACTTTAGCCGTATGGCTCTGAAAATGTTAAAACATGTTACACGACACGATTTCCTTTGCTATTCCGTGCAAACAAATTATATGGGTGTTGCCATCTTCATAAAAAACATATCCCTAAAAGCATCAACATTCTGGTGATAGAGCACCTGACAACAAAACAAGCATTGATGACATTGACACAAGATACACTTTTAATTGTAACTGAACAAAAGGAAATGATAGACTAAACATGTTTACTATTAAGATTTATACTTACAATATAAATTGAATTATGGCTCATAGTTCATGCGGAACTCATAGTGTTTTGTAAAGTTCCAGTAGCGATGGTATTGTCTCAAAGCAGGATCGAATTACGTCGCTATTTTCTGATAGGACTTTACGCATTAATTATGGGAAAGTTTTATGGTTGCCATAGTGATATATGAGAAATATTATATTTCTTTGTTTGGCATTAAGCTGGACGTATTTTATGTACGTTAGTTTGCCTGTTGGTTCTGTTGTTGTATACCTTGCTCTCATTTGAGATTACTTGGATTGACGAAGATTTACATGGCGGATGTCGTCTATGAAGCAGAAGACGCTTACTCTTCCTGAACATCTGGTCTTATTCTCCTTGTATGTTTTCAAGTGTCTCAGTATAAATCTTTCTTTGGTTAATATTTTTTCTAGTTTTATGGAATTTTAGTTAGAATTATGTTGCCATGTTGATATTTTCTTAATTTTTTTTAACTCGATGAATTGTATGAATTTATTTGTTCTTGATCTACAATGCGTGCCCATGAAAAACAACCTGGTGTTCCATGGGTTCTTAGAGGAGGGCAAGAATGGAGATACGAGGCGCAAGCTGAGACTTTCTCCATATCGAACTAAGTATTATTATCCACATATAGTTAAGTAATGTTCACCACTTCGGCAAATTTATACCTGGTAAGCTGAGGCCCACAGATGAACGGTTTCTATTCTATAAAGACCTTGCTCGTGTGATTCACCTTTCATGAAAGCTTCAACGGAAGCCATTCAGTGTTAATGACTCATGTTCGAGGAAACGAGGCGTTTGCTGTACTACATTAGAAAAAAGGTGAAGGCTGACAACCTAAAGATAAAAATGGTTCGCGACAAACTGTATATTAACTGACATTCACAGACACTGTACATGTGAGTGGGTATTCCACGACCGCCTCTCGTAAAAACAAGAGAAGACTTTTTATATCCTCCCCACCGGGTGCGGCCAATTGGACGAAAACTTCCCATCACTAGGGTTGTCAGGGGGAAAGGCGATCAGTGAAATTCGCTTCATGGAATGTTAACCGCCACTTAAAGCGTAAATTGGTTGAGCCGGATTTTATTAACGTTATTTCCGGTTCCGATGTTTCTGTCGGAATGTTGGGTCCCATATGATAGTGACTTAGTAGGTAGTAACCTCCTCCTAGATGTTGATAACATCCTGTCATACCTCTGATAAAAGGATAAAGACTGAGGTCTTGTTTTATTGTATAATTAGAAAGTTAATCATTCTGTCGTCAATTTTGTAGCAGTCACTCTTCTATGGGTTAAAATAAGGCAATTTGCTGCCGCTGATATTTAAGTTTGTTTTCTCTACATACCATATGGCAACAATGTATATGATACTTTGTACGAAAACGGTGTTTTCGATATTTTGGTAAATGATAAAGATTTTTTCTCACAGTTTGGTACCGTTGTTGTCGCCATTGTTCTAGATAGTAGAATCGGAAATGCGGTTGCCTTCATAGAATCAGATACCGTACCGAAATCAATCTTAATACACTGTCAAATATTTTTGTATATGATAATGGCACAGTTATGCTTAACCTTACATCCGCTGACGGCTCTATTAATTCTATTGGTTGAAAACTGTTATAACTGTGTAAAAGTGCTAGTCTTCGCGTGTGTATCTGTAGATCTGCTGGTGATAACACGGGCCAATTTACTTTTTTTATAATCATTTGGGGTCCAGTGTCATTTATTATTGATAACACATGATATTGTTAATGATATGCAGTCCTAGGTGATCGCTATAGATCACGGTATTTATATTTTTATCTGTTATAAATTAAACATTAGGCCCATTTTATAGATCATTTTCTTCTTTTACATTTTACAATAAGATAAACTATCGTGTTTATAGGCCCTGGTTTGATGATACATAAAGACGTCTTTACAACTTGTATCGTCACAATTTATTTTCTTTTAATTTCGAAAGAATTTCTGCCAACAGGCTATGTTTTGAGGGATCCAAGCATAAGTATAAATACCATGAAAGGCTGATTAATCGCAATTGCTTAAATTCAGAAGGTGACCGTAAAGTCGGTTACGAAGAAGAGATCCGAAACTTTTTTATCATTTTTTAAGGAAAGAAATCGGATAGTCCGAGAAATCATTTGAACATTGGTGACTTTTTTTAAAACATGTCAAATCAGTAAATAATGGTAACGATGCTTATTCTTCTGATGATACGTCATCAGATCTTAATACTACGATAATTTACAGTTATATTACTAGTTAGATTCTCCAATTACAAATACTGAAGTAATGTTTAAAAAAAAGTATCAAATTAGGTATTATTCCAGCATTGATAACATTCTTATCGATTTTTTTTAATCATGAGACAATTATATAATGTTATTTTCAATATGGGCGTCTGCCCCTCAGTCTGGTCAAGGGGTATTATTTCCTCTTTGTCGAACAAACTGATGCCAATGATACAAACGATTACAGAGGAATCAGACGTACATCATTGTTACCGATACCCAGTTCGGGTTTAAGTCTGGTTTTGGAGCTAACAATGCTGTTTTGGCTTTACATGGAGTAATCAAGAAAATGGTTTCTAATAGTAATAGTTGCAAGCTTTACTGCTGTTTTGTTGACTATCGAAAGGCCTTCGATAATGGAAACAAATTCTATTTTTTTTTTAAATTACTTTTTGTAAAATCTTTATAGAGATTTAAAGAGAGAGAGAGAGGGGGTGAGGGAGGGAGGAGATGGAGGGAGAGAGACAGAGAGGGAGGGGATGAGAGAGAGTTTATTAAGGGGAACATTAATAATCATAAACATTGATAGATTAGTACAAGGTTACACTATTCACTGTACAGAACAGTCTGCTATTACTAATGTAATGTCTGTTACATCCTATACCATGGTTGCCTTCTGAAATATTCTCTTCTCTTATCTCTTATTCCATCAATATCGAAAAAGATACGATAAACACACATAAATTCACATCTAGATATATATATATATATATATATATCATTTACAACGCACTGATCAAAGGGAGAGATAGCGAATTAAAATCTATCCGAGTCATTAATGTATTTCTGAGTGTTTTGACATCACATTATCTTCTACGGATAAATCACGGCTTCCATGTAGTAATAGTTGCAGGTCTTGCGGTATGAAATTATTTAGATTTACAATTCTATTCTCTGTTCTACATAATTATTTCAGGCGAAGAAGAAATGATGTGCATCTTCGATAGGATGCCCACATAGACAGTGACGATAATCAATCAGATGAGATTGGAAAAGGTCGTTTTTTAAAGGGCTACATTTATTCTTAATCTTGAATGCAAAATATTAGACTTTCTATAAAGAGTAATAGTTAGGTACTTGTGTTGTATTCGTGATGCATTTTAAAATAATGAGTATAAAGTACTTTGCCTAGTCCCTAGAGTTAGTTGGTTCCAAAGACGAATAGTAGATGGGAAAACGAATTTTTAGTTAGTTGAAGTAGGACATTTTGTAAAGAGTAATTGTTATTGTCATGTAGGTTGTAATGGGAGTTTTCATATACTAAGGGAGGCAGTAGAGTGGATAAGCAACCAGATGTTAGTTTATTTGAATCTTTATAGAATAGTTTTACTGGGAACAACGACATACAAGTGGTTCTAACCCACTTTCAGAATATAATTATAGTCTGCTAGCAAAAGAAGGTAATCTAGTGATTATTCTTGCAATTTTTAAGTTTTTTTCAAAATGGTCTGCATCACTAAGATAACACCCGATCCATTTACTAATACGCTTGTCCAGCTCATCCCACAGATGCTCAATAGGAGACATGTCGGGGCTATATGGGGCCAATTCAGATGCTGAATGTTGTTTGCCGCGAGAAAATCACGACAGACTCTGGCAACATGCAGTCGAGCATTGTCATGTTGGAAAATTAAGGTTATGATGTCTGAGAAGTGGAAGGGCATGTGGATGGAGGATCTGGTCTCTGTATCGAATGGCATTGAGGTTTGGATAAAGGTCCACTAAGGGGGATTTTACTCTATGGCAGATACCTCCGCAAACCATTACAGAAGCCCCACCGAATCTATCGCGTTCACCCACGCTGAGCGATACAGACAGAATCTAGACTCGTCGGGGAACATCACACGTCTTTACCGACGCATCCCAAACCCACCCGGGCCATGTCTGCATGTCAAGACGCACTTGCTGCTTCCGTGATGTAAGAGGTGGCCCACATGTTCGGCGCGCAATGATTCTCTCGGCACGCAAGCGGTTTCTGACAATTTGAGTACTAATGGGTCTGCCATGAGTTCCAAAGTTATGCTACATCAGTCTTGAATCTGTTGCGCAAGTGCGACTATCGAATCGCATTGTCTTCTCATGCGATCGTTACATATGAACAACCACTCCTGGGATGATTGGAAACTGTTTGCTGCTGTTTTGCTGTTGTGTACTGCTGTTTGCATTTTTTGCTGTTTATATCGACAACATTTTATCATTTTACAATTTTTATTACAAAATATTACTGTTTTCCATTTTACACTGCCAAAAAAAAAAAAAAAAAAAAAAGAAAAGAAAAGATGACATACAAAAATATTTACATCTTACATTTGTTTTTTGCAAAGTTTTATTTTTAAAGAACATTTTTGGCCTCAAAATGTGTAATTGATCTTTTCCAGTATTCAGTGAAACTGTAAACAGCCCGTATTAAACAGGGTATCACCGATGACCAATCAGCTCATTGTTGCCCGCTCCATTTTTGAGGTTTCACATAATTTTTTTAACATAGTTATTGCCCTTTAACCTGTTGACCACTTATCAAATTTTAGACGAAACTACCTGCACGATAATTGTTTACATCGAAATTTTTTCAAAGAATTTTCGTTTAGAAAGACATGACATCCCTCTCTGTGTGTACCAAATAAACTAAACAGTTCTGACCATACACTATATTTTCTTCTATCATTGTAGGACAGAAGAACTTAAATCTTTATCTTGTAAAACTTTGTTACCCAGCAAAATAGTCTTCCATTTCAACGCCTAAAACAAAATCACTCTTGGTAAATTTCTCCCATGTGCTAAATGAGAATATTGCGAACGTTGAACGTATTTTAGACCGAAATAGTTGTGTAAAATATGATATTCGAGACACACAACTACAATAATTTTATCAAACACAAATATGAGATTTAAAATCCTACATATCACATGTTTGACATGCAAAGAGCAACTAATTATTTGAAATGAAAAAAAATCCGAAATAAGGGCAGGCTTTGTCGTACGATGTTGAGTTGTTCTCAGGTAAACAAAATCTGGTGAGTAAATACGATTATCTTTGCTACCTTTGAACAAAGTGAGGAGGAGACCGATCATAGCTAAAAAGTTGAAAGTCTTGTGAAAATCTAGTTTGCACTTTTGCGATCGTATCAGACTTAACACTATCGTAGGCGTCTCGTAATGCGCGTTCCCTTTGTCGGAGTCTCTGACGCTCTGTTACAGGGCTGCGATGTATTTGTTCTATAATGAGAGATGTCACGCTATCGGCGGTAAACGCAGGTAAGTTCTGAAACATAAAACACATGTAAATATATTCCCTTTAATTGTTGGCAAATCAGTTCATCTGGTAAAAAAATCATAGACCACACAAACAAGTTAAAACGTACCTTTTCAAGGGAAAAAATAACAAATCATTGAGTGTGTAAAGACTCGTTAATGATGCTAGGTGGTCGAAAGTTTAGAGACCCACCATAAATGATAGAAATTCGCACGCGACTTTAGCTTAAACGAAGGAGCTAAGTCAATATTTAGCTCCACATCATAAAGTTGAAATTCGTATTGAAAGATGTTATTCACTTGTGTGTACAATCTCCAAGATTGCAGATGGCGAACATTTAGTGTCTACGAACCGTAGCGTGCATACCATGATAATTGTACAAAGACACACAAAGGAATAGCACCCTTTGATACATAAATACCGTAGAGCCAAACAGTATCATACAATCTGAATCATTTAACTACGAATCAGAACATACACGTGCACTTTTGAAGTTAATTGAACTTAATTGATGAATTATTGATGTAAGTACACTTCTATATCAGGTTTACGAAATTTATTTCGACCAATTTGAATTTTCCGCATTTGCCTCCTAGGTTTCAGAATTTAGACCATTAACATCACTGACGAGTCCTAGAAGGACGAAACAGCTGTATGATGTAGCATCGCTGACGAGTCCTAGAAGGACGATACAGCTGTGTGATGTAGTAACACTGACGAGTCTTAGAAGGACGATACAGCTGTGTGATGTAACATCACTGACGAGTCCTAGAAGGACGATACAGCTGTATGATGTAGCATCACTGACGAGTCCTAGAAGGACGAAACAGCTGTATGATGTAGCATCACTGACGAGTCCTAGAAGGACGATACAGCTGTATGATGTAGCATCACCGACGAGTCCTAGAAGGACGATACAGCTGTGTGATGTAGCATCACTGACGAGTCCTAGAAGGACGATACAGCTGTATGATGTAGCATCACTGACGAGTCCTAGAAGGACGAAACAGCTGTATGATGTAGCATCACTGACGAGTCCTAGAAGGACGATACAGCTGTATGATGTAGCATCACTGACGAGTCCTAGAAGGACGATACAGCTGTATGATGTAGCATCACTGACGAGTCCTAGAAGGACGAAACAGCTGTATGATGTAACATCACTGACGAGTCCTAGAAGGACGATACAGCTGTATGATGTAGCATCACTGACGAGTCCTAGAAGGACGATACAGCTGTGTGATGTAGCATCACTGACGAGTCCTAGAAGGACGATACAGCTGTATGATGAATTCATTGTTTGGCTCTATTACATCCAACTTTGTATTAAAAGGCGCTATTCACTTGTGCGTCTTTTGTAGTCTTCATACAGGAATCTAATTTACTAAATTCGTTTCTATCAATCCAGGTAACATGTATCATATATGTATATTCAAAACAAGTGTCACTGATCATAAAAACTAGGACTGGTGCCCGAAAGCAAACCCTCGGACCCGGAAGTCCTCAACCAGATTTGCAAACGAGTACAAATAATGTGCCTTCTGTATAAATTCAGTTATGAAAACCTCGTTCTTTTGATAATGAATCACACACACACATACCCACCATCTCTCTCTCACACACATGCACACACACACGCTCTCTCATCCAACAATTGCGAAACATATTTTTCACTATTGTTGGCCAGGATGTAAGTGCGCGAGGGATCTTATTATGGAAGGACACCAGAGTACTTGACGAAACCCAGGAAGATTACCCCATACCTTTCCACGTCCTGTCCAGAATCGAACCCCGAACGGCATAGAAAAAAGGCGAGTACGTCTAGGACCCGTCTATGATGCAAATGACCTTAATTGATAATAGACCCAGGAAGCTACTAAAGAATAAATGTGTTTATTAATCTAACGATCAATGACAACATATTTTTCAAAACCGTATACAATAAATATCGATTCACAAATAGGTGAATCAATCAAATGCTAGGGAGACAACTCACATATACGTAAAACAGGAATGTGTACAGGACACAAGAGCTACTATACACTTACATACTGATAAGGCAGAGTTCAGCTATTAAAATATGGTTTTCTAGTTCTGCTATGTCTCGTCAATGAAAATGGGACATCATTTTTAAAGAGGTGGCAGAGGTTGACCTTATATGGTGAGATTAACTTATCCCATGATCTAATGGGATTCAAAAAAATTATAATATTGGATTTTTCAAAAGAATGTTAAAAAAAAAATCTCGTGTATATTCTTAACCTTGCTAGTAATTATGTCAATTAAAACGTCTTAGCATGCAGGTTGTGGGATTCCAATCCCAAGAATTAAGCACCTGCAAGCTGAAAGTGTTGTACAGAATACTTACAAGATGATAACACCTTTCAATACAAATTTATAACTGGACAACGAACAAACTACCAATTAGACTGCATTAAATAGTTTTTTTCGTCTGAAGGTTCTGAAGTGTTGGAAAGTGACTGAAGAAGTTGAAAGTGGTCAAAAAATGTCAAAATTTGGTTAAGAGGTACAGCAAGCGGAAGTTTAGTAAATTTAAGAATTGATATAAAAACAAATTACACAAATATGTCAAATATAGGATTTTTTTTTATATTCTGAATAAATCAAAACGGCATATTCATGTTTATGGTAAATATCGGTAACTGAAGTTAACCAGGAGGATATATTTTATATTTGCCATCGTTAAACACTGCTAATACAATTATATACAACACAGACGCCGGTCACCATGATTAATTGATCCGAGGTAAAATAACATGGAATAACTGGAAGCAGTCATTTAATTTATCGAGACATATACGTTGTAAATCCCAATGACATCATACAGTGTTGCCTGTGAAACATTGTAAAAATACCCACTAAAATATATATTGTAAAAACATTGTCTGTCTTCCAAATTTGAATTTCAGATAACTATATCATAAAGAAATCTGATATCCATTTTTGTTTACTTTTATAGCTAACAAAACATTCAATGACTTTATAAAGATAAAGAATTTCTTACTTTGAATGAATGTCCCGGGAACGTTAACGAGGTGTGTATGTATCCCTGATACTGTAATACTGTCCACAGTCTTTCCATAAACAGAATTTTGTCCGTGCAATCATCTTTGTACAAACTATAATACCACATATGAGACGAAATCCAAGAGTAAATCACATCCTTCTGTGTTTTTCTACCAATCATATCCATCACAGCGCGTCGCTTCTGATCGGTGATGTTCATCACTTCTAGGACATGCTCTGTATCAGAAGTCAGTGTCTCTTGTTTACATATGACGTCATAGCGTACAGAGCATGGATGACACAGACTCGACACGGGCAAAACGTGCCTGTCAACCCGCCTGTCGCCGAGACTAATATTCGTCACATAATTTAAAAACTCGTCAAATGAAATATCAAATCCACAGAAACCGTCTCTTATTTTTCGGTGACTTTTAGCTATGGTCTTAGCCAATTCTCTTCCCCATATACCCAAGATAAAATATTTGTCTAAATAGGCCGAAAATAGCCTGGTATATGGATCTCTAGTGACAAGGGTCATCTTCATATCACGTGATCTACGTTTCATTACGGTGCCAAGAGTTGCTTCATTTCTACCGTGCACTATTTCCCGGTTTACATAAAACATGTTTTCCTTAAGATTTCCTTCATACTCTAGTAAATTTACCACGATTCCGATGAAGGTACTTCCTGTCTTTGGTGCTTTACAAAACGCCACATTGTTGGATTTGGAATAAAAGTATACCGGAGTGATATTGTCTATGTCTGTCTCCTGGACTTGGGTACATTTCTCTTGTAGGATAGTTTTTCTATTTCCATGCGTCTGAGAACGATCGGGTGACTTTGCAGTTACTTTCCCGATCGAATCAATTAATTTCAGGATTTCTAGTCCGTTCTTCCTTGAATATTTCAATCCGATGTTAAGGAAATGTTTGTCTGGGTTGCCAGCCATCTTAAACACTTGGATATCTAAACCAAAGACAGTGTATGGCTATGACAAATATAATATTTTATGTTTGTATATAAAACAAAATCCGTTTGTAAATATCGATGAGAATGTCAATGAATAATAGGAAATGTTAGTAAAACAGATAATTTCCTTATGTTGAATGCACTACGTAGCATTATGACTTTTACAGTGTAACAGAATTATATATATTTTAAAATGGTTTAAACGTTTTATTGATCTTTTTTTTCAAAATTAATTGATAAATATTCCGAGAAATTATTTGTCCTTTAACCGTTAAATTTCCGTAACAGTCGAGAGGCGACTAATGTGATTGTTATCCCGCCCATTGGTTTCGTTGTTACTAACTCTGTTTAATATGGTGTTATTTATGGTGAAGTTTCACGGTCGTCATTGTGATCTCATTCAGAAATATTCTATTTGTTTATGCGAAGTGAAGCTGGATGGGTTGTATGCTCGTTAGGTTACCTGTTGATTCCGTTGTTTTATACCCAATACTCATTTGAGAACGTGACATTACTTAATTGGATTTACCAAGATTTACATGGCGGGTGTTGTCTATGAAGGAGAAGACGCTGACTCTTCCGGAACACCTGGCATTATTCTTCTTGTACTTTTTAAGGAGTCTTTCAGTGATAATTTTCGTTTATTCACAGTTTGCCGTAGTTTTATTGAATTTGAGTTTGGATTACGATTATGTAGACATGTTAGTATTTTCTTGTTTTTTTTTCTATAAGAACTTTACAGACCACCATGATCTAACATTTTTAAACAAGAAATGAGAATGGAAATATGATAAGATATTCAGTGTATATATGTATAAATTGTTCTGTATAACATCCATGGTCCCTTTGTAATATTCAACCTAAGGTAGATTTGAATTTGAAAAATGATAGATATAACACTTCTGATAAAAACTCAAAAGTATTATTTTATTATAAGTCCATACTGTGAATATGACATATAACTAACCACTCACCTGTTTGTTGTTGAATCGTAATGAAAGCCGTTACACACAGACATAGTAATACAGAGGCTGACAGCATGGGTCTGTATGACCACGACATCTCAGGCGCCACAACAGTTCTGGACAGATATCTCTATAATTCAATACCTGTAAACGTGATATGACTAGTGCCAATAAAGTTACCCGTTACGACCTCCTACAGCGACTGGTAGTTCCACAATCGTCCAGGCATCTCGTCAGTTCTTTTATGGTAATATATAATTTAAACTGTCATTAAACATGACTTACCAGTTGACTGTTGTCTGAACTACAACTCTTTGAAAGATGTAATGGAGTTCTCATATATAGGCAATTAAATATTAAAATTAGATGAAAGTATATGTACAATATGTAGGTAAATCAATGGGTGTTTGATAGGGAATTTATGACATGCGTGTCTAATATCAGGGAGCGTGACGTTATATTCTGTTATAGCTTCTAAGATAGCTTTGGTTCCAATTTCTGCTCAGTTATAACTCCTTAGAAAGATTAACGCTCCAATTTCTATCAATATTTGATGGACGTCGATGAATCTGTGACGTATTTTTGTACATCATAACACAGGAAGGTTATTGATTTGATAGCATAACAATGATTGCGATAGAGATATCGCTTGATCTACTGCATGTTGTTCTTCAACTTTGGACCATTTTTAAGAAGCATGTCTCCAGCCTACACAGTTCACAAAATCAACAACTGCATTGTGACGTAATCAAATCGGTCGATGCGGACTGAGGGCAGGTTTTATGGCGGTCGTCTTGATTTCGTTAGGGAATATTCCACATGAATAACGATGTTACTTTATTGTCCGTAAGGGTCCATTATGGTTTCGCGGAATATTTTAACGTTTTTCTTTCTAGAACGTGACCGACTGGATACTTCGGTATACATCAAGCAGCAAATTTTATTATATGTCAATCACAGGTGATAGACACTGCTAGCGGACGTTTAGTCATCGAGGTTTGATGCAAACTGCAAGCCACCTTTTGATTTACTTAAATAGCTGCACGGTTCGGAATATGCATTGTTCCAAAATTATCTGCTACATGATAATTACAAAATGTATCGAATCACGGGGCTATTGCACCTCTCCATTCCATCTAGATTCTTAATTTTATTTTGATCATTCCAGATTTATAAATCTCAGTCGTCTATAAGACTACAAAATACAAGCCCCTTAGCATTATCTTCAAGTCCTAGAAGGAAAAACAACTGTATGATGCATTTTAATTCATTGCTTGGCTTTACTTTACTATAAATTAGTCTCAATGTGTATTTTTCACTTATTTGTCTTGTATCTTGTATCTTACACTTTATAAATAACATTCTTAGACAGACAGACAGACAGACAGACAGACAGACAGGCAGGCAGGCAGGCAGGCAGGCAGGCAGGCAGGCAGGCAGGTAGGTAGGTAGGTAGGTAGAAGATAGACAGACAGACAGACAGACAGAAGATAGATAGACAGACAGACAGACAGACAGACAGATATTCTTTATTTCCTCATTCATTTGAGATTACAAACAATTTAACATAGTGCAGTGCATAGAATTATAGTATGTGACAAAAGAATGGCCTTAATATTTAAAGATGAAAGTAAAGTTTTTTTTCCCAGTTCAATATTTCGTCAGTTCAGGATTTAAGTGTTATGATATCATTTCATTTATTTTGATTTACATTTTAGGAATCACCTTTGCGATGCATTTCATCATATCAGCTCAGTGATTGTTCGATATATCAATGTCACTTGAACGTTTTCCAAGAATGAGTTCTGTTAGTTGTCTTTCACTCATTTCTGAGAATGTTATATAGTCGTTTACCTGTAGGAAGTTAACAATTATTTCTAGAATCAGATCTCTTTCAGCGAACAGGATGTAACATTCTACGATAAAATGTACAGCTATGTCAGCGACAGTTTTACCACACAGTTTACAATAACAGAATCAGCTTCGGAGACAAACGATAGATATATTAGTTCAGATAATATCCATGTGTCCTTCACATTAAGCTTGGACAATCTCCACAGCGGATGTATACCTAATTTTACACGAACATTTGAGAAAATCTGTAGGCTATCCTTTATTGCCAGAGTTTCCCTCCATTTGAACTCTTCTTTCGTCTTTATAACTCGTTTCACAATTTTTTTCCATGAAGATTTAACCGAAATTTCGTCTTCAGGGTGATATAATCTAAAGAATGTTTCTATATTGTAGTTTTTCATAATTTTTTGAATGTCCGGTATGGAACCTAGAGATTTGTCTTTGTTTGTTGTATATTCGTATTCTCTAAACCTTGCAATGAATAATTGTTTCCACAGAAATAGATAATCTCCTAAACAAAGCTTATTCCAACGAAGCAGTTTTTCTTTAGGGATCTCTCCGCTTATTTCTTGTAATCCCAAGGAAGAGATAGTTACGGCATTCGGAGACCGTGTATCAAAACCTTAAATACATCGCGCCGCTTTACGTTGAAAGACTTCCATGTCATTCAATGTAGTGGTGGAAAAGTTATTCCACAGTTCACATCCAAAAAGAAGAGACGATAATATTACTTTACACCATATTGACACACTGGCAACAGGACTCATTCCATTATAATGAACACCAATTGATATAAGGTTATTCAATTTCTTTCGATTTTTGTTAATGGCTTCGCACATCGCTAAGTCGCATTTTAAATTCTCGCTGAATATCATACCGGCGTAAATTTTGGAAGTCTGGATTGGAATTATGTCTTGTCCGAGGGAGATATTGCATTTTCCATGGTCAGTCTTTCTGCCGCCTCCTTTACGAAATAATGCAGCTGCACTTTTGCTACAGTTGTATTTTAGTCTCCATTTACACGAGTAATCATATACAATATCTAAGAGCCGTTGGAGTGCTGCATTGCTTCCGGATATGACACAGGTATCACCTGCTAACAGTATACAAGGAACATGTATGTTTCCGATCAGTATTCCATTTTGAGACTCATCTAATTCTTACGCGAGATCGTCTATCATTACCAGAAACATCCAGGCGGATAGGATTCGGCCTTGACCGACCCCCTGTGTGATGTCATAGGGTTCCGACAAAAGTCTCCATGTTTTCGAATTTACTCCTAGCTGATAGAGTTTGTGAAATAGCCCTGCGATCCAGACACTATTAAATGCTTTCTGGTCGTCTAGAAAGGCTACACATATGTAGGATAAATCCCGCTGTAATACTGCCGCAACTCGGACGAAACCCTTGTTGGAATTTTGAAGGAAAATCAATCATCTCCGAGAACAAACGTAGTCGTCTATATATTACTTTCTCAAACAGTTTTTGGATAACTGACATCAGAGTTATGTCTCTATAACTTTTAACATCAAGTCTGTCTTTATTATTTCCTTTATACAATGTAAGAACTGTTCCTAATTCAAAATGTTCTGGACAGACTTCATTTTGTACGATACTATTAAAGATTTTAACTAGTAATTCTATTATAACATCAGCCACACATTGAAGATGTTCAATCGTTATTCTGTCGTGGCCAGCCGCCTTACCTTTGCTCATCAGTTTGAGTTCAAACAAAATGTCGTCTTTAGATATTGATGTATCTAGAATTGTTTCAACATGACTAAACGACCGTACGTGAATATCGTCTATTTCCGTTTCGATTCAATTTTTAAATGCTTCATCAAAATGTTCCATTTGTACAGGATTACTTAGAGATTTGTAGTGTTGGTACCATACATTCCTTAGTGCATCGTGGTCACGTACAATTTCGCCATTTACACGCAGTTCACGGCATGATCCTTTCGGCACCTTTTTTGCACAAACTGCTTTAAAGAATGTCCCAGTGTCTATTTCTGCGGCAGACATAAGATCATCATAATGCTTATTTATGTATAGATCTCTGGCATTATCCAACTCTCTTTTGAAGAGGCGCTTTGATTTTTTATATTCCGCAAATGTTATGTAGCAAAATCCTCGCGGCTGTCCATCTGCTATCCATATA